CTAGAAATTCAGAAACATGTCTAGCTCACCAGAAATTGCTGGTGAGCTATGAGGATTTTATGATAGAAATCCAGAAACATGTCTAACATACTATAAATTGCTGATGAGCTACAAGAATTTCAGGAAAGAAATTCAAAAATATATTTAGGTCACCAGAAATTGCTGATGAGCTACCTTGAAATTCAAAAATGTATTTAGGTCGCCAACAATTGCAGGTGAGCTACCTTACTACCAGGATTTCATGCTAGCAATTCAGAAATGTATTTACATCACCAAAGATTGCTGGTGAGTGACCTTGTTACAAGATTTCATGCTAGACATTCCAAAACATATGTAGGTTACAAGAAATTGCTGGTGAGCCATCTTACTTCCGAGATAGAAATCTGGCGGATTCCGCCAGAATCTGCACCATAGGTTGGGCTTCCTAAGTTCAGCGGGCACTTGCGAGGTGAGATGGAGTGGTATGAACAACCTTGAATACTACGACGGTGTGTGGGGGAGAGGGTTCGGCCAGGCAAGCATGCGGCTTTTTTCACCGTGCACGAAGGGTGCTCAGAATCTGGATTGCTGGTGTCTGGGATTCTGGCATCGGTGGCCAGACTCCTGATTTGCTGACCGACGATTCAGGGCTTCCGAGCGCATCTGAGCTGAACTCTCGAGCGTGAAGTGGCGGCGTAGCAGCCTAACGAGGGAGGCACGACTACACCACCGCTAAACACTAAGACAAAAAAAAGGAGTGGGTGGGTGGGTAAAGAAACTATGAGATGAGCTGGTAGCGAAGGTCGTGGCGGGTGGAAAAAGACATAGCACGTACGTCAGCTGAGCGCGTCTCTTCTTTGCCCACCTGCTTAGTAAGCAAGTGTTCGGCCCAGCGCTCGTTCCTCGTGCTGATCCTGAACTTCATGCTTTCTAAGTTCAGCGGGTGCTTGCGAGGTGAGATGGAGTGGTATGAACAACCTTGAATACTACGACGGTGTGTGGGGGAGAGGGTTCGGCCAGACAAGCATGCGGCTTTTTCCGCCGTGCACGAAGGGTGCTCGGGATCTGGATCACTGGTGTTCGGGGTCCTGGCATCAGTGACCAGACTCCTGATTCACTGACCGACAATCCAGGGCTTCCGAGCGTGTCTGGGCCGAACTCTCGAGCGTGAAGTGGCGGCGTAGCAGCCTAACGAGGGAGGCACAACTACACCACCCGACCCACAACAGTCGTGCCGCCTCTGTCGCCATGACTCCCCCACACTGGGTCACGTAGAGAAGGACGAGGCATGGTATATAGTGACAGAATCACTCGAACAGACATAGCGACGGTGTTCTCGCCAGCCACCAGGCGATATGCGAACTACACGGGGCGCTGCACTCGCGCGATGAGAAATCCAAGGTCAACCAGGCTAAAACTGGGCATGATAACCTTGCTGAATCGACACACGCACCAATTTACCATGCACACACACATATACACTGGCATCAAGGCTTCAGTGTTGGAAGGACTAAACCTTATCACAAGGGTGCATATGCTCGAGGGTCACAAGAGGGTACGGTGGGCTAGGAGAAGTTTGCCGGGACAGCCGTGCTAGCCATTGTTACACCATTTCTAACACGTCACCACAGTGCCAAGGCACACCATGTTCGATAAGCCAGGAATGCAGACTGGCAAGCCAGTTAACCATGATAGAACGAGTAGCTCGACCATGCCAAGGAGCAACGAAGGCAGCAACGAGGGTTGTGGGTGCGAGCTTGTATGCAAACTCAGGAATGCCGAAAACAAATCGCAAACTGAGCGGTTCTGAGAAGCCTAGCATCACAAATGGTAGGTCTTTCCCTTCAGTGCAGGCAGGAAGACATAGAAGAGAACACATAGGTTCCAGACGAAGGAGAAGATGAGATGCTGAATGCCACGTGAGGTTTGCCAAAGAACGAGGAATCCAGCCACGGGGACATGGAACAACCGAGTGTAGGCTTCCCAGTCGTGCACCGTTGTGCCGGCCTGCACAAGAGTTGGCCGTGAGGTTGTGCTAACAAGAATGAAAGGTTGAAGCTCCACTTCGAGGTGGCAAGACGAGGTAGCTAGACGTCCATAACACCCTGAGAGGCTGGGGTAGTGAAATTATCTGCAGTTATAACACAGACATGAAAGGAAGGCGAGGCTGGGGCCATGACAATAATATCGACATGACGAATAGAGTCATTCATGTGGTGAACGCGACCACAATTATATGCGACGGTGACGCCCATATCATCACCCCGAATGATCAGGGAGGTATCCTGGGTGGTCTGGGTGTCCGCTGCGTGAGCGGCAAATACGAGTGTGCCATTATCACCTGATCAGGTTTTGCATCCAGCCCTGAGACCCAGTGCCAAGTTACCTGGCAGCAATGGCCCATAACAAGACAGATGCTCTGGTCAGTTGACACATCGACCAAAAGCCAAAGGTCCTTCGACGTACGCCTAGGGCATGGCGACCGTTGAAGTTCATAGCATTGCGCTGTATAACATGTTCGCGTTCTGCACTCACGAGAAGAACCGGGAGCCCGATAACATATCTGATACGCTTTGCGTTCGCAAGGGAAACAGATCATTCCTTAAGGTCCCACAAAGAACCGGAATATAGAAACAAAAGTTCGAAGTTGCTGTATAAGGCTTCGACGAACAACGCTGGCAACGTCTGCCAGTAACATGATGAGAAACACTCCTATGATCCCGAAGGCATTTGCCGATGGATGGACGACATGGAAAAAGGCTCCAGTAGACAACGCTGACAACATCGGCCAGTAATGGTTGGGGAAAAACCCTACGGACTTGGAGGCACATCCTTATGAACAGACGACATGGACAAAATGCCCCGATGAACAGTGACGGAAAGACATAAGGTCCAACGATCCAGAAGGCATGCATCTAAGAACGAACGACACGGAGAAATGCTCCAGCAAACAATACTGGCTACATCTGCCAGCAACGGGTGGAGAAATTGCTCCTACGGACCCAGAGGCACGCACATATGACCAGATGACGTGGAGAAACGCTCCGACGAACAATGGTTGGCAATGTCGGCCAGCAACGGGCGGAGACACACTCCTACGAACCCAGAGGCACATGCCTGCAGACAGATGACATGGAGAAACGCTCCGACGAATAATTGTGGCAACGTCTGCCAGCGACGGGTGGAGAAACGCTCCTACGATCCCAAACGCGTGCGCCTGCGAATGGACAATGCGAAACATATGCCAAGAAAGGGAGGAGAAAGTTCCAACGATCCCAAAGGCACATGTCCATGAAGGGACGATGCAAAACGCATGCAGAAAAAGGGAGGAGAAAACACTCCGACGATCCCAAAGGCACGCATCTATGAACGAACGATGACGGGAGGAGAAACGCTCCGAAGATCTCGAAGGTATGCACCTGTTAATGTATGATGCGGAGAGACACTCCAAAGGACAACACAGAATGGGTGTGCACTCTATGACACAAAGGGGATGGCACACTCCCAACGAACGAGTGAGAGAAATGCTCTAACTGATGATACGAAGAGATGGCCTTCAGTGACCTAGGGTGCTGCATCTTTGCAGCATTAACGCCGTATGACGCAAACTTTGCCGGGTGGGCCAGCCTTCTCAATGATGGATCAGGAAGGGAATAACGTCGCAGAACAGCTCAGAAAGCAGCTGCATGGTATGGCATCAAGATACATTCACGAACGCATGCGTGTGGGATGTCCGGCAAAGGCTCGGTAGACTCGCAGAAGAAAAAAAAAAAAACGGTGGGAGTTTCCTTTGCAGCCGATGAGGCACGCTGCAATGTCCGGTGAGGTTCCAAAAGATGCACAAGTTGATGGCCAGCATTGATGAGCAGGCACCCGTCGACGAGGACACATAAGGACGGTCGGCCAGTGCGGATAACTATATGCGTGCATATATAAGGTCGGTAGTCCGTCCACGCGCATATAAGACAGGACGGCTCAGAGAGCGTAAGCTGTTTGCCATCACGAAACGGCATGTGGCATTCGACGCCGCACGAGAGCATTCGCCACCAGCGTGTGCGGTCATTGCCAGCGTGGGGGCATTCATGGAGAATCGACGTGTGCTTGACTTATCAAGTGAGTATATGCACACTGACGAGCACCCGCATGACCTTCAAGAAAGCCTCTCGTGAGGATGAAAAAAAAACGCATCACGAATAAATCCAGTAAGCTGTGCTGCATTAAAAAGGTTCATGATAGGGAGTCTCAGCGGCATTCTCTAGTGACTCGGTGCATGCCGGCGAGAAGTTCGATGCCCTCATAGATGAAGAAATACTCATCTTCTGGAATGCTCTCGCAGCTAAGGGCATGCCTTTTCGCCTTGGACGCATTGCGTGTAGTGCGCTCCTCCCCCTTTACGGGTCCAGTAGTTGCTGTCGGAGCGCAGGCCTTGAGTAGACTTCCCTCTAGCACCTTCCAGCCTTGCTCCGTGGGTCGTGTAAACTCCCAGTTGTGGTACAGGTGCAATGAAGTGAGAAATAATGAAGAACCGCGAAGAGCAGCTTGGGTAAAGAAACTACGAGACGAGCTGGTAGCGAAGGTCGTGGCGGGTGGGAAGAGACATAGCACGTACGTCAGCTGAGCGCGTCTCTTCTTCGCCCACCTGCTTAGTAAGCAAGCATTCGGCCCAGCGCTCGTTCCTCGTGCTGGTCCTGAACTTCACACCTTCATGTGTATATATATAAATTCATCACGTGCTGAGTTCGACAAAACGGTAGTAGGGGACCATCGATCTCGGACGGGACCCTCGATACCGCTAACTACCCACTAACACTACCTGAAGGATCCCGTTGTGTGATCTACGGTGCTTGGGCTTCTTGGGTCTACTACAGGCTAACGATGAGCAAGTGTCTCTGAACAGCTGGGATGCACTGCGGATGAATCGTTCTGCGATGTACAACAGGAGCTCAAAATACAGAAGGCTTAAGAGAGATAGGTCAGTACAAGTAATCCCTATCAACTTATACGAACCATGACATCGTGCTACGATAAGACGCATGCGACTCAGAGCCATCATGATAGGGATAAAGACATTGCACGCTCAATGATGGCCGCCACCGTCTTTGAGTTGTTCAAAGCCGAGCTTATGGCGGATTCACGCCGTGCTTGTCGGCATGACCTGCAGCCACATGCACCGAGAGGTGCATTCGCTATAGCCGACAAGCCTGTCCGATATGGTGCTTCACCGCGCGTTCCCATCAAATCCTCTCGAGCACGGGCAAGGCGAGCGGCAGTGGTAGGACCAAGTTCCTCCACCTCCTTCTTGCTTAGCGGTATGGGTCGCGTACACAGCTCCACGTAGGCAGTCATAAGCCATTCCGGTATGTCATGTTTGACTGCGAGAGATATACGCTGGACTGGATCCAAAGCCGGAACGTGCGCGCTGATTTCTCGGATGGCTCGATCGCGGATCTTGTCGAAGACGAAACGAGTCGATATGGATAGCAAGGCAATCCAGTCTTCCAGACAGAGTGCATGTTCGTACATGCTGGCGTCGTCATGTAAGACAGTGAGTCAATGTGCAGTCATATTTTTGAAGTAGGATACTCACCCGTCGTATAGGAACGAGAGCAGACAGTCCATTTCGTATGATGTGGCTCCTGGCAAGAAGATGGCAGTCTCTTCTGTTTTCCCTTCTGCGCCTCCGTCCTCGGGAGGACACGAGAACATCCCATGGAAGAACTCAGAGTCTCGTTGTAAGAAGTATCGATGGACTTGGTAGAAGTGATCCTTGTTTTCTTGGGGATCGCTAACCTGGACTTTCTTCAGTCATGTTCGCGATTTAGCAACCGTGGTGAAGCATCTACCCTGAAGATCACTGTCTCGTCCGTGAAGAAAAATCTACTGCTGCGAATCGTCGAATGGCTCGTGCATGCTTCCGAAGAGCTCGTCCGAGTTGATGCTGCGCATAGACTCATGTTGATACGAGTAGCGATTTTGATATTCTCTCGAATGTAGCTGTTGGGATATGACAGCAGGACACCGAAGGATATCACAAAGAGGCAAAGCTGTCAGCAATGCGAGAGCGGCCCTTCTATAGGTGATCAGAGTACCGCTAAGACTGCGGCGGCCCCATGCTGCCTGCATGAGGTCGTGGATCCAGCTCGTGGTGGAAATGATCATCCGCGGTGTGAAAACACGATCTATTAGGCTTGCGAATTTCCCCGACAAAGCTCTCGCATCCTGAGAAGCCGCTGAAGGAACGTTCGCAACAGCATCGGCTGCAAGCACCGGAAATATGACTATTCAATTGCCGGCCCGTCTCGTACGCAATAAGGCAAATGAAGGCTTCTGCCATAAGCTGATGGGAACCATACATGCAATGACGCCACGACGAGTCTCGAAAAATGCCTAGGACTGCGAAAGCGGCGAATGGACGAAGCTCTGATGCATGCCTCACGACACCTAGGCATCAGCCGGCAATGCAAAGACGTTCCGCACAACCTCTGAAACCCGATCTGCATCGAATAATGGTTCCTCGTCGGCAACGGTCAGTCCAGGCCAGGACGCGGATGTGGCTGTGTGAGGCGGAGAAGGAGCGCGTCTTTTGACCCGGCCGTCTCGCGACCTCACGTCCTGCCGGAGAATCTCCCTCGCGCGCATAAGGAGAACCGCTGTGGCTAACCCTAAGCGAATCGTCTCTGTGATATCCAGAGGCTGCGAGCGCTGGCATATCGCTTCGTACGAAGGGGTGAGCCACTGTGGCACCTCGAACTTCACCGAAAGGACAATCTTCTCCACAGGGTCAATCCGAGGACGATGCTGGTGTATTTCCTTGATGGCGCGCTCGCGAATCTTGTCGCATACGAAGCGGGTGGACATGGATAGGAGATCAATCCACTGTGGAAGGGTAAGCTTTCCGTCTTCGTGCATGCTGTGCGGCTACAATGAGACGTTGGAGCGAAGTGAAGAAGTGCACTTCCACTCACCTGTTATACAAGAATGCTAGTAGGCTTTCAAACTCGCGCCGAGTGACATCATGCAGTGGGATCGCCGTGTCGTCAGTCTGGCCCTCTGCGGCAGCCTCGCCAGAGGGCAATTGAAACATGGCGCGTAGGAAATCCGACTCTCGAGCTAAGAAATAACGATGGACCTTGAATAGGGCACCGTCCACCTGCGCAATTCACAAGGCATGACTAGCTCGAGACGTTGTGCCCATAAGGTGTCAGTGGCACCAACCTCAAATATGGCTAAGTTATCCTCCAGGTAAAACACCGGGTGTCGCGGAGGCAGTTCCCTCGTTGGCGGCGGCGGCAGACGTAACGGACTCAAAGGAGAGGGCGGCGAAGGAGGAGATGGAACGCGAGGAGATGGAGCACGGGAAGACGGGCCCGAAGAGAACCTCCACGGAGACATAGACCGGGAGGACGATGAGCTAGTCACCGACATTTGCGATATAGGCCGTCAATGAATACAATCCAAGCAATGACGGGTAGAGTAAGGGAGGGACAAGCAGCATCTGACAACTTCGGCCGTCATGTATTACTTTATAATGAAACTCCAGCTCAGCTTGTGACGAGCGAAAGCGGTTGTTATTCCATTGCGAGTTAGGGACGTTCCACTCTAATACCCAACATGTCCAAAAGTCGAGCGTCATTTGTGTCAAATATTCTAGCCTGCATGGCAAATATTATGCAGATAAGAACGCCGCATCTAATCTGGCAACGTCGTACGCCACGTTCCTGATGAAGCGTGATTATTCTCTTAATGCACGTCACAGAGGGAGCCTGCAGCTCCAAAGTAGCTATGAACATACCTGCAATGCTGACGAGTAGTCTAAAGAGGGATGATCTGCAGGCCATGCATTCAAGAGCGCGACGGGTTTGAGGCATCCCCTACCCAAAACGTCTCCGAAACGGTCGTGTTCACCAGTTCTTCATCAAATGCCTCTGGCGGTGCATATCTGATTCCGTACTGCTTTTCCTGATGGGCCCGGAACGTCTCATCTCTGATCGTCTCCCGTGCTCTTCCGACCCGCGCGGCGATCTTCGCTCCCAGCTGCTCTGCCTCGCCGTCATCTAACGGGTGTGGTCGCCGGCACAGCTCGGCGTATGCAGGAGCGAGCCAGCTCGGAACGTCATGTTTGATTGCAAGCACAATGGTCTCGACGGCGCTGAGGGAGGAGCGCTGAGCGGAAAGGGCACGAATAGAGAGGGTGCGAATTGTGGTAAAGCGAAGGCGGGTGGAGACATCTAGGAGGGTAATCCATTCGGTGACAGATAGCGTGCTGTCTTCGTATACCCTGTATGTGAATATAAGAAACGAGGTCTCGTCATGCTGCGGGTGGCTTCCGACATCACCTGTAGTACAGGAAATTGAGGAGACAATCAAATTCATCCGATGTGAGATCCGGGATCGATATAGCTGTGTCGTCCGTGGCTCCAGACGGCCCTATAGAGCTATTTCCTGGAGACAGCAGCTCACGGAAGTACTCGGAATTATGCTCGAGTAAATGACGATGTACCCTGTAGAGGCTTCCCTTCACCTGTCAATAATTCATTCAGAGATCATTGGACATTTACTTGTCAAAGTGGAAACACGGACATTGAGTATCACCAAGCCGTCTTGAAAATAGAACGAGTAATGGTGCTTTGAAGGAGGATCGGGACCAGGTAACGCCCGTACCAATGTTGATTCAGTACACATCGTATCTGGACGACTCGCATTTGAGGCATTCACGTGAATCGTTGCCGATAGTGCCCTCGCAGAGTCAGGGCTCGCGGCCGGCCTTCCGGACACACTGAGCGCCTTGCGTATCCTGAACGCGCTCGAAAAACTGGCAGGACGAGCAGATCCCGCGGAAGGGTACGCGGGCGGAAACTGTGATACGAGAGAATGGACGGAGTCGCTCGTCAAGTCGGTCCTGGACCGCGTGCACTTGAGGTCTAACGGGGAAGCAATACTGGGAGAGACAAGTTCGACAGAGCGCGCCTGTGAGTCTTCGTGCTGCGAGAAGCTATCATACGGAGACAAGGGCGCTTCTAGCCTTGAATCTACGTCAGAAGAGACGCTCTGCAGAGATAGATCTGTAGAGGCCATTGAGCGTGCTGGTGTGGGAGAAACCGGGGATGGGTCAGGGAGCGAAGGAAATGGCACTGGTGAATGTGAATGAGCCCAACTAGGCGGAGATGTTGTCCTCGAGAACGAACTCTCAGAGATGAAACCAGATGCGTCGGGTATCGTAATCTGTAGCCGACCGGGAGCCATGCAATCGAGCAGATAGTGGTTGTACAGATGTCGTAGCGTGCAGAGAGAGCTGAGCGCACCGACTATGTACGTCTCTCGCTACATGCGCTCTGCACATGCCTCGAGAGTATGATGTGTTGCTCATGTAAGACGCATGTTCAGGATTTTGAGGGGCATCCGGTTGCGGCATTTGTAGTCGCCCCTATTACGACAAGGCCATGCTTTGAGAACCGAACTCCGCTGCTCTACACTTCACATTTGATAGTCTAGGTGCTTGCCTCGATTGATGTTGTTATACCGATGGAAAGGGTTTCACGAGCACCATGTTGATCTCTTGACCGCTCAAAGCACGAGATGGCAGAGGTCGCAGAAGGCTCGAAGAGATAAGAAGTGCTTCGCGGGATGACTTCTGCCAGCCCTTGGTGCTGACGTCGGATTGAGACAAACAGAAAGTGGCGAAGAGAAGGTCGTCATGATTGATCCGGCTATTGAACTTGTGTGAGAGCCTACGTAGAGCCTTGGTTTCATATCAAGCGCCCAAGATCACCCATTTATTGATATGAATTATGGGCAAAGTCGCCTTCGACAAAGCTGATCGTGAATTCAGCAAGTCGAGAGCAACTCCGTATAGAATAGCATCGCAAATGTCATGCTGGTATCAACAGATGCAGATGCAGATAAATTGTCCTCCTATTATGTGTCAAATATCCTAGATGTTGGTAACCCCCTACTATCAGAACTTCCAGCCACCCGCAAGGCCCATGACATTGTTTGGGTCGTACTGCTTCTTGATAATTTGCAATGCAGCTATGTTGTCGCCATACATCCTCGACGTGGGCGTATCGTAGATGGCGTAATTCGGATAGAGAGCAGCATCGGCGACGTCCTGGCCCTCGTCCACAGCAACCTGGGTGAGGTAGCTCGCGCTCTCTTCCATGACCTGGTGTATCAGCCCGTCCGATGCTTCATCCAGCCATGCGTAGTAGATATTCATCGGGAGGAGACCCTGCGCGCGGCTGGGTGGCCAAGCGGAGTCGGAGCCATGCGAGAAGACGCTTGACAGGAAGGGCTCGATATCGTAGCTGATGAACAGTCCCGGGACTTCAAGCGCCAATTGATCCGACCAGAACTGTCAGTACACTATGTCAGTCAAACAGACAAGCCATTTCCTTTTTGCCACGGACGAACCTCTGTTTCATTGACGACGGCATCGAGCAGCCCTGGTGTCAATTCATATGTCGATACGGTGTCGAAGTATCCACTACATTGATAGTTGTTGAGTATCATAGCATGAGCATAATTGGCAACATACCGTAGGGTAGACGTGTCGTTGCTTGGCGCTGTGAGTACGAGCGAGAGGAAAGAACGCGTGCTGACGTCCTGTTCGACGTAAGGTATGGCCAAGAACTCATCGAAAATTCCATCAGGTGGCGATGGTCCATCGTAGAATAGGTTGATCTCGACGATCGTCTGCAGCATGGAGATGCACGGTACCGCTTTGAGCTGACTATATTTAATATGGACAATGATGTCACGTACTAATCCGAGATCCCAGTTGAACGTTGTGAGCAGCGCAGCCTTGGGGTCAGTGACGTTCGCATAAAAGTTGGCCGTCGCAGTCTTCGCCTGGTCCGTTTCCCCCAGAGAGATGATCGTACCACCCTGAAAATTCTATCAGGATGCAAAAAGCGGCATTACAGTGTTCTAGCCTTACCCAGACTTCACCCTGCGTGAAGGCCTCCAAAGTAAATTGAGTGACGATGCCCTATTGTCTCAGGTCAGCAGAGGGGCTTCCAGGCAGCAGCGATCGGTATGCTCACGAAGTTGTTGAATCCTCCCTACAAAGTTCGATGACGTCAGCTTTGCTGCCGGACCGGTCTGCAGAGGTGTGATCTCGCACCTTCAAAGCCCAGAAGAGATCCGGATTCGAAGCATTTGTGACACTCGTCACCGTCCCATTCGGAAGAACCAGCTCATAAGAGACGACCGTATCAACGGTCAAGCCATGCTGGTTTGAGAGGAACGAATATCCTTTGATCATCACGACATAAATAAGCTCGTGTCCACCGAACCAAAAGCATAAAGCAATGCAATGCAATGCTTACCTCCACCCAGGATGAAGCCCCCTACTCCGACACCAGTCACGCGTCCACCAACGACGTTCACGCCATATGGCTCGAGTGCCTGGTACACATCGTCCCAAATGAGGCCCGCACCAATGTCGACCGTCTGCGAGTCCGAGTTGTATGTCACGCCATCAAAACGTGACATCGCAATCTGGACACCAGTCGTGGAGGAAAAGCCAGGATTCGCGATATGCCCTCCGCCCTTTATCTGCGTGAAGACGCGTCATGCCAAGGACGATATATGCAATGTTTAGGAAAGGAACTAACCCCGAAGGAAGTGTTTGTGGCCGCTAGGATTTGCAGCTGAGAATGAATGAGCGATGAGTCCACGAAGAGCTCGCGAGAGGTGTCTGCGCTCACGACGGTGCCGACATCCTCAGGAGTACCTGGCTCGACCGAGCATGTTGCTATCTGTGAGCTCGACGACGCCCAGTGATAATTGTCTTCGGTGTAATACAATTCCACTGTAACAAGCGGCATATGTTATCATTTCAAATATCCCGCGACAAGCCTGAGAACGTAATCATGAATGTGGACGTACACGGCCAATAGACCTCGGAAGCCGATGTAATGGCGTTAGAGATCTCTTCGCATATCGAAAGTATGCTCCTACGCGTGGGCAGAGCGCTCAGTTCGGGGACGACAGCGTAGGCGGGATATGGAGCAATGAGTGACAGAAGCAGAAGGAGCGTCGTGGCCGCAGAACGAGAGAAATGCAGCATCGCGATCGACTCCGGCAGAGTTTTGCGGGAAAGTACAAGCTATATGGCTGCGTCTGCCAAACCTCAGATGGATCGAGGATGCGGGCCTTGCAAATGGAAACGGCATGGTCACCATGTCATTTATAACCTGCCCGGAATGAGGGGCGAGGACGGATATTGCAACGGTGGTCTTCACACGAGCTATAGACGGCACAGTGCAGTCACCGCCGTCACGGTATCGCAGGAGGCTGTCCGAACCCAACCACTATGCCGAGCCCATGGGAACCGGAGCATCTTGATGATGGCCGATATACCGCTGGTGTCCGTGCCGATAATCTTGCGTTCAACGTTCCAAGCGTACGTATTGCAATTACAGCGCCTCCCTCACGTCATCATGCCCGAAGTAATCGCTCCTCAGGTGGAATGTACTCTTCAGTGGCTTTTGCAAGGCTGAAGCATGGTCGCGAGGGCTGAGCACTGCAGCGCTGATGATGGACAACCGTCCTCCTGTGTAAGATGTTCCAAGAGAATCATAAGAAAACGACCCGGTAGCGGCTGGGCGCTGACCTGGATCCTGGTGCTGATCAACTTCGACCCCTCTCAGGTACGCAGCGATACTGGCGCACTTCCATAACAATGGGTTTCGAATGGAAGAACTGACGGAAGCAGGGGAACCTCGTGTGCATGAGAGTGTTCTTGCGCCGCCCTATGATACTAGCCCCTCTCATTCAACCCCTCAGGCCAAGTCTGAGCATCGAGTGCGCAATTGTCACAGTGCGCTGACGCTCCCTAAAGCTTTAGGGGCCAGCCGAGCCCAGTTCCGATGCAGGCAACCGCTCCAGTTGAGCCAACACCTCGTGGTGGAGGAGCGAAAGTGGCGTCAAACGAGGTTGCCGTCAGTCTGCAACACCGTGCTTCAGTCAAGTTCGCGGAGTCGGGTCTCTCACAGGCACGATGACCTAGACTGTCGTGGCTTTTAATAAACAAGCTTTTCGGCGTCTCCATATATTGGATCATTGATAGCAGTCTCTATTGCCGCACATACTCCTGCGGAACATAGACATAAATGCGCACGTCACCTGTCGGCATGTGGATCACAGGTGCAAGTGGTGGGAAAGAGACTTGGTATTCATGTCTAGGCCTTTCAATTGTCCACAGTATCGTACGACTAGGCAACGGGAAAAGCGGCAAGCGTAGGCGTTACATGATCTCCGCGAGCGTGATTGATACGCGAAGCAAGTGCACAATGCCATATGGTCATGCAATCCATGGTACACCGCATAAGTCATTGCATAAGGCCGAGGAAAGCACGGGATAACAATACAGGAGCGTGCATCAAAACATGGCGAACAACATCCACACTCAGAACTAGATCAGTGCGCTGCGTTAGAGGAAGTGCAAGACAATGATGGGACGAAACGAACGCACCCTGAGAGGCTGGAAAAACCACTTGTTCTTCCCGCTCTGGTACCTGTCCTCCAGCAGCTTCTTGATCTGCTTCTTCGAGTCCACCCGTTGCGACGGCTCCTTGAATGTCTCCGAGGTAACAGTGCCCTTGAGGCCCTCGAGCTCGAGTGCATACCGTGTCGGGAAGAGGTGCGAGTAGTTAATCACCTGCGACGCAAACGCGCCCAACCCATCAATTTCTGCACTCCTCGTCCGCACGAGCCTAGTAGGCTGCACATATACGCACCTTGATGAACGGCTTGATCTTACTCCGCTTCGCCAACTTCTTCGCACCCATACGCCGGGTGACCTTGAGCGGGTAGCGCTCGACGCCCGCAACGATCGCATGAGGGTATGGTCGTTCCTTGGTACCCTCATCTAGCTGTTTGATCACAACGACCTTCTTGCCTGCCTGGCGTCCCTGCAGCACAATCGCGACCTAACATTCTGCCAATTAGCATCTGCCGTCCTTCCTTCGCAATGAGTGGGTTTCTCACTTTGCCGGGCTTGTATACTGGGAGATCTCATTCAGCACCACGAAAGAAGGGGCAATAAACAACGAAGTTTGACGTACCTCGCGGCATCTTGAGGAACTTGAAGAAACGGAGGGGCGAGCAATATTTCCTTACCTCGCGGTGACCGCGCGCCACATTGGTTGTCTCGCGAATTTCCGGAGCCACCCGGACTTTGCCGCTTATCTACTGTACAGTTCTCGATGACGCGACTGAGATGTGGCGTGGAAATGTATCGTCGGTAGCGCTCATCTGCAAGTATTATGTTATATCGCACTATGAATTGAATTCAGCACAATTCAGATTGCAGATACTGGGAGCCAAAGTTGCACATAATCGTCCCCCGGGTCCTCAGCCTCATCGCGTTTGCCGAAATACTGATATAAATGTAGGTGAACCGTTGGCGAGACCGCATACTGCATCGATCTCGAAGAATTAGCCCTCGGTACCATTACTCCGCATGTCAACTGCCGCGCTTTCTGTCTTCAAACACCCCACTAATCATTCATGCAAATATCCGCACCTGTTACCCATACAACGATATCAAGAAAGTAACAGAGGGTATCTTGTGTGCTCATACACACGGAAAGGTGACTCATTCCTAAAACTGATGCAAACGACATGCGTGAACATTACTGGTCTCGCATCTCGCAATGTAGCTGTATTCCGTCATCTCACTGAGGACTAGATAGAGACATCAGCGAAGACTGGCCGGTGGTCACTCGCGAGGATGCCGTCATCGGTCAACGAAGAGCCCACGCGGTAGGCATCTGCTGACCTTCATGAAAGAATTGTGCGTTAGTTCAGGACTTCGTGTCTAGAAAAAAAGTACGTTACGCACCATCCCCCGTTACTCCCACCAAAAATAAAATCAATGCGGGTGAACACTGACGGATCTCCCGGATGATTGAACCCCGTGAACGTCGCAAAGTCGCCCGAGATTCTCAATCTCGGCGTCTCTGCCTTGAGGTCCTGCATGAGAAACTCCGGGAGCACCCCCTTAGGCACCGCGTACTTTTGCGCAAACGTCTCGTTCACGCCAATGGGTGGCAATGCGCCAACGACGATCTGGTACGCGCCCGAGTCCAGCCCTGTCGCGGCGCTGTTGAAGTCGCCAGTGACGAACACGGGCCCGCCGGTCTTGTGCGCCTCGTAACGCGCGCGGAGGAGAAGCATCGACGCGGCAAGACGACGCTGCATGTCCGAGCGGTCATCCAGATGTGCATTAATCACTGTGAAGGGCTTTGGCGCGAGGATGCTTGAGGAGGTGGGTTGGAAACGGACGACTTCACAAACTCGGAAGGAGCCTGCGTCTGGAAACTTGGACGGCTCAAACGGCTTATCACTGGAGGGCGGAATTAAGCGAACGGGCGATTAAGTACCATTGTGAGATAGCACATACGAGAGCCAGAAGGATTCGTGAGAAACGAGATGGAGCTCTGATCTACAATGAATGTGTTGTCAGGATACTCGCCGAGCTTGTGAAATGGGCGAATCTACTTCTTGTAGAATATTGGGCAGAACTCTCCTGCTTCATTGCCGTCATCACGTCCGACTCCCACCTGATACGTCAGAACAGTCGATTGCATACGCAATTGAGCGAGGAATGCAGACGCTACTGACCCAACCCCACTGATTTCCAAGCAGTTCCGCGAGATCATGAACTTGCCTGACGAGTGCTTCCTGGAATCCTAGAGTATATGTGAGAATCAGGATGGGCCGGATAGCTAGTACACCGCTTACCTATAACGGCCGGATTCTCGTGCAACAGCTGCTGCGCAACCTTGATCCTCCGTTTGCTCCATGGCTGCTCACCGCTCTTACCCAGAAACCACGGCCGGTGCAGAGGATCTGGTAGTCCGTCAATCGACTGCTTCACCGATACATTGTCAGGCTGAGAGTCATATCGCAGGTTATAGGTGGCTATGCGCATGCTGGACGGTTCGGACGCCCAATCGAAAAGATGGTCGAGTCTGGAGTAGCCGAACAGAAATGCGGTGAGCAATGCAAATAGTGACCGCGCCATGGTCCTGTGCATACAAGTGAGTTGCGTTATACTGGCTGGCCGAGTCCACCCTCTAGGACAAACTCACAGACGTGTCGATGGAAGGGTCGCAACCGCCGGTCGGCCAGTTTAGTTAGGTCGGGCATTCATCACCATCGGGATCAATCTACGATCACGTTCATTAATAATTATTCTAAGCGCTAGTGTCTGAGTGACGTGCCACAACGTGTTTCTTCACCCATTCGCTTTCAGTCATGGACTGATGCCACTGCTTCCGTCCTATTTCCTCTCAAAGGCATTGTTGAAAACAATATATGACTCTAGAATTTTGCCTGCATGTCAACGAAGCTTCAGCGCCGGTAATCCACGGACTAGTAGCTCGATGAATGTCAAACATGCCATGCAAGTATTCAGGTTCTCGTGCAGACTGTCAGGGCTATCACTATAGCTATCTACCACAAGGTTCCAACTTGAACTGACAGCTCGGCGGAGACGGTCTGGGTGGGCACGAAATGGGCATTTTTTGGACTGGACTCCAGTGAGTAACTGCTGTCGTGCACAAAATGTCCCTTTCTATGTATTCGTCTCGGGGTTTGGGGTTTGAGAGTCTCTCTGAGGCCAATGCTCCAGAATAATGCTCACATAGTAGCAGATCTTCTATTGATCTTGGCACAGACAATTTCGCCTTCCTGTTCCTTCCTCGAGGAAAGGCTTACAGTCGGGTTTTCTGAGCTGATGTCAACCCATGACTGGCTCCAGAATGCAGCCTGAATGTGCGATCAACGCAATGGCACGTTGGATGCGACTCAACCGTCCAGCCAGCTCGATGTCAGCAGAGGTTGTCCACAAATTTCCCGAACCAGAGAGGAATGAAAGTATCCTTCGAGCAAAGTAGTCGCCAGACGAGTTACAAAGAGGTCATGAGAATGGAAACATCGGAGATGAACCGACGTTCGCACAGCACGTACCTCGGGCTGCAACCTTAGCGGCAATCCCTATCACCTGTGTTAAGAGGGTTCTCGTACGCGGTTTGAACGACTTGTGCGAGGAAATGCCCCTCTCCACTCGCGCATTCCAGTGTCCTGTCGAATCCCCAACACGATGACTTTTGCGCCGCTGATAGCATTGAATATGCTCATCAGTCGAGAGAATGACCGTTTCATATCACACATTCGCTCACATACAGGAAAACACTATGCATGCAGTCCACTAGTAACTCTACAGACGACTAACAGACCGTTGACGGAACGGGATACCAAATGAGTGTAGGAGTTTTAGCAAGGTGAGAAAGCAAGACGTTCCAGCGTTCCGATTTGATTACCAATATATACTACTATTAGGCTTGTGTGCTGTCAAAGCTACGCCCGCCAGGTTTCTTGTGGACCTCTTAGTGCCAGATCGCGACAAGAAGCCAGAAGCCATCCTTGGCGGCTGAGTTGCTCATTTGAAAACGGAATGAACAGGCAGAACTTGCTTGCCTAGTCGAATCAGGGATCGCATGGCATGGTGTGAGATGCTGGTTGCGGCATGGATGGGATCTATTCGGGTCTCTTGCTCCGGGTGACAGTGAAGATGGTGATGGTGAGTTCGGCCTGGCATCCCATTTGATATTGTCCACTTCGGTCATTCGAACTGCATTCTTTGCGACCGTCTTTGATATTCGTTCGATACTGCCACGTACGAAATTAATCGAGCACGAGCATGGAAAAACTGATATCGCACTGGAATTATGTCGGAAAACTGACGCCAACGCTGAGCAATCAGGGGATGTCCAACCAATAGCAAAAGAATAGCATTGACATCAGGATATATGTGCGGAGACGAGTATTACGGACGGGAATAAGCAAGAAACTGTCCATTATGGAAGTCGAATGCAATCTGCGCAATCGCGAGTCCACTGTCATGCAGCTCCCTACCATGAACAATTCATCAACATCCCATCGCCACTCGACGTCCAACGTCCGTTACAGCCATATCGTCGCTGTTGAGTGCGGAGTCTACCCCATATGTATGTTTCAAAACAAGCTCAGTAGCGAATCGTCTATCGTACATCCTCGCCGCTGCACTACCTCCAGGCTTTCGTCGTGCAAATTTAGCGATTGACATGGATGTGAGGATGCATCAAGACCGATGGCCTCTATCCAACTACCTAAAGACAGTTCACCACTTGTCATAGTCGAACCTACCGTGCAGTCGGGTCACGATCTGTTGGTAGTCGGGCTCCTCATCCGGGGTGAGATACCCGTGGCGGATCATGAAGTCCAAAAGCACTGTAGGATAAGTAAGTATGCCGTGGACGTTGCGCATGGGAAGGGCGCACCGGGAGCGGTGTTTGGCTTGAACAGGCCTGCACGAATGCGAGTGACCACTTCTTCGAGTGGGAGGAGCTGCGAGGTAGTCGAGGTTCAAGTTACTGTTAATTTCGGAAACAAATTACGCAGGCTGTATGCGCCTCGTGCTAACCTCGAACGACTCGACCTCTCCATCGAGGGGCTTGGGCTTGTAGGCGTCCCGCTCTGCACCCGAAGGCACACGCAGGTCATAAGCGTACCTGCGACATGGCACGGTCGGGCACGGGAGATTAAGTAAAGGAACGAATAGCGCCTACGTGACCTCTGGCTGCAGCCAGCCAGCCCCGGTCCTGCCGGATGGAAAATGCATCAGCGAGTCATCTCACGCCCGACGCCGCTACTCACCTAAAGAAATAGCTGACGCTGTCGAGGGCACGCGCATGCCTTTGTATACCCCCTTCCGCGAGACTCGCCTCTTCCATCGACTCCTTGACGAGGCTCTCAAACACCCCGAGGCCGGAGGGAATACCGCCCGCGACGGTGTTGTCCAGATAGCCCGGCCACGTCTGCTTGGTCCTCGCGCGCTTCGAGACCCACACGCGGCAGGACGTCGGGAGGCCGTCCTCGTCCCGGTCCTCCTCGTAGATAGTCATGTGCACGCCGTAGGTCACGACGCCGAAGAGCGCACACGCAGCGCGCTCCATCATGAACGCATAGTTCCGTCCATCGTCGTCGTCGTTATTAGCGTTGCTGTCGTGTGCTGGTGCGTCATGTCGCCCGAACGGGTCACGGTAGACGGGGTACTTCTCGGCCCGCCACTTGCGCGGGCCGATCACGTCTGCGTACAGCCCCTCGTCGCGCCACCGCTCGCAAAGCTCCTTCATGACACGCGTCCGCGCCGCCGCGTTCCGTAGTTCGGGAGAGAAGCTGACATGCATCTTTCCTCCGCGCAATTCGAGGACCCATGGTGGAGAGCGCCCTTCTCGTGCGTTCTCGCGTCTCAAGTGCTCGACGATTTCTGGGCGCAACAGCCCAATGGCAGGAGAACCTGGCTCGGGGGAGAGGCACCAGGTTGCGAGAGGTTCGTCTGGGTTGATTCGGTAATTATCGCAAACGTTCAGGATGTCCAGGAAGCTGCGCGGTGTAGCAGACGATGGCACCGCCATGTTCAAGCCAACGGATGAAGGCAGGTCGAGCATGCATCGATCATACCCGAGGCAATATAAAGATACTTATTTGGCTCACTTTGTTCACTTATCTTCGCCACTCAACGGGTCAATTAGGTTCTGTGATGAGAAGTATATCAGTCCTGCATATGGAGGATGCGTGAGGGCTGCATTCTAGGGTGGCCCCGGATCCAATAGCGATAGGATTTGGGACGCACGAGGAGCTTTCTGGTGTCTTACTGCGGTCCTTGAGTAATGATCATAGCGTTTTACGTACCATATGCGCTTTTGGGCTGCCCATTTGCCAACATGACTCCACAATTGCATTTGAAACTGATTGACGGATGGAGCGGGTAGGGCATTAAACCTCTTCCGCTGTCCTGCATATCTCCTTCTAGGGTATGGCCGCAACATGACGCCTTGACCAGATAAAAAGCAAAAGGAATTTTGATTTCTAGACAGCGCCGCGAGTATAGAATGATACCTGGCGATAGTGCTTGCACATACACGGTAAGCCTGTTCAACGTGAGGGCTGCATTCTACGGTTGCCCGGATCCAATAGCGATAGGATGTGGGATACGCGAGGAGCTTTTTGGTCTCTTGCTGCGGTCCTCGAGTAATGATCATAGCGTTTGACGAGTACAACGACTACGATTTCATACTACTGCGATAATGTGTCATCATGCCGACTCGTCTGCATCGTCGGGGGGTTTTCGAGCACCTCTGGGAGTCCGAGGGTAAAGAGGAGAGTTGCTACCGTCTGGTCCATGGGTCCGAAGAGCAGAATCAAAACTGTACAGTCAGGCGGTCAAGAGAGATAATGCTTGTGAGCAGTCAACCTTTGGATTGGCACTGAGGTGACGGCACGGTGATGAGCATGCAAAGTTGGATGTAGCAGACAACATTCTGTTACACTTATCTCTGTCTCAAGGCTCACCAAGCCCTCCAATGCGGAGTCACCATTCTCCATGTGAGTAGCAGATCAAAGGAATGTCTATTCCATCAGGCGCACCGAAGAATCTTCGTGCGGGTAGATTAAAGCATACAGAATCAGGATTCTACGTGCCTTGCGGACGAATAGATATCAATGGAAGCTCATCCGACCCATATCCATCACCCACTAGAAGCTTCCTCATGCCTTGAAGGCTCCGCGGACATTGCTGCGCCGTTTTGAAGTTCGCGGCAATTCTGCGAACAGAATGGCAATTGTTCTGCATAGCATTACAGATGCGATGCGCCCTAACCAACATCGCAGCTCTTCACACTGTGAGAGGACACAAAGAGGGCAAGGGAGATGACTAGAGCAGCTTCAGGGCGCCGTGCTTTGCCACATACGCTCTTGTCAGAATATGATATTAGATCAATGGTGTCAGATCGCACGTACCATAACTTGGCCTGCGCTTCATCAAGGTGACCATATCGCCGCACACCACGAGTACCGTCACGAGGCTGCCAGCCCGTCATCGCCGGTGGGGCTATACTACTTACAGCAGCGCCACAGTCTGCGTAAGACATATGCACGCAGGTTCGCAAAATGCAGATGGGAAAGGCGTAGCCATCCGGATGCCAGAATACCTAGGAGTTGTGCCTTTGTCAATCCCACCCCACAGTTGAATGGAAGCATGAGCCGACGCACCGCAATCATACCACATCCGTAACGCCAGGAGCATCTAGGACTGGCAGGGCGCAGATGAGGCGCCCAAAGACGGTGATTGACGGGAATGTGACTTTATAGAGATTGAGGCTAGTGACAGAGGAGAATGCGGAGAGATGGAGGAATATGTCTTTGTGCATCGTCCATGGCTGCCAATTTGAATACCGGATTGAAAGCCGCTCGATCCGGGGCAGCTTGCGAGCGAGCAGGATCGCCGCCAGCGACAGTGCTGACAGATCTGACTTTTCACTGCCCGATATGTGCATATTGTGCGGCCGCTTTGACAGCTCGGGCGTCTGCTTCAGGATCTTGACATACGCCTTCACACCCTTCACACTCTGGATCCTGATCTGGCTGTGCAAGTGAAAGCGACTTGGAGGGTACCATGCCCGACAGACGAGCCTGCACATCCACAAAGCCCACTCGTTGTCCCAGAGATGATTGATCACATTCTCCCAGACCTCGATCAGAAGCTGCGGCAGAGGTCTCGTCGCCACTGGTACAGTTTCGGATGAGCCAGTCTCCCCTGCCTTGCCCTTGCCCTTGACCTAACGCAGCATAGCACGTAAATGGTCAAAATCGGGTACGTGGCGCTTTCCCACTCACCATTGGCTCAAGCCTTTGCACTTTGACCATCTTGTGCCCTGAAGCGTGCGTGGCGTATTTCAGATTCTGTTCGGAGAATGCCTTAGCGTTGGTGTGTCGACTGGTGGCAGATGGTTGCAGGTTTGAAGTTTCCAGGCCAGCTTTCGAGGTATATGTATTCGTTTCCTCGAATTGCAACGTGCTTCATGGTTCAGAACACATACAGCCAGCCAATCGGAGTGCTTTTTGAAGATGCTGTACACTCACCGTCCATTTGTGGATAACGCACAGCCCAGCAGTATAATTAGCGGTCGACGAAGCATGAACGACGACGCGTGACATGCATACCACGGTCATTTCATTCTTTCCGAGTTGCTATGTGCATCCTTCAGTGCATCCTTCCAGCTCACGCGCATTCCAGCGTGCAGATTCAGAATTCTCCGTGCCTTGCGGACGAGCACACAGCATTTGACCACAAGGCTCTTGCGGTGCACACTGTTACACCGCTTCAAGCCTCGTGATGATTCTGCGAATGGAACGGCCACTATTCTGCATAGCATCGCAGGCGCGCCGAGCCCCAACGAACATCATAGCTGTGCGCACTGCCCGGGGACAGAAGGAGGGCATATGGGATGACTGGAGTAGCTTCGGGGCGCCGTGCGTTGCCACATACACTTCTTGTCAGAATATGGTATCGGATTGATGGTATCAGAACACACATACCGTAAATTTACCGGCGTACTGCGACTCCTCTCCCTCGCCCTGTTCCGCGTCCTCCCCGCCTTTCGTCTCCCTCTGCCCCACGTTCGCCGCTGAACGGAGCTCCAAGCCCGACTTGCTCTTGAGCATGTCCCATGAGAGCAGCGAGTTCGATGCTGAACCGGAGGATGGCGAGCGCGTCCTCGAGCTGTCGGGTATGGTCGTTTATGTCGTCGATTCTCTGATGAAGTCGGTCTTTTTTTTTCCAGGATGAACCAATGCGAGCGTGCAGAAGCAGCATGAGCCATTATAGCGCGAGAGCAAAGGCGATATATCGAAGCCTCAAGGCTGAGGCCTCAACGTGTGGAACCCAGCATACCTGTCACCATGCCTATTTATTCTGTTCGCCGTCGGCGTCCACGAGTGACCCTGGTGCCCGTCAACATGCATGCTCATCCTCGCTGGCAGCACCTGCGCCCATCTCCTATCCAGCTCCAAGCGTGTCCCATAAGTCTTGAAGCAGTTCACCCGGAGCAGCGCCGGCACCAGCGTGATCGTCGATACGGACAACGACGGCGTCAGATCAGAGTCAAGCGGGTTGATCGCGCAGCGTAGGTCGATGTTCCGTCCACCCGCCTGGCGCTGCTCGAACAGCGCTCGCCATACTGCGTTTTCGTGGCACAGGAGATCCTATAGACTGCAAGTGCGATGCAGCGGGACCCCATTCATGAAGGATGCAGTCACGACGTATCTGGACACTCGGAGAGAGGAGAGCACGGACGGGAGGTCGATGAAGGAGAGTACATGGAGCACGCGTTCCGTAGGGAGGTGTCCTCTGAGACCTGCATGGAACGGAGTGAATTATCACATAAAATTGTAATAATGAGGAAGGTTCTCGGAAGCCGATTTCGCTAGCATCGCCGTGTATGAAGAGCGGATAGAAACGAGTGCCGCAGGTGAGACAGGGATCGACTCACAGTTCCAGTGACCTTTGCGAAGAACGCCTCGTCCTCAAACAGATGACCCTCCTCACCGACCAGGAGCCCTCCCTGACGGCGTCCAGTATTCGCGATACGAAACTCATGCGAAGATCCGGACGCTGCGATGCCTTCGTGAAGGCTGGGCTTGATATTCGCGAGATATCCGCTTATAAGTCAGTGGTACCCAGAGCTCGCGCCGGCCAGTCGACATGTGGCGTAGAATGCTATCGCCGTCCATCCATAGCGTACTCAGACACGAACGCATCTGCACTCCAGCTCCGGGTAGAGTAGCTTTCCGTGCGCAAGCTGAGTGAGGGTCGGGATGTGACGACGTATCCGGGGGGGGGGGGGGCACGGCAGCAAACGCGCCAGCAATCGGCTCCAAGTCCGCACCCTCGAAACAAGTCCGGGAGAGCCACGTAATACTAGCAGTACGCAATGTCGATGACTAGAGGCCGTCTAGGGGAAGGTCGAGCGTGGTGAGAAACGGAGAGCCAAGGGCCAGATCGCACATGTTGCTGAAGCAGGCTTCAGGGCGTACGCTCGTGTTTGCTGTGTGGGACGGCCATGCAGTGTAAGTGCAGCGGGACGTAGAACTCTGGTATGGCGCATAGACAGGATGAATAATGCCAGAAATGCCAGACGGCGACGGCGAAGACGAATCGGGGCGAATCGCAGCGGAGAGTGGCACCAGAAATTTGAACGACGAGTTTGCAGCGCGGGACATCGATCAGAGTAAGTACTCAAGAAAAGAAGGGGACGCGTTCAAAGGCTAGTGTGCCTCTAGTGACATAGAGAGACGTCCGACAAAACAAGCAGTGAAGTGTAAGCCTCGGGAGAGGATTATACTTAAGTATTGCTACGTATGGAAATAAAGCTGCCATATATGGCCTCGCAGCGCACCCTTCCTTTCTGACCTGGTCGCATTTGGCGCACACGCTCCACACCTCTCGCCGACTTCCTTCTCAACATGAATCTGGTACTCCTGGCTCTGCGGACGGATGGCTTGCTTGCTTGAACCTTCTTGTACAAACGGTGAGCATATGGCGTTGTCTAACAGCATGTCGGTGAGTACCGTGTGCGTCATTCTATGCCATCCCAAGGCGATCGATCGAGTCAGTCTGCCTAACTGCCACCAGTGAGATAGACGCCGAGTCCGTCGAGACTCGACGGTCATGACGGATTCAACTCACGGGCCCTGGGCTAGCCTTCTTGCAATTGGAGAAACGGACGCGCTGTCCTCGGCATTAAAGTCAAAGAGCAACAAATCCTAACTCGGCGACTCTCTGAAGGAAACTATAATCTCGCAAGTCCGTTTCTGGTCCCTGTAGTACATTCAAGCTATAGAACAACGGTAACCTCATGCTACCAGTAGACTGTCCTAAAACGTGCCAGATATGCGACAATATGCAGTGAGCAAGCAGAACTTTTATTCATCCACAATACTCGCAATACCCCAACTGATCCCGTCATCCCAGCAACACTTCCCGTCCAAACCCCCCGCGACCCTGGTATCCAAGATACAAGACATGCAGTGATGCCTCATCGAGCCTTGTGAGCTTCGCAAGCAGCTTGGCGCCCAATGCAAGCTACGTGAGCGATTCGCACACTTGATGAGGTACCCGACTCGACGCGAGAATAGCCACCGCACGCGCACGCCTACCTTGCCATAGTCATCCAATAGATGCTGCGATTGCATCCCAAAATCTTCGAACACGCCGTCGCTCGCCATAACATTGACGAGGCGTTAGCCATCAACGACGTTGGACTCAACACAAGCGCGAAACACTCACCGGAAGATTCCCCATTTCATCAGTTGCGGAAACCACCGCGCAAGCTGGTTCTCCCACTGTAGGGCACCTGGAATTATCTTCGTGAATCTTTCAGCGAGCAGCTGGACCTCCACTTCGGTGAGGTTCTTGAATGCACTGGATGAGAGAAATTCATCTATCTTCAAACGCACAGCAGGGATAGAAGTATCCAACACGCTGTCCAAGGTGATAACTCTCTTTCTGACATCGAGCATCAGTTTGACTGTCCGTAGCTGCTCCGATCTGACTGAAGACAGAACTGAGAACATCCAAGTGATGTTCGCATTTGAGGAAACTTCTGTGGACAGCCACACGTTCGACAGTGCAGTGTTCTGGGCACAGGAAAATGCCCAGTCTAAGGGGCACACTGGTCAGTGAGAATGAGCAAACTAAATCAGACTAAAACATGTGCCACTGTTATTCACAATATTGGTGATGTGAGCAAGGTACGCTTGTAGCTCCGCGAGAGATTTGCCTGCAGAATCTAGCAACTGTTGAAAATCCATTGTGTACAGCTCTTGCAAGTTGAAAGGTCGCCTACAACCGAGAACAAGCTTCTGGAGTTCAACCGCGGTCCTGGTGGAGATGAAAAACTCGATCGCTTTTTTGGTACCAAAGCCGTCAAGGTGTAGCTCCGTAATCTTCATGCGATCGCGATGTGCATCAAAAGCCATGTGATTGAAGTCATTGTGTATGAACCTCAGACCAGAGCAGGATAGCATGATTAGACCGGGCAGGGCATAGATGACATGCCCAAAGACCGTAAGGGATGGAAAAGTGATGTCTCGAAGGTCGAGTCTCTTAACGGAGGAAAAGACGGATAGATGCAGAAAGAGATCCTTATGCATCGCCCAAGGCTGCCAAATTGCATTGCAGATGTAAAGCTCCTGAAGCCGTGGCAGCATGCGTGCAAGCATCATCGCCGCTGTCGACAGCTGTGGGATCGGCCTCCATCCTCCTAGGATGCCAACCTTCCACACTCGATCCGCCAAATTTGGCGTCTTCCTCAGCATCCTTGCGCAGGCCGTTACATCCCGTTGATTGAAGAACTGAACCTCGTTCCAAAAGATGGAAGCGGCTCCGGGGGTACCATGCATGGCACACCAGCGCGCACGCCTTCAACTCCCGGTTCCAGTCCTGCAAATGGTCTATCACCTGCTCCCATACCTCCACCGGGAGCACAGGCGAAGCTTTGGTAAGCACTAGTCAGTACATGTTCGTATTGCGAAATGAACAGCGCTTGCCTCTCGAAACGAGGTCTTCTTCCGTGGCCACGACACCATTACGCTTTGCGAGGATTTCGCTCATTCGGCCGGGAACTGAGCCACACTTATGTGATTGAACGTACAAAAACGCATATATTGCTAGATCTTCCACTCACGATCTGTCAATGCTGCCTCGCGCTCGCTTTTCGCAGCCTCGAAATACGTGTCAGGCGCTGCTTGGAAGATGGGGAAGCGACAGAGTATGGTGGACAGAGAACGTCGTGATCCAGGCATCTATATCTTCTGTTGTGCATATATGGCTCCTATCGGTTCGCGCAGCGTCCAAACACGCGATATCGCCTGCTGAAACTGCCATAATATGGCCGTACTGCCCAATTGAAATGCTTGTACTGCCTCAATATACTGTTGCTCCGTATGAGCGCATACACGTGAGACTATCAGGCATGCGCGCGTGCCTTCATCCCATTCGCCATGGACGAGTTCGCTGCGTTTCATGAGCTGATTGGCCTTCCCACCCTGATAGATTGGATCATCGAGACACGCAGCCTCCATCATGATGATATATCAACAATTGAGATGGTGCGTGATAGTGGCGTTATGACCTCCTATTGCCCGATGTTCATTTAATCGCATCATTCGGCAAGCCGCTAGAAGTGACCGCTTCTCTCACCAAAACCACTTCCTATACTTCGCAGAAATACCCTGCATGCCCGCTAGCATCAGACCGCACAGATCGCGCAGACTTCCGTGTTTTGAGCTCGTGAGCCGGAAACCACTCCCAAGAATATCGGGTGATTAATTGATCAAGAATCAGCATAAGCGGCGTCGCACAGAAGTCGGCGGACCGTGTAGCTAAACATATAATGAGCACAAGAGTGATCATTGAGGTGGAAGAGATTCTGCGATACGGACCACGAGTCGGTTATGCGGCCGGAGAGGCAGACGATGGATGAAGCAGGATGCGACCCTCAGGACAGGTGGCGCACAAGAACAGACCCGCACCGCAAGCGATGTATGAGGGTGGACGCAGTACGCTGATAGCGCCGGAGGACAGAATGGACGCTGCAGTGGTGAGCAGGATATAAGTTGTTCTGCATTGCCGCGGAGAAGACAGTTCGTCGAGCCATAGCTACAGGATCAGTCCACCTGAAAGAGTGAGCACCATTAGACATCGGTGCCACAGTGATTTCAGGACAAGTACATTTGAATTCAATTATCCAGGATAACATGCAATGAGCCAGTAGGACTTTCTAGGTGAAACGCGTCCTGCGGCGAAAGCACACGTCCTGGAGAGAGGAGATCCTAGCAGATTGTACCACTAGAGGGCACAGTATCATAGAGCGGTTGGGAGAGACTTCTCGTGGTGGCGAGCGCGATAGAGATCACGTTGACGGACGCTGTAGACTGTCTCTTGAGTCGGTAGAATATCAGGACCGTGCAGCGTAGTTAATCATTGGAAACTGTGAATACAACTTTTGCCTCATCCCATTCTCCACTCTTCAATCTACATCGCTCATACTTCAATTCATGCTATTCTACCTTAGGTGTCGAGACCGCTGATTGGCTTGAAGACCGAAAAGATGAGCGCATCTGAGTCGCAAGTCGCGATTTAGCCAGGACCACCGTTGAGAAGCAGGTCCGCGAGATAACCAGCGGGGTATCACCCTCGTCACAGAGCAGCAAGCAATGAGAACAGCCATGCATGAAGCACAAGAGCTCGTTGTGCTCCTGTTCGAGGGTTCATCGGAGTCCGAAACGCGCTGGTGGCGCCGGGTGATGGGAACGTTCGATCGCGCTGTTGTGACCACGTGGAGCTCCTCTTACGAGTGGCCGCAGAGAATGGACCTGTGCTAGTCTCTAGAACTGACATCTGCTTCGTGCACCATTTGTCATCAAACTTTCCTAGCAACGCAAGGTTCACCGTTAACATTCACATAATATTTGACTGTCTTGGCAACAATTCAGTCGCGGGCGCCGCTCTTTGTAAAGCCATATGTTCATACCTGCATCATATTCAAGGAACTTGGTCTGCTGGTTTCATGGGCCACTCTACGATCGCCCAATCTGCCACGAGCAAGTCATCGAACTCTGCGTCCGACACTACACTGCAACGAGAGCATATCGTCGTCGATGGCGCGTGCATCATTGCGAGCGAGTTCCCACTCCCGTCGGCGGCTGTGACCTCGGCGTATCTTGTGTTCTATTCTCACTCTTTCCCACCGATATTTCGTATGCCCATTTCGTCATAGGTAGGCCGGATCCATCATACACGTGTATAACACGCCTGCTGGCGTGCCGCGCACCACGCCTTTTCAACGCCTTCTGCGCGCTCGCATTGTCATTGACCGCTGGGAACACCCGGTCGTCCACGCATCCAAGAGAGAACGCTGACTCCATAGGCAGCGAGGGTTTTTCGGCCTCTCATCATGCACTATGGTCCTCTGAGGCACGGTGCCTCGCTGTTGTCTGCTCGTCTGACGTCCGTCGCCCGAGTTATACCTCCCATTTCCTGGGTGGACAACATCTTTGATTGACTTTCCGTGCGCAAGCATGCCCATCATGCCGCACATCCTCGGGGAGAAAGGAATGTGAGTCTCTCAGCTCTCATAAGACGTCATCTCATAAGTTAATCCACCCGTGTGTGCGCTCTGCCAGGCATGAGTTCCCCTTCCCAGCGATGGACGCGGGCAAACTGTCGCCGGCCTCCACCAACACTGACACCCTCCCTTCCGCGCCTTCCAGGCCGCGAAGCTCGTCGTCTCACACGACATCACAGCGGTCAGATTACTCTCCCCCGCCCCGCGTCATACGCAACCATGCACCTCGCGAGCGTATTCGAGCTCCCGACCAAGGATCCGATTACTCCAACGCAAAATCTGGACTCCTCGCCCGACTCCTCTCCCTCTCGCGCGAGGAACATTCCGCTGCCCACCTGCATACTCTTCTCGCCGTGACTACCGACCGTCTCCGCTCCGAGACTTTCCGCGCTGACGCCGCCGAATCACGCGCGCTCGATGCCCTGCACCTATTGCGGCAAGCAAACCAGGCCACCATCGCAGCTCGTGCCGACTCCGCGCGCGCGACTGAAGAGCTGAGTCTGTACCGGATGCGCTTGGAAGAGGCGCAGAAGGAGATCCTCAGGGCGCAAGAGTTGGTGAACAGTCTGGAGAAGGAGAAGCGTGATGCCGAGGCGGAGGCGGCGCGGGCGAGGACGGCGGCGCGGAGGTGGAGGGAGGAGAGCGTGCTGAGGAGGGCTAGGGAGCAGGGGTATTGGCAGGGAAGGCAGGAGGCGGCGGTGGTGAAAGGGAACGAGGAGAGGCGATATCGAGAGGGGAAACAGGCTGGAGGGCAGAACGATCCACGGCGATACGCTCGTCGTCAGACGGTCATGAATGATTTATTTGACGAAGAGGAGGAGGAGGACGATGGTGGAGATGACGATGCAGGTGGGGACGATGGTGAAAATGACGGCAGTGATGGCAGCGGCAGTCAACCGGAAGAGATCTTCCCCGTTCCTCGCTCTCCTCCCGGCCAACAACCCCCTTGGCGTGTTCAAATGTAGGTCCCCACACCTTCTCGCAGGAAGGGTACCCCAGTGCATCACCACAAGCTAGCTAACAATTCCAACAGGCCAGCCGATAGTCGACCTCGTCCTTCGAGACTCAGATCTCCAAATTATTCTACTGCCTTCCCCGATCCATCATCAGTGTCAGTAGCGCGTCCACGCGTCTTGTCCACTCCACAATCTCGCCCGGCTCCTGACCCTGACCCCATCCCAGATCCTAACCATGCTCGCACACCAGCCATCCGAACACTGCACTCGCATACACTAGGACCGGGACGAGCCCCCCACGACGTCTCGCGAAACTGGGATACCCATACCGATAGAGAGGATGCAGCAGCGACGCTGTCCCCATCACATACACACACCGCCCTTTCACAGCCTGCGCACGCTAGAGTTCGCACGGAACCCTCGACCCATTACCAGCCAACTGACCACAATCAAGACTACGCATACGTGAACACGAGCCATGCTTCCCGCGAACCTCCAACACAACTACAACTATATCCTCCTGCGCCGCCCAGCCTCTCCCCTCAATCAAGAGCCTCCACGAACATCTCGCAGTATGACCTGCTCAGCCCGAGAAGGGACGATTCCTCTGCCAGTCGGAGTGGCAGGAGCGCAGGCGAGGCGTTGGCTGGGCTTCGACGGATGATGAGCGGCACCCCGGGGCCAGCTAGAGATGTAGGTTTCGCTTTGTATATCCGACGTGTCAACGTCACGTTCTCACTTGCTTCGTCTTTTGTACAGCGCATTCCCGCCGGATCTCCCGACAACTTGAACGTCGGGCCCAAGTTAATATCACGTTCTCCGCCTCAAGCTTACGCTACCAATCCACGAGACGCACCCACCAGCCGTCCGGCTAGCCCCAGTCGACGCGGGACATCGAGCTCTGGGAGCGCGTTAGAACGGGTCTTGACGGGCCGCTTCCGTTCTCGTTCTCGTTCTCAATCTCAATCTCGAAAGAGGACGTCGGACCATAACAGTGGAGGAGGCGTTCCGGACATCGTCGTCGAGTCTCCGGTGCGTACCGACATTTATTGGTTATTGAGAGGCGACCTGCGGTTGACGTGTTGTGATTGGTGCAAGACCACTGGGAGCGATCCCTCGAGGACGAGTACGATGCATAGCGGTGCTACGGATGAGTCCCGATTACTCGGTCCTGAGTTCTCCCAGGCGACACTCTATGGCCCCGATGATCGCCGCACCATCATCTCGGCCGCGTCTCCACGCACAGAGCACTCACACCTCCCACCAAACCTCCTCCCCAGCGACTTCGCACCTTCCTTGCAAAACGCCGACGCCTCCAATCCTCCTGCTCAGACAGCTGCGCGCGCTTCGAGCGTGCCGCCAAGGCGTAAAACGCCCGTGTACACCGTGGCGCGGACTCCCCCAGGCGTCGTGTATCCCGAAGCACCCGCTCGTCTCCACTATGAAGAAGCCCCTCCATCGCCTCCGCGCTCGATCTCGAGTGTCGGTAGTCGGAAGGGCAAGGGCCTCTCGCGCAGGCTTTCGCCGCTGTCGTTGCGTTTCTTCCCGCCTTTGCGGGTCCCTGATTGATGTGAGCATTGGGTTCAGTTTGTTGCTCGATGGTCTATCTGAAGAGGATATCTAGTAATAAGGTCATGTAGCAGTAGAAAGCGATAGCGCCGGATGCGTGTACAATGGCTGTACATTACTCAAGCGCGGATGGAATGTGGAAGTACTTGTTGTTCTGAGACGAAAGATCGCTGGCCTCCGTGAACTCGAGGCGAAGTTTTGAACTTTAACGGACCTCCTTCGATGTATGCGAGCTGTTACTTTGGTTTGGGTCCGTCTCCGCGGCATGAATGGGCAGTGAGAAGACGCGATAATGAGTGTCTGCATTAATTTCGGCTGCTGATCAGCTATATAGACGGCACTCCGCATATTCACGCCGTATACTTGCAGGTTTTCTCCGGGCAGGGCTTGGTTTGCGCAGCCGTGCCGCAAGTTCGCTGTGATCCATTCGTGAGGCTTTCAACGTTAAACGCTGCAGATGCGACCGTGTGCCACGAGCACTTCGGAATCCAGTCAAGCCCTGTACAGCCCACACTTACGAATGTCTTCTCTCCCTTTCGAACAACATGATGGCCTGCGCGCAAGTATCGGTGATCCTACGCACCATATGGGCCCGACACCAAGCAACTCATCAGGACCGATGGAGGAGGCAGGTGTCTATGCGCCTCACATGTGTTAACGCAGGTTACCATGCCTGAGGGTTGTCTTCTGTACCCACCTAGCCGCAGCTATGATCCTGTCTCACTGAACCAAGCGTACACACCACATCGCCCGGTCCGCAGCACACCCGTCGACTTCTGACCAAAGAATGTGATTCTATTTCATAGCATACGTGAGCGACCCCCGGCATCCCAAGTATCCACCGCAGTGCAAAAAAAATAGACATCCTCGCAACCCGCACTAACCACGACAAGCCCGCTGGAAGAACGGGATCATGTACGTACACTCTCGACGAATCCAATCGCCAATGGCCTAGAACGTACGTATCTCCCATACCTCCCATCACGACGCGATACACGAGAACGCCGAGTGGGCCTGGCGCGTGATTTCTGCATCGTGGTTAGGCTATCTTTTTCCATCAAAGCTGACGCGGACGGTCGCACAGCAGCGATCGGACGCTCGTGCCTTTCGTCCAGGCTGACCTCGACTGCAGGAGATGCCAGCTGAGCAGTGAGCCACGGCCCGGGAGTTTGAGTTGGCATGGATACGTGCTTTGGGAGCCAATGCGCCGTGATCGTTTTGAAATCGGCTTGCGGTTGAGGGAATAACGCATAGCCCCATTCGGATCGTGTAAGAGTGCCGCCCGCATCCTCCAAGTCGAAGGTTGGACAACGTCAGCCTGTAGCGGGTCGATCACTTCCACCTGCTGGCTGAGCCGCAGTGTTCGGGCGCATTGGACGGGTGAGGGTACAATCGATCGTCAAAGAGGACTCCAGAGGCATTGTCCATCCAGTGTGCAAGAGGGCACGAGCGCACCTAGGCCAGCGTTGCGCGTGATGCGATCTAGGCTGCCAGAACGCGCGATGCTAGGAGCTCCTCCAAGCAAAGGTACCAGGTCCCGCTTGGGCTAGTAGTAGAAGGGGCAGCTCTGCTCGGTGATGGTCCGACCCTGCTCGGAGCATCGCCAAGCAGGATGCAATTATCGCTGAGTAGAAGGGGCACAGCGTGATTGACTTGAGGCAAGGCCTGCAGGTCGGGCGGAGGAGGAGGACAGCAGGAAACCTCTTCGTCTAGCTATATGAGGTAGGCCTCGGGCGGCAATCTGGCTGAGTAGTGCAGCAGGAAGGCGGGGTGACTGCAGAGGGCAATTCAGCATACATTGCGAGGAACTGTGCATGCTGCACCTCCGGAGGCCATTTGGAGCCAAGGACAATGGCGGAAGCAAATCGGACGCAACACGTGCTGTGGCGAGTGCCACCTTTCCATTTTCAGTATGACGATGACCACAACGGGCGATTCATTTGACCTTTTGACCGCGAAATATGCTCGGGGGTATTAAGATTCCTACTTGTGGCCGTACATCGTGCGTAGCAAATTGCCGACGTACCTGCAGGAAGGTATCCCCGAGTTTCTGAAATGCCGTGAGTGCCCGTGCGCAGCGCAGTGTGTAATGCGGATTGTGGTTGCTTTCATGGAGATGATGCTTTTTGAAACGCTGCGGATGCATCCTGGTCGTATGAACGGTGGTTTGCTCATTCCGAGCTGGTAGTCGCCGAGGACGGCTCATGAGTGGCCGGCACAAGAGGCCGATCACTGGGCGCAAGCATTCTCACGGCGTTGTTCCCTCGGCCACGTCACAGCCTGCCCGAGGTGACGCGAGATGGCATCTGGGATCAGGCGCGGAAGCATAATTGAGCGACATCAGCGATGGAAAAGGCGATTCGCGTGGCACGTCCTCGATAAGAGGCCATCCACCGGCCAATGAATCGGACACCTCCCGTCACTCCTCCTGCTATACTCTCTCCGCTTATCCAGGCCACACCATTGTTTATTGAAACTCTGCGCGCAGTGAACGTCCTGCTCGACTAGCGCCATGCCGACTTCTGCCACGACACGTCCCCGCGCGGACGACAAGGAGCGGACGGCGCGCGCCCAGGAGCAGGAGTTCAAGCGCGCCAGGGGTGCCATATCTTGCGCAGAATGCCGTCGCCTCAAGCTCAAGTGCGACAAGACCGTCCCCTGCTCCTCCTGCAAGCGCCGCGGCTGCTCCTCCATATGCCCCAATGGCAGCCTCACCACCGGCCAGGGTACCAGGTGCGCACGTCCCACGGCCCGTTCGCTCATGCTAGGGTGGCTCACGCCCGCGCAGGTTCATCCTCGCAGATACGGACAGGCTCCATCGGAAAATCGCAGAAATGAGCGACCGCATCCGACAGCTCGAGGACGCGCTCGCCATCCTCCAGTCCAGCGTCGCGCGAGAGGCCCACCCGCTGCTCTCGCAGAACCTGCTCAAGATCAAGTCCGGCTTGGAGCTCCATTCCGCGGCGAACACGGGCCGGAGGGACGGGGCGGAGGCGAACGGCGGGGAGGACGCGGACCAGGATGAGGGAGAGGAATCGCAGTACATCGATGCGTTCGGCACACTCGCCGTCCGCGACGACGGTGCGGCGACGTTCTACGGGCGGTCGGCGGGCTCCGAGGTGCGCCTCACATTCCTTCTGGTGGTGATTGTGCTCATCGACCGCTCCTTCAGAGTCTTCTTCTGGTGCGCGCTTTCTTATCCATTCCCGCATTCTCCAACTCATGTATGCACACAGGACGAGAAGCCCGTGCAGGTGGTCGCCCGACTCCCAATGACAAAACGCGACGCGCTGCCCGACTCGCTCACCCAACTCGCAACCTCGTTCCCCGCCGCGCCCGCCGACGAAGAAGGCGAAGACCTCGACGGGCTCATCCGCGCATACCTCCCGCCCTGGGCGCGCGCCGCAGCGCTCTGCGACCTCTACCTCGACCAAGCGCCCTGGTTCTTCGGCGCGCTCACCCGCCGACAGCTCGTCGAAGACGTCCTCCCGCTATTCTACGAAGAGGCCGCGCAGCTGCGCGATGGCGGCGGGAGCATCGGCGCCGGCGCACTGACGACGTCCTCCGAGGCGTTCAACCTCCCCAAGGCGCCGTCCGGCTCGAGCTCGTCGCATGAGCTCGCGCTGCTGTTCGTGGTGTTCTGCTTCGGCGCGCTCACGGATGGGGAGCTCCCCGCGGCGCCGCATAATGTCGAGGCGGAGCGGTACTTCCAGCTCACGCGCGCGGCGCTCAACCTTGAGCCCGTGCTGGAGCGACCGCCTAGTGTGGCGACGGTGCAGACGCTGAGCTTGATGGGCATCTATCAGGTATGGTTGGCGCTTGTGACGATGATATGCAGATTGATGCCGGTTGTAGGGCCTGGTGGCGGACGAGAACAGCATAGAGAGCACTTGGGCGCTCATGGGCCTCAGCTCGAAATTAGCGCAAAGCGTGTGTACCGCTTCCGTTCCTTCACTCTATCACTGACCCGCATCACCTTCTGCAGATCGGACTTCGTGAGTAGATTCTTCTTCGCGGTCTGATGGATGCGGATCGATGGCGTTCTCACGTTCATATCGTTCGAATCTTGCGTTTGGTTTGTTTGCGTGCCTGGGCAGATCGGGACTGCGCGCGTTGGAAGCTCACCCCCGCCGAGGTGCAGAAGCGGCGTGCGCTCTTTTGGGAGCTGTTCATCACGGATTGTTGGCAGGTGAGGTGTACTAGTGGAGCGCAGATGGTAGCATGTGTTGATCGTGTCTACTGCTAGGCTCTCGCCACTGGCCGACTTCCAACCTTCTCGTTACCCTTCGTCGACACCGAGCTCCCAGCCGACCCAGATGAGACAATAGCCGACGACGGTACTCCCCAGCCAAGCTGTACGTGCGCTCTCCTCCCTACCACATCTCCGCTTATCACTAACGCCCGTCTCCAGTCCCCGCGTGGAAAGCACGCTGGGGCAAAGAGTGCGTCGCGGAGGTCGTGCAGGGCACGCTCACCTCGCGCGCACCAAAGTACACCGTGATCCTCGACCTCGATCGCAAGCTGCGCGACATGCCGCTCCCGAAGTATGCCCAGGGCCAGCCGCCGCAGGGCGCGGGGCTCTCGCAGACGATGTCGCATTTCATGCCTGTCAACTATCTCCATCTCAGTGAGCGCCTTCTTCTCTCCATAGTGGGGGTGACGAGTTGATCGTGTTTGGTTGGAAGCGCTGCTCTATGTGCACCGGACGTTCTTTGCGCAGGCGCTTGTGGACCACCCGACGGACCCGCTGCGCAGCCAGTACGCGCCGTCGTTCCTGGCTGGGTATCGGAGCGCGTGTGCACTTTTGGGTACGATTCGCGAGCAGTTTGCGCTGTTTCCTGTGCAGATTGCGAGGTTTTGGGTGTTGTGGACGCATGCGTTTTCGGCGTCGGTGAGTGTGTTTGAGATTGATTTTGGGAGGAGCGCTGATGAAGGTGATGTGCTGTGTGCGGATGCTTTGTGTAGGTGATGTTGGCGTCGGTTGTTACGCATGGTGGGACGACCAAGACGGCGCAGGCTGCGTTGGGCGAGCTTAGGCTGGCGTATGATCTGTTCGACAAGGCTGCGAAGCATGGCGGGCGTTCTGTCAAGTTCCTCGTATGTCCTCCATATTCAGCCTCCTTATCAGTTGATGATACGAATGGTGTGTTCGCAGCCGATCATACAGCGTCTGCACGAGAAGGCGTATCAGACTTTCAGCAAGGGACTCCCGCCTACAAGGGACATCTTCACTCCACGCATCGTAAATGAGAAGCCCGACGAGCTCTCCATCTTTAGCGGGCGCACGCGCACCGTCGCGACAAAGTCACACAAGTCCCAGCGCGCGCGGCCCGCTGCGTCCACCACCACCGCCGCCACCACCTCCGTCGCCGCGTCTGGTTCTGGATCGTCCGGCTCTGGGTCGTCGACGATGGCGGATTCGCCGGGGTCGAGTGCCAGCTTGGACTCGCCGGGAGAGTCGTTCCCGAGCTTGGAGTCGTATGGGAGCGCGGTGCACCCGATGTTGGTGGACCAGATGCGGGCGTTCCATGGGGAGCTGGAGGTACAGATACATAGCACGGAGGAGGTGTGGATGAGCCAGCAGCGGGCGGAGGCCGGCGTGGGCGCGTACGTCTTGGCGTCGCAGCAACAGCAGGACCACCAACAGCAGCAGCAAGGACAGCAGAATCAGCAAGAGCAGGTGCAGTTCTTCGAGAGCGCGCAGCAATACGGGGCTTCGCAGCAGTATGCGACGCCTCAGTCATATGGGAGCTCGCAGACGTTTGACAGCCCGCAACGTTATGAGAGCCAGCAGCAGCAGTATGAGAGCCCGCACCAGTACGAGAGCCCACAACAGTATGAAGGATCGCAACAGTATGAAAGTCCGCCGCAATATGGTCATCATCATCAACAGCAATATGCGAACGCGCAGGAGTACCAACAAGAGCAGTCATACCAGGTTCAGCAGCAATACCAGCATTCCTCACATTCTTCGCAGATGCAACAGTACCCGCAGCCTGCTGAGCCACCACATGAATACCCGCAGCCTGCTGTGTCGCAATCGCAATATGATAGGTCGCAGCAGTACGGCGGCGTCCAGCACCATGAACATTCGCCGTATGAGCAGTGGTACGCCCCGCCTGCTCCTGCTCATACCCAGGGGACGATGCCTCCACCGTCTGTGCCTTCCCAAGCCATGCCTCCGCCTCCCGTGCCTTCGCATACTATGGCCCCATCTTCCGTGTCTGCCTCGGCTATGGCGCCTCCGCCTGTACCTGCCACGGCGATGCCTCCACACTCGATACACCGCCAGAGGTCGACTTCGCAGCTGGTATCCGTCGATCCTCAGCAGATTCTCTCTTCGGATGACCAGCACCAGAACTATCCGATGTATGGCGTGCTCGAGTCTGCGAGCGCCGCCAATTCGAGCGTCCAGTACGGCGCGTATGCCGTGCCTGCGCCTGCGCCTGCGCATGCATCGCAGCCGGTCGTTCCGAGCCAGGGGTACGCGGCAGTACACTCGCACGCGCAACACGCTCAGTCGCAGCTCTGGCCGGTCCAGCAGGTGGAGGACGAGATGATGTACTCGCTCGCGCAAGCGGAGAATCAACCCGTGCAGGTGGCTTATCAGCAGAATCAGAGTCGCAGTCGGCATGTTAGCTTGACCCAAGGCCATTATCAATACCAGATGCCAATGCAGATGCAGCCGCAGCCACAGCCGCCGACGATGCTTCCTGTCGAGTCGGGCAGCTATAGTTTGCAGGAGAGCTGGACGTCTTTCATGCAGCATGAGCTTCCGGGGCCTGTGGCTCCGCAGCCGGGATATATGCGGCGGTGAGATGCGTTTTTTCTTTTTGCATGTGTTTGTTATAGATGAGGAGGACGTTGTTTTCTGTGTGGATTTTACTGCTTTGTCTATGCTGTCGATCGTATGTCATCGTTTGTTTGCTTTATACGTATTTCTGTAATGTGTTGTCAGGTATCATTCGATTTATAGTTCTCCAATGTTATGCTCGAGGTTTATTCCGTCAGGATATGTCGATGATTGTTCAGGCGGACGGTCGTTGTCCAGCGTTGATGCGATATTGATGCGGTGAGTGAGTTTGTATCACTCACGCGTGTTCTGTGATGAGTACCGTTTGGGTCACTGATTAATCTCGTTTCTTTAATGACAAAGATCCTAGTTCGACGTGACCCTTGGCCTCTCCGGCAGGACTCTTGTTGCGACTTCACACTGCACATAGTGCCATGTACCCGAAATAGTATTTAAATCTAGGAAGGTTTGCCCACACGGTAATTTCCATGGGCCATTTCTCGAACCTCGGTACGCGCGGGCTTGAAAGAATGAATGAATGCCCGCAACAATTGCACTTACCAAAGGGCACTGGAGGAAGGGCTGGCTGGCTAGATCCTTCCATGCGTCTCCTATGTAAACAGCTATACACGTTCCCGGACTTTTCTCACCCGAGCATGGCGGGAAGTGATCTTCAGGACGGATAGATGCTTACGAGCAGCGGACATACCAATTCGGATGTATTGAACACGCTAATGAGGGCAGTGGGCCATGGACGACGACGGATACCTGACGTTCAAGAGCAAAGCAGCATATGTCATCCTCGAAGCTGAATATCCGACCTGATGAGGAGATCATGACCGAGATGGAATGCATCGCCTACCGTGGAGGGACCGTTTCCGTCATTTGCAACGAATTGCCTGCAGCAAGCTTTTACGATGCCACATTGTCCGCAATTGCGTTAGGCTGATTCATAGTATATGATTTCACTCTTAATGCTATCATTACTGCTTACGGCGTCATGATGCATTAGGGACAATTCACGGAAAGTCAAGTTTAATAGAGATGTTGCATACAACGCTACCCATGCTAACCCCGTCTCTTCAATTCACAAGATTTCCGACAGGAGGGACAACGTGCGCTCGGGTTGATCCCAGTGCGGCTGAAAAGCCGAGCATAAGTCAAAGATGCCTATGGACGACGAACTGAGAAAGTACTCACAAAATGATTCGCTCCTCTAAACCTCTTGAATTCGACCTTCCTTCCATCAGGGGACCAAGCATTCGCGACGTCATGTGCCAAATGCCAAGCAGCATAGACTGTCTCGCCGACGGACATATCGCACCAGACCAGAACTGCCCGCACATGCGGCAGCGCTATAGCATCCCTCAGCGCGTGCCGAGTGTTCTCCTTGTATACTTCATGATGAATGTTCTGCATCAGGTGGTGCGACCGTTCCATCACAGAGGGATCGGTGATCTCCGCGTACTGCTCAGCAGACATGCGCTGCTGTGTCGACTGCCACTCCGGCGCTGGATCGGGAATGGAGGTTAACGCTAGTCCAGCGAGAATGTCCTCGCTAGATAAAGCTTCGAAAGATGCCAGCGCAGATTCTGAGTGGGCGAAATAGCCAGTAACCCATGGTAGGAAGATCTCGTTGGCTCGTTCTGGAGGAATATTAGGATTCGACATAGGGTTCCATGGTCCGTCCTCAGTAGGCAACGGCACACCCCATGGGAAGAGCGGAACATCTAACAGGCTAATAAGCATGCTTGCTCTCACACAAAGGGAGTCATCGACTTACCAAAAATAATGCACGTGCGAAGGTACTTCCCCAGTGTGTCCTGCTGTGACGCCGGTAATTCGCCCGCATGAGCAAGCAATGAAAGCATAATGCAATTGCCCCAAGACCAGCCCAGAACCGCTAGTCCACCATCTGCTCTTTTGGCGGCTTCATCTTGATCGAATGAAGTTGAAAGCGGCGGGATCCGCTCCTTCTGAATGAACCACGCAAGAAATGCAGCCAACTCGTTCCCTCTATCCTTGATCATGTTTGTCTGGCTATCTTTGTCGCCTTTCAATGCAGCTATCTCCTCAGATGTATACGGCGTGGAGCCCGGATAGTCCCTTAGCGTCAAAGCAACAAGACGTAGGTTATGCTGGGCAGCGAATTGTAACATTGGGCGGAAGACGGCTGTTGATGAGCTCAGTGAACCAGCACACCAGAGGGGACACATAGGGGGACTTTGACCTTACCGCTGTGGAATACCGCGCCGTGAAGCAGGATGAGGGTTTTGTAAACATCGGAGCCTTGGGGTGCGCCTGTATCTTCGTAGTATAGTTCTGCGCCATCGGGGTTCACAGGTGCGAGCGGCATGTTTGGCGGTCGAACAGTGGGTGTCATACTTCATGTTGCTCCGGCGAGCATTATAAATACGCATCCGCAGAGGTCAGGTGGTTCTTCTGTTTAAACGCTCTTGTCATCTGCCAGGCTGGATACTATGGCGCTGCAAGATCGCTTATCACGAGAAGCGTCCGCGACTGTTTTGAGGCGGCTTATCGGGAAGCAGCTGCACACAGCTGGTCAAGAACCTATCGAAAGCAGTGAGCCAAGTCAACTAGACGGTGAAGATCAACGTTTACACGGGTATGGTGATGAGCATTGTATGCAGTGGCACTTTTTCGTATGCTTACTGAAAGAATAGCTACTTGTGTTTTGCAAATGTAACGACCTTTTGCGGGATGGAGGGGATCATGAGAGATACAGTCGTTCATGCAGAGGTGAATACGTACATACATGCCGGTGCCACCCAGGTTGTTGATTCTTGAGGCCGCAAAAATCGAATGGTATCTTTGAACGAGGCTGGGTGGATAATCTTGAGATCATGGAGAGCCTCACAATATGGGCGGAAAGTGCAAGTTATGACCCACCCCTGACTTTCTTCCATCTCTAAATATATTCATGTTGATGTCGTAACCCCCCACTCAAGCCTCCATATTCTTTGGGAAATTCTACGCACTCGTATTGGAAAGGTTATGGCTGCGGACGACAAAAATCTATTGAAACAAATTATAATGATGCTTCTGCCTCAGAATCGTATATTTTATACGTACTATTCTCGCAACATCATCGCAGGTTGGTAATAAATTAGATGCACTCTTTGTAATGGCAACACGCTCTGTGCAAGGGACCCAGCTGCGATCACACAGAGGATTGTCGAGGTTCTGAAATTTTTGCTGAACGTCAGCCTGGCTGGACCGCATATAGTGACGCGATGGTGTGCTTCGCGTCCCCCTTCCCCCCGAGATGCCACCGGCTTGCTCGTATTCCACGAATTTCCCGCCAGTGCGTTGGTGATCTCCTCGATATTCTCCTCGAGCTTTGCTAAAAGCCGGAGGTGCGTTGAGGATGAGTGCAGATACAGTCATCGTTTGATATGGATCTGTGACCAAATGGAAATCCGTGGAGGAACCCATGCAGTTTGCGATGGAGTGATACTTGCTGTGCATAGTGTAGAAGTCATAGGATTGTTTTGAGGGACCTCGTGACAAACGCATGCACCTCCTGCGAATACTGAATCTCACACAATCAGCACCTGGCGGAAGTCTGCAGATGCGAACGACTCGATCGGCTAAACTGACACTCGGTAGTCATCGCACGTATGGACTAGCAATAGTGAAAACAATGGCATGCCAAGCAAAAATCAATAGGTTCGACGTCTTCGTACTCATAGCGGACGTCCATGCTCGATCTACTATCGAGGAGAGGCTTACTAGAGATATCAAGCAAAATAACGATTGCAAGGCCTAACGCGCAAGTGAACGGACTAGAGTAGGAGTCGCAAAGTGCGGCATTGGTGACGCGAAGGCAGAGTACATTCGTGAAGTGAGAGTAGATGCAGAGTCGCGAAAGATAACGCTACAAAACATCCCATGAAATCAACTAATGAGCAAGACAGGTCAGCAGAAGCCCTCCACCAATATGATCCAGCACGCACAATGAGTATCTCCATCGTAACATACTTCTTCCCATGAGAACGCTGGACTGCCGCCCTTCCATACTGCGACGGCCGGTCACCACACGAACGCCCGTCGGCGGGATGCACAAACACCTCAAGTTACAGCACGCTTCTTCTGCTCCATTCGTGATGGTTCAGCGATCTCCATCTCGTGCACTACAAGTGCAAATAGGTACATTTCTGCGGCCGGCCAGCACGGGAGCAGTCCAGTACTGCTCCATGGATAGGATGGCGACGAACGCATTGGAGCTTGCCTGTTCTTTGTGCTTGGGATTGTCAGTATCAGCGCACAAGGATTGAGCACAGCGAGGTTCTCGTCGGACGGACGCGAAGGAGAAGGCAGTTGAGCTAGCAAAGCGAGCAGAGTGCTTTCTGAGAGCGTCGCTGGCTGAGTGAGGCGAGGACCATATGGTTCATGACTGCTCGAGCGTCCACAAATGGTAAGCTACGAGATTCAAGATGAAGTACGCCTCATCAAATGACTAAAGGCCACTGCAGACATGATGGAACGCACGAATCCTCAGTAGCGCGCAATGTCACCTTGTGCGCAGGCTCAGCGCTTGTAATCAATTCAACGCTGGCTTTGACTCTCGAGCAGGACAAGTAAGCCTCAACATCGCGTCAACGTTCTCGGTCGTCCTCGCTTCCGATACCACGTTCTGTAGTGGAGCTCTCTTTTTAGGCAACTATGCTCGGTAGTACGGGATCCACACGCGAGCTTGCAATGTGGGTGCATGCTCGTACCGCTGTGCTTGCATGACCATCTGCATCGAGAAACCTTCCCTGGCTGACAGCTCGAAGAAATGAAATGTCTACTATCACCGCCTGGATGGTGAGCACTGCAGTTGGCCATCCTCGCCTTCACAGGGCATGCGAGTGTTGTGTCAGCAGACGTTTCTATTAAACCCAGCATGGGCAGTATACAGACTGACACGGTAGTGCAGATACTATACGGACATCCTGACAGCTTTGTGCCACCTCTCTGCTTCTTTCGGCCTCGCGTAGTACGTACATCCATTCAATAAAGCCACAATGCCGTCATCTCGTATAGCCTCAAATTAACCCAGTCCTTGCTATGCAGGCACTGCGCTCGGAGGCCGGCGAAGCGGCGCTATGTACAATGTACACGCGTAATGTGAGCGGCCAAGGAGTCATTGTCGCCCTTTGTCGTCTCCGTTGCAGACGATTCGGCGTCACACACATTGCTATTCAGCTTTTCACCAGCACCACCTGTCGCACACCAGGTTCTCTCTTCCCGAGATACAACGTCAAGCGTGTCATAGTCGCAATTTGCAGCATGAGCATACAACTTCGAGCAGTTTCTCTGGCTGACAGCTCGAGGGAGTCGGTCACTTTGTGGACTAGTACTGCCTGGATGTTCGGCACGTCAGATGGCTGTCGTTGTCTGCAAATTATTCTGGCATCGCAGATGTGGGAGGAATGCGGTGCGTCAGCGAACGCATCCGTTCATCCGTTGGGTGGGATTGACGGGGCGCAGCTGCTAGGTATTTTGGCGCCCGGACGGTATACATTTCCCATCCGCATCTTGCGAACCTGCATGCATGCGTCCCCCGCAGACTGTGGCACTGCTCTAAGGGATCGCATACAGTAGTATAGCCTCAGCGGCAATGACCGCAGGCAACGTCATGACCATACTCGTGGTGTGCGGCTGCCGGCGATATGGTCACCTTGATGAAGCACAGGCCCAATTACGGTATGTGCGGTCTGACACCATTGATCTGATATCATATCCTGACAAGAGCGTATGTGGTAACGCGCGGCGCCCTGAAGCTACTCCAGTCATCCCGTTTGCCGTTCCTTTATCCCTTGGCAGTGCGCAGAGGTGCGATGTTTGTTGGGGCATAGCGCGTTTGTGAAGCTATGCCGAACAATGGTCGTTCTGTTCGCAGAATCGTCGCGAATTTCGAAACGGCCCAGCAATGTCGGCAGAGCCTTCAAGACATGAGGAAGCTTGTAGTCGCGTGCTGACTATGGGAAGGCATATGACCTTCCGTCAATGTCTATCTGTTCGCAAGGCACGTAGAACCCTGAGTCTGCATACTTTAATGCGCCTGAGCTGTATGGACATATTTAAGGACGCACTTACCGATTCGGAGAAAATGAAATCATCGCGCTGTGCGCGTCACACTTCATGTTTTGTCCGTGTTCGTCGCTGCCCACACATGATCCTGGCTCGTCGACTGCTAAATATTCCTCTGGGATGTGCATTATCTAAACAGATGGCACACGTACAGTACCTTCAGTAAGCATCCCGATTCACCGATTGTGTGTGTGGCTTAACACGGCTGTGCAGCAGCTGCCTTGCATGCGGTAATGTGTGGACGGTGGGTTCCTTGAAGACCCTGCATATGGAATCACGTTGCAATACGATGAGATAGATAGATATATCTCGAAAGCTGGCCTGGAAAATCACATACCTGCGACCATCTGACTCGATTAGACATCAACAACACTATGGCATCCTCCGAACAGGACCCGAAACACATCACCAGAGCTACAGGGGATGGCATGCTCGAAGTGCAAAGGCTTGAGACAACGGTGAGTACTGGAATGGTAAAGCGCTCATGGACAAAGATCGATTATCGATGCAGCAAACATTGCAACGCTGCATAAGTGCACCCTCTTTTGCAGTAACCTAATAACTCAGCCTGCAGCCAGCGATTGATCCGTCCATGGCCAAGAACACCATCCGCCTGCGAGCGAGGGGGCGAGCAAACCAGGGCGCCCACACGTAACCGAAAACAGCATCCTTGATGCTCTACCTCTCCAATGCACGAAGCGCAGGATGTCACCAGACGATCGCTGGCTTACGTTCGAGGCCAGCGTCGACGCACAGACGCACCGCTAGTGCTGAATGCATGACCCGCCACGCAGTATTCGCATCCCACACCACGCCTCGTGGAAGTCGAATATGGGCATGCAATGTACCTGTGGAGCAGAAGGTTATCTAGGAAGAGAGGTAAGAAGGAGATCGTGCGAGCGTATGAATAGGTTAGATAGTGCATGACCAATATTCTGACCAGAAAGAAGACCATGCCTGTCTTCTGTATTCTGCCGGCGATGTCATGGTCGATGTCAGATAAAGTGAAATGCCTCTTCTGTCCATGCGGTATGCTCGGATCGGACTACATACATACATGCAAAACTTCACGGACGCCCGAAAGCACAATTCGAAGCCAGTTCTGCCAGACGTAGGAGGTCTATAAAGAAGCGGACATCGCGAACAAGACCGAGGACCTCATTCCCGTTTTCATTCTCATTCATTTGCGACTGCTTCAGCTCAACGCTCATCATGTCTGCAACATTTCCGCTGCCATCAAGTCTGCCCCCGCACGAAAGCTTCAAGCGGACGCTGCGGAAGAACCATCTTAAGCAGCTCCGCGAGGTAGAAATTTCCCGAACGCACATCCCTGGTACCCCTTTGCCGTTGCCTCCTGGCGCTCCGTCTCTATACGACCAGCTCGTAGACTGGTCGAAGCAGGCAAGCGTGCAGATTGCAGAGGCCGTCGCAAGCCGTGAATTTCCCTGCCTCTCCATAGTTTCGGGTTATTGATGGAATCAATCTCGTTTCTGCCCATCAGAGGCTATTAGCTCGTAAGTCGTATTGCGCAGATGTTCGATAGTTGCATGCCTTCATTGGGAATTAACTCTGCTTTAGAACCACCATCGGCTGGAATATCGGAGTTTTGACCTTGCTAGAGAGTGCAGCCGTCTATCTCAGGTACAGCTCTTTGCACTGGTTGTATTTAATTCGTGCACTCACTCACAACTATAGGGATAACGATACAGTGTTCCAGGCCGTGGCTGAGGCGCGTCGAAGGACCAACGAGGCCGATGAACGTGCACTGCAGCTCCTTGCAGACTCGCAGACTGAAATAAAGCAAATAGTAAGTCCATGATCTCTTCATCGACCGACAGGTACAGAACGTTTAAAATTATAGGCCGCTCTCTGGGGCCTCGAATTCGAAGTCATCTGTGGTATGTCAAGTGCCCTTACTGCTCGAATTCTGACATTGAAAATGGCTCCATAGATCTCTTGACGGTGTGGTAATTCCCGGGGTCAAATGCGTCATTCATGGGCATTGATATCTTTATAGTACTCCCCTGAAGGGCGTCCCTTTTTGAGTGGCCCATACGCTGGTGTTTTCTGGCCCAAAGACACAAATAAGCCGTTTTTAGGCCTCGCTTTTAAGGTAAGCTCTCTCTCTTCCTGCTATATATCACCTCTTTGAGTCGTCGTCGGATAGGGAACGAATGGTAAAAACTGGAAAGAGGTTCTCGTTGACTTGGATTTCCCGATGATGAAGGCCAAGGGCAAGATTCTCTGGGGATCTCCGCTTCACAGAGGGTTTTACCAAACAATGTTCGTCAAATTCCCTGGAATCGGATCTGCCCCGCTCGGTACGTCCTGTTAGTGTTCTCTGCGAGTCTTAATATTCAATTTAGACCTAGATTATATCAAGGACATGGTCGATGCCTTCCTGCAGACTTACAAGGTCCCTGAGGGTATTACAATCAACCTCCACTCTACGGTTCGTCCCACGACGTATTTATCAAACATTTCTTGAGTCATGCTGACTGCGCATGCTAGGGACACTCTCTTGGAGCTGCGTACGCAACTCTCTGCTACTCCGAGCTCATGCGTCTCTACAACAATGCCCCCACTGAGCTCAAGCCCGAAGACGATGAGCACGCCGAGCTTGCGCTCTTTTTCTCCCAGCTCAAGGAGCGTCAGTTTGTTCTACGCGACCTCTATGCCTTCGGATGCCCTCGCGTAGGTGGTGTCGAGGATAACATTAGCTGGGCGCAGAACTACAAGACCGCATTGGACAACCACATGGGGCAATCGTGGCGCATAGTGAACAAAGGTGACCCGGTGACGGACGTGCCTCCTGTCATTCCCTTTATCAGCACGTGGAACCATATTGACAATGGATACGAAATCAACCCGCCAAAAGCGCTCCCGACAGAGATTGGTACGCAGCCCGAAGTGAAGTTTCCACCATTCGATGGCTCAAACCATGGTGAGTTTTATTCTTTGCTGCCAAGGCCGACTTAAACATGCAATGCATGTATGGCTGACATTCGAGATTGTAATCGTAGACCCGGAAAAGTATTTCCAGAACCTATACAATGCTTCCATTTCTGGCCTCAAGAGTACAGTTCCAGTTGAATGGGTTGTAGCCGACGTAGAGCCTCCAAACGATGCGGATTTGGAGAAGGTGGAGGACGCAGCTGCGCTTGCTTCTGCGTGATGCTTCGAGTTGCATGGCGTCAGGAAGACAATGTCAAGTAGCGTATATCGAATTCAAGGCACTTCTACGAGTTTTGAGGTGTAGTTTTGTTTGACGTATGTACGATTACAATCTTGACCGACTAGTGCCGTTAAGATATGTTCGACTGCTTTGCATGGAAATGACAGGTTTATATCCACCACACTTTGTTCATTGCTTGATGCGAAGTGAAAGCAAACAGTGCGGCAAGCATGGCTTTGTTTGTTGATATGAACTGAAAAATGGTGATCCATGAGGCTTTGGGGTTAACATTGGTCGTGTACAACGCACGTATGCCTGTGCATGGGATGTGGATACTGCGCTAGCCAGTGTACCTTGGACGAAAACGATACTTTAGCTTCTCTGAAGGAACGAATAGAGATGCCGATGAAATGCTCGTACGTACAGTTCATCTGTGCTAACAAATGGACATGTCGCTGAAATATGATTGATATCATTGCTTGCGATATTGACTAGAGAAGGTGGTAAGGAGGGATCGTCATCATCGTTCAATTCCCTGACTCTCGCCCGACGCACTCATGTTCCCACTGCCCGCGTGCACATATATTTCGTAGACTGACGAAATATATCTTCGAATCTCTCTGCGATCGTGAGCGTGGCCAATCGATGGGGAACACGGCGGGCACGAGGAAGTAGACTGATTCATGTTATATACACCGAGGATACTAGCACGGCTCAATGGGCTGTAAGCACTGGAACAATCATAGCTCCGCAGCAACCGCATCATCACAAGCTCGAGGAAAATGCAAACGAGCGGGATTGTTGTTGATGGCGAGTGCGATAGCAGGGCATAGTGGCGGGCAGCATGGGCCTTGACAGGTCAGACGAGGTATCAGCGGCGTTGGTCGGAAGTCGAGTGCATAGCGTTGAGGGCAGTCGGAACGCCTCATGAGTGCGAGGGAACCATGTGAGAATCGCACATATAGAAGAGCATGAGCACAGTGCGCCTACAGATGCTCACCCTGATGCTGCCCGGAATGCGGAGTGAGAAGTGTAGAGGCCAAACGCATGCTGGACCGGTGGAGGCCGCCGTGTAGGGAGAGAAGAGAGAGGAAAGGTGAGCAGTAATGCGCGGTGTCCGGAACGGCCTTCCAACGCTCAGGTCTGTGTGCCAAAAAAAAAAAAGAACATTAAAGACCGGAGTGCGATACGCAAGTGGTTCGTCACGCACCTAAATTCCAAGGCATCCTCGCCGCATAAGCTCTTCGACGTGTTCAGGGCCAGGAGTGCGATGTCGGTCGTCGTGCCTTTCGGAATGCTGTCGCATCTCAGATCAGCGCAGCCACCACAAGGTATGCTCCAACTTCTTACTCGATTCTGTAGGGATTTGCCCATGCAAGTCGCAAAATGGCTTCTGAAGGGGTGACCGCGACCCTGAGGCCGGATGGTACAGGGATATGCAGTCGCAGAGATTCACGGACGACGATATCCGGAAACGGCAGTGCTTGGAGGTCATCCATCGACGGACTGTCGAAGTGCATCTCGCTCAGTTCGGCGTATAGTTTCTGCTGCAGTTCAGCGCCCTGAGTCAGCACGTACAGGCACCACATCGCCGCATTGCCAGTCATTTCGTATCCGGCGGTCAAGAAGCTAGATAGTTGGAGGGAGAGCGTGAATAACGGCAGAATATGATACAAACGCATGTCGATATCTCTGAGATAGTCTGATCAGCGAGATTGCACTCATATTAGAGGGTGTCACGCACGGGCTAGTACTTCCTCCGGTTCCTCGTCAGTGACCCTCTGGTCTATAGGAATGTCGGCCGCCAGGTTCGTTCTCAGCAACAGACTCAACAAATTGCGGTTCGCCAAACGCCTCGGCTCGGCTCTTTCGTCTTCTGCCATGGCCTCCAGAATGTGCTTCTTCTCCACGAGCAGCTGCATGCCGATACCGATAGATCACCGCTCTGGCTGCCACGATGCGCCTCATTCTTTCGGTTGGCTGCCAAGGTGCGACTGTGTGAGAGGTGAGAGAGACGAGAAGGCAAGACTGAGATGGTGAGGACTTACGAGGTATCGAAGAGGAGGAAACAGGGAGCGAAGCACAATAAACACCGACGGCTTGCCAGTCGGAGGAGCGAAAATAGCCCGGAAAGCATCGGCGAGCTCGTTAGGCAGGCTGCCCATCGGAGCGCAAGATGTCCAGTTTATGATCAAATCTTTGACGCGTCGTTCAGCTCATATGTACATACACGCGAACAAGAGGAGGGAAGTTAGAAGTGGCCGACCGACGTGGAACCGTGCTCAATGCACGGGCGCCGAAGCGACAGCTGAAGCCTGAAAGGCGTCGCAGGGCGGTACCTGGAAACAGAGCGGGCGAGTATGGGAGAGCGGAATGTTGTATAAAAATAAATACGCAGCTGTAATATTGTACTCCCCGGTCTTTTGTGGCCCTAACCGGTCTCTCAGATCTCATTTCTTGCGCCCATGAGACAGGAAGATGGTGGCTGGCTAACGCCGGAACCGCACCATAATTTCCTAGTGGGAAAGATCACCTGCAGCGCCCACGGCATGGAGTGTCATCTTGTTTAATTCGCTTAGCACGTCAATCAGGCGGACACCCTATCCGTGTTCGGAGAATTTCTTGAGCCAGACCTGGGGAATTTGCTGCTTTCGTGCCACAATCCGCGCGCTTAGTGCCCCTTTGCTTATATCAATTTAAAAGTGGGCTTGGAATTTACGCCCGTGACCATCCTCCACCACTATCTGCTCAAACGCTATGGAATCCTTCAAACAGAAGCTGGAATGCCTCGAGGACGGGACGAGAGGATGGAAAATCAACTCAAAACGGCTTGTACGAATAGTGAGTACTTGAGTACTTCTCGGAGTAGGCAAACTCCGATGTATGCGCTCTTGACCATTTACGTACTATGCTGCGTTAGATCGAGGGCGAGGGCAAGGTAGGCGAGACTGGCATGTCGGCAATGAGACCTTTACCGCAGCTTCCGGTCGAGGTGTGGGAGAATGTGATCAATCATCTGTGGGACGACCAGTACGCTTTGGCGCAGTGCAGCCTCGTCTGCCGAGCATGGTACCCTCCCTGTCGCTTCCATTTGCACAGGAAAATCATGATCAACACTGTTCGGGGTGTAAAGGCGTATGCAAAGGAACTGAAGCAGACGCCCGAGCTGTCGAAACGGGCGCACGATATGTTCATAGGCGATTTCCCACATCGAATAATCGATTTGTCAACACTGTGGCCGGCGGCGATCCTGCTCGCTCGGAAGCTGCCCGAGCTCGAGCGGCTCAGAATCTGGAATTCAGAGTGGAAGCCATGGACGATGCACAAAGACATTTTTGTGCACCTCTCCGCCTTCTCCGTCACTCGCCTCGATCTTCATGATGTCACATTCCCGTCGGTCACCATCTTTGGGCGCCTCGTCTGTGCGCTGCCCTGCCTGGTCGAGCTCGAATGCGACAATATGGATTTCACACATGACCAATTCCACCGCGATACGTTTGGTTTATATCGCAATCGCGTCACGATCAGGTCCTTGTGGCTCGAGTATCCGCCACTAGAATCTGAGAAACTCATGGACTTCCTTGCTCATCCTTGCATCTCGAGTCACTTGCAAAGATGCATTTTCCGCTATGATCATTTCTATCATCATGGACGATTCAAAGGGGAATTTCAGCGACTATTGAATGCTGCATCTGGATCGCTCTCAGAACTGCAACTGCTTTTGGAGCTTGGTCAATCAGAACGACAGACAGATACAGAGGTGTCTGCTGCAGGTATGCATTCTGGTTTCATGTAAGCATTTCTGCTGATCAGAGTCTCTCCAGAACGTTCGGTGCTATCCCTCGCTCACAATATTTCGCTGCAGAGACTGTGGCTATGCCTCAAGAACATCCCTCAAGATTCTGACCTGGACAGCTTTGGTCAAGCCTTACTTTCAATCGAATCAAACCAGCTTCGAGAAATTGTGATAGTGTTTATTTGGCTTTCTAGCCCAACTGAAATTATAGAGAAAGTGAAGAACATGTTCAGAAATCACGAGTCTGCTCACCACGAAGAGATGGATAATTATCTTTCATCCGATCCATTCAGGACACTGAGCAAAGTAGAATTTGCACTTTCAGCTGTTCTTGACAGCGTGGAAGCTATTACAGCGGTTGAGGAGCAGTGGAAGCAGATCTTTGCACCGTTGTTCCCACGACTGACTGAGCGAGGTATCCTCTGGTGAGTATCTTATATTTTATGCCTAGACTCACGCATTGATATGCATCGCCTTATTGGAACTGCAGCGCCACAGTGACGGGACCTGGGTACGAAGACAACTTTTGATTATCGCGGCCGTTGTATCTACAGCAGATGCTTCTCGCATTCCTGGTCACGTCTCCACTCTGGCAACGATGAAAGTTACCCTCAACTGGACCGCGAAGGCTTCTACCCTCGTCTTTCCGGCTCCTCGAAGTGTCGTATGGTCCTGCGGGCTCTCGGTACGCGATCCCTCCTACAATTAGCAATATATCATGCGCCACTACATAACATATATGCAAATTCCTGCATCTGTTTTCGTACGTACCACCATCGCCATGAGGACACTCAGACATCTATCTTCTCCATCTCGTCTCCACTTCCATATGCTCTGTTAACAACCGCTCATTCCACGACCACTACATTCCCCATTCATACGCTCTCTACTGCACCCTACCCGCTGGAATTAACACAAGCTCTCCGTGGCGGCCAGACAATCCCGGTCGGAATCCTCCAAAAGACGTCTATGCGTCCATTTTGTTGTCTTCCTTACGATGCTGGCAAGGCCCACTCTACGGGCTTAGTTCCGAGAGTCGCAGGAGCGCCCCGCGTTTGGACGAGTGATTCCTCACGGACACAGGAGGTCCATCGGATGCGTCTCCATCGAGAGACTCTTGGAGGCGAAGTGGCCTGATATTTCATATCGTGCCATGGTGCGCGTTCCCGTGCTCGTATCTGCACGACGTCCACAATCGCTGCAGATAACGTCAACTATACCACGCACCGAACCATGACCAACCGATGCAGGTTCAGTCGCGGACTGACTCTAGCTGCCGGATGCTCAAAAGGGCCCTCACCATCTCTGCTCCCCTGTGACCCACAGTTGCTAGATTAGCCCAGGATGACTTGAGGAGCCTTCCCTTCCCGAAACTCGAAGAAATGAACGGTCGGCTATCACCGCCTAGATGATGAGCAGTGTAGGGTTGGCCGTTCTCGCCTCCACAGGACCCTCGTTCACAGATGTGGCATGAAAGCGGTGTCAGCAGACGTTTCTATTGAACACAGCATGGGCAGTATACAGACTAACTAACGAAGTAGCGCAGGTGCTACACGGACATCCTGACAGCTTTGTGTCACCTACCTGCTTCTTGCGGCGTGGCGTAGTACGTACATTCATTCAATAAAGCCGCAATGCTGTCATCGTACGTCGTCTTGTACAGCCTCAAATTAACCCAGTCCTTGCTATGCAGGCACTGCGCTCGTAGGCAGGCGAAGACGCTATGTACAACATTCCCAATGTGCACGCGTAATGTGAGCGACCAAAGCATTGTCGTCCCTTGTCATCTCCGTCGCGGCCGATCCGCCGTCACACATTGCTATTCAGCTTCTCACCAGCACCATCTGTCGTGCACCATTGTTCGCTCTTCCTGGAAAATAATGCCGAGCATGTGATAGTCGCAATCTGCAGCATGAGCATACTACTCGATGCAGTTTCCTTGGCTGACAGCTCGAGAAGCGGCCGCGTTGTGGACTAGTACTGCCCGGATGTTCGGAACGTGGGATGACTGTTGTTGTCTGCAGATGCTCCTGACATCACGGATGCGGCATGAATGCGGTGCGTCAGCTAATGCTTCCATTCAACCGTTGATTGGGATTGACGGGGCGCAGGCGCAGCTCCTAGGAATGCAGGCACCCGAACGGCCACGCATTTTTTACCTGCATCTTGCAGACGTGCGTGCGTGCCTCCTGCGCAGACTGCGGTGCTGATAAAGCGAGTCGTGTACCAGTAGTGTAGCCTCAGCGGCAATGACGGGCAGGAAACCTCATGACCGCACTCGTGGTGTCCGTGACAGTGCAGCAATGCATTCAGCTTGAAGCATGTCGACAAAGTTTACGGTATGTGGTCTAATACCATCGATCCGATATCATATTCTGACAAGATGCGTATGTGGCAACGCACGGCGCCCCGAAGCTACTCCAGTCATCGCCTATTCCTTCCCTCTGTCCCTTGGCTCTACGCACAGCTGCGATCTTCGTTGAGGCGCAGCGTGTCTGTGAAGCTATGCAGAACAACTGTCGTTCGGTTTGCAGAATCGTCGCGAACTTCGAAATGGTGCAGCAATTTCGGCAAAGCTTTCAAGACATGAGAGAGCTTCTACATAATCGGGTACTGCATATGGGAAGCCAGATGAGCTTCCATTAATGTCTATCCGTCCGCAAGGCACGTCAAATCCTGAGCATGCATGCTGCAATGTGCCTGAGCTGTATGGACGTATTTAAAATGCAATAATCGACTTGGAGAAAATGAGATTATTGCGCTGTGCATGTCATGCCTCGTATTTTGTTCGTCTCTGCCCCTGCATCAAAATACGCATGATCTTGGCTCGTCGACTGCTTAATATACCGCTGGGCTGTGCATCACCCATGAACAGATGGCGCATGTATAGCACCTTCAGTAAGCATCCCAATTCACCGATTGCGTGTGGCCTAAACATGGCTGTGCAGCAGCTGCATTGCACGCGGATCTGTGGACCGTGTGTGCACTCATAGAAGACACTGCATACGGAGGCACGCTGCAATGCGATGAGATGAATACATATAGCTCGAAAGCTGGCCTGGAGACTCACACCTGCGACCATCTCCCACCACTTGATAGAACGCTATGGCATCCTCCGAACAGTATCTGAAATACGCTTCAGGGTACGACGTGTACAAAATGCGAAGTCGTGAGCCAGCGGTGAGTGGGAAAGCTCCGTGTACGCGTTCTCGACCGTTTACGTGCTATGCTGCGTTGGATCAGGGGCAAGGGCAAGGCAGGCGAGATCCAGGTACTAGTACCAGAGGTGAAATTCGAAGACGAATCCGAGGTGGAAACAGTGGCCATAATGCCTCTGCTGTGGCGTCCGAACGTGAAGCTTCTGGAGAACAGAATCGAACATCTGTGGACTCCTGTGGCCATGAGAAGCAAATTTTACCGGCGTTTCCTATACATTACACAAGTGAATCCCCTAGAAATCCCACACGACGAATGGAACCAGTGTCTCTGCCGCAGCTTCCGGTCGAGGTGTGGGAGAACGTGATCCACCATCTGTGGAACGACCAGCATGCTTTGAGGCAATGCAGGCTAGTCTGCCGAGCATCTCTCCGGCTTCTCTGTAACTCGCCTCGATCTCTATGATGTCACATTCCCGTCGGTCACTGTCTTCGGGCGCCTCATCTGTGCTCTGCCCCGCCTGGTCGAGCTCAAAACATGTGACCTTCTGAGATTCAGACATGACCACTTCCACCACGATATGTTTGATCTATATCGCAACCGCGTCGAGATTAGGTCCTTGTCGCTCAGGGGGATGGAACCTGAGGAACTCGTCGACTTCCTTGCTCATACTTGCATCTTGCGGAGACTCATCATAAAGGAGACAATCAATGTGGCTGAATCAGAATACGAACACAGATGTCGGCGATTGTTGGATGCTGCTTCCGGCTCACTCTCGGAACTGCGATTGGACCTTTTTCGCCTAAACAGAGAGGTAGATACATGGATGTCTTTTGCAGGTGTGCGCTCTGGTTTCATGTAAGCATTTCTGCTAATGAGAGTCTTCCCAGATTTGGCAGCGCCGCTATCCTCCACTCACGATACCTCACTGCGGAGACTATGGCTCACCAATGTCGACATTCGTGAACATTCTGATTTGAACACATTGTGTAGATGCTTACTTTCAATCAAATCACGCCAGCTTCAAGAAATCGTGATATTGTTCAATGACCGGGATTCATGCCCATCTATGAATGTCCTGCATTCACGCCATTTTTATCTGGCGGATCAGTTTCAACACCTTGGCTTGAGGACCAGCTTGATCCCTACGAAAAGATAGACAATTATCTTTCATCCGATCGATTCGAGGACCTGAGAAAAGTAGAATTTGCACTGTAAATTCTCAGATCCCGATGCGGCAGTTTATTCCGAAGATCCCGATGCGGCAGTTACAGCGGCCAGGGGATATTGGAAGGAGAAATTTCGAGCATTATTCCAACGACTGACCAGTCGAGGTATCTTCCGGTGAATATCCTACATTTTACGTCTAGACTCATGCATTGGCTTGTGTCGCGATATTGGAACTGCAGCGCTACAGTGAGGGAACGTGGATATGAAGACACCTTTTGATCGCCGCGGCCGTTGTATATCCAGACGATGCATCTCGCGTTCGTGGTCGTGCCCCCACCCTGGCAACAATGAAGGGTACACTCAAGTGGTCCGCGAAAATTTCTACCCTCGTCTCTCCGGCTCTTCGAAGTGCCGTACTGTCCTGCAGTTCTTAGCTACGCATCGCGCTCTCTTTCGCGATCCCCTGCTCCATATACATCACGCGCTGCTACATAACATATCTGCGTCAAGCTCCCCGCATACCACCATTGCTATTCCTACGCTCAGACATCTATCTTCTCCATCTGGTTTCCACGTCTTCCAAGCCGTATGCTCCGCCGTCGATCACCATCCCACGACCACTACATTCCCGATTCATACGCTCTCACGTACAGACTATCGGCTGGAACCAACGCACAAGGCCTCCGTCGACCAAACGATCTTGGTCAAAATTCCCCAATGGTCGTCTACCCGTCTATCTCGTCGTCTTCGTGGCGTTGCCGGTGACGCTTTCAGCGAATCGCAGTGGAGATTGATTTGGATGAGTGATCCGAGACGAACTCAGCGGATCCATCAAATGCATCTCCGCCTCGAGACTCCCGAAGGCAAAGCGGTCTATATTTTATTTCATGCCAAGGTGCATGCTCCCACGCTCGTATCTGCACGACGTCCACAATCTCTAAAAATAACATCAAGCCGCCATACCACGCAATGGCCCGTGGCGACATGACAAGATCAGGCGATACACGCTCAGCAGCGAACGATTCTAGCCGCTGGATGCTCAAAAGAGCCCTCACTGTCTCTCCTCCCCTGTGACCTACGCAGCTGCTCGATCAGCCCGGGATCACCTCGATCCTCGTCTTCCGCTCGTCCTCAATCTAAAGCGCATCACCGCACACAGCACGACTACCAGCACCAACCATCCCATCAGCACACCGCTCAATCGACGACGCGCATTCGCTCACCTCGGTCATCGCGAGCACGAACCTATACCCAAGACCGATGCGTCACATACCCATTTGTGTGAACTTCCGGGCGTGCCGGCGGCCTTAAATCACCTATGCGCACAGCGGGATCCGTCCTCCTCGATCCAGCGCGCTGGCTGGAACGCCCTCGCATCAAAGCCTTCAGAGCGCGCGGGACGTGCTTTATGAAATGGGCCGGAACAGTGACAATCTGGCCTGCACAGGTGGGGATATGTCGACGCAGGGGCATGGAAGGCCGCTCGCACAGGAGATGGAGAGTGAATGACGGTACCTTTGGTGGCATATCGAGCACTTTGTGGATGCGAGGGGCGGAGTCGCGCAAACGTAGGAAGCGGGGTACGATGGCGGGCCACGGCGTGTTCGATGACTTTGGGATACAATCGCAGCGTCCATTGGAAGACTGCGTCGAGGTATGCGAGCGCGTGCGCTGGGTATTCCCCCGCCAAATCGGTATCTCATCAAGTGCACATACCGCTCGCATAGCTTGGGCTGGACGCCAAGCTGCTTGCGAAGCTCACAGGGCTCGATGAGGCGTCACCGCATGTCTTGTGGATTGGACATCGGGGTCGCGGGAGGTTTGGATTGGAAATGTTGCTAGAATGACGGAATCAAGTGAGGTATGCGAGTGTTGTGGATAGATTGGAGTTGCACTGGCTCACTGGACGTTGTCACATACCGGCACGTTCTCGAACTTTATTACTGATAGCGCGAGGTCATTATTGTTCCACAGTTTGTATATAGTACAGGAGCCGGAGACGGACTTGCGAACTCATGATGTTGCGCCATCAATTGACAGATACTCTGATTCTCTACCACGCTCTCGACTCTCCTCGGACTTTCCCTTGACCAGTCCGCGATATATTCGGTCTTCTCATCCAGCATTCGAGAACGTAGAGAAGTGACGAGGGTTGCCGCCACGAGGATTGAGGAGACGGGTCCTAGTACTTTCTTTTTTTACGCTGTCTTCCGTCTGAGCACCCTTGAAGCGGTTGCGACGGAAGGTTGCAGCTCAAATCTTCTTCGGCGCGGAATTCTTCGCGATGACTGTCTTTAGAGACAGGGTCCGTCATGAGCTGGCGGGCAGGGTTGCGCAGCAAAGTATAAAGAGGATCTTCGAGCGGGTCGCTCATATCAACGAACTGCACATGCGCTCGATCAGCTACAATTCCAACAGAAGGACATTGAACCCACCCAATGGTGCAACAAGCTCACAATCTTCTTGACGCTATCCTTGGAAACCGTTCCCCCCTTTGCAACGTCGCCCGACATGATCTTCAGCATTGGATTCCCCTCGTATACAATCCTTGTCCCATCGCTGTCTTTCTCAAAGAGGCAGAAGATCCAGCTCTGACCATCCGATACAACAAAACGAACAACATTCTCCCTGGACTGTCTTAAGCAACCGCGACAATATAACAAAACTCCACTCACCCCGAAACCTCGCTGATAACGATAGCCTGGCTTGCAGCCTCAGGTATGTACTGCCATAAGTCGTGGTCCTCCTTCTTTGCTTCAACCAAGAAGATTCGGCTCTTGATGTACGGCAGAAGATCCTGAAATTTGCCGGCAAAGACTCGATCTGTGATCACAGACCTTAGTGGAGGTGGTTAAAACACATGATGGATGGCTTACGGCGAGCGGCCTCTGACTCGTAATTACACATGCCGTAATCCACAGTGCCTGTGAGCCAGGTCTCGAACCGAGTCTCGGGGTTGCGTATGAGAACTCCCTCGCTTGCGGCTAGGCGGAATTCGGGAAGAATGGCCACCGGCTGTTTATTCGCACCGTCTACCACAATGTCAGCAACGGTAAGAAGGACGGTATGTAGGATCATTCTGGAGCCCGCTTCGTTCTAGAGATATAGCTTTGAGACTTTCCATGAGTTCCAAACGAACCCAGAACAGCACCGACCTTCATGCTAACGTGTCGATGAATGCGATCAATCTGCTAACAGAGATGGTCGATATGGGGTGAATCGGCAGCCAAGAAAGGGGTGAGTCTTTGAGGTACAACCGACCCTTCTTGATTCCCATGTTCAAGACCAACAAGCACCTCTCGAACATGGGAATCAAGAACTGTCATCTGTACCTCAAAGATTCTTCTCCTTCTTTGGCTGCCGATTGATCACATCTATCGACATGTTAGCATATGTGCACCGGCATACCGCTTGATCAATCGTTCACCGATGACGAGCTCAATGCCTATCTGGTCGGGCTTGCTCTCTGGCCGGTCCTCGCCATCATAAAATGACACACATGATACTCAATGTGGCCTGCACACTGTAGACAGTGCCATATGCCCAGGCTTGGATCGAGCAAGCTGTATAAGTTTCAGAGGCCACGAAGGCACTTAGGTTGAGCAGGTAGGCGAGAGAGTGGAGCGTGCGCTCGTACGCAAGTGTCGAATGAGCATGTGAGAAAGGTAGAACACACAGAGTCCGAGCCTTCTCTGTAATATATTATATATGGCAGATTGGCTTCCGTATCTAGCAAGACATAATCATATTCGATATTTCCTCTCCCGAAGATTACACTCACCTCTTCAAAGCTTCAAGCTCAATCTTCACTGCTTGTTCTTCCAAATGTCCTTCTGTGTCACTAGAGTTGCGACCAAGACACACTAATTTTCCCTTGAATGCAGTCCCTGCTTTTCTCAAGTACTTGCTTTGATCGTCCCTCAGCGCGACTCGGCAACAGAAATTCTGGTGCCATCCTCAGCGGGGAGTCGCCTTCGCTGTTTCGCATCTCTGTCAGAACTCGTCTTATCAACACGTCGTACCAAAGTGTTACGTCAATTCGTGTTCTATAGCCACCTACATACTCATCGCTCGGTCAATCCGCAGCAACCCACTTAGCAACTTCCTTGGCTAATCCAAATTCTGATTACCTCGTGTTTGAACGGTTGTTTCTGCGTTTGTATTATTTCCCAACGCTTCGAACGAGAGGGCTTCGTAGTAAGTAGTCGGTCGGTGCAGAATGAGACGAGATCTGGCGATTGGAAGACACGCGAGAGCTTGTTCAATTAAGATGCTTCGGGCAGACTGCTGCAGTGCTGACTGATACTACCACTGTCCTGCTGGTGCGAAGAGCGGCGTTGCAAGCAACATGGTAGGTAGCATGAGGTCGTCGGCATTGTGCGCGATGATTTAGTCGTGACATGTGTGTGACAGCAGGCCACATCACGTGTGACGCATTGACTGCACGCACTGCACGTTGGGTTCTCGTCTTCTTTCATTCTTCAGGACTCCTCCATCCCCATTCTCGTCCTCGTCGTCCTCTGATACGCACCCACCTAGTCTTGATTTTATTGATCATTGAGACGGCTGGACCACCAGATCCCGCCCGGCTCGACTGCTAGATATTCTCGTCGCTGGCCGGTCCTTACAACTGTTCAATAGCTTAAACACACCTGCTCTATCCTTCTCACACTCGCTGACGACGAACCCCCCTTTGTGCCTATCTGCCTATCTGCCTCATATCCGAAGATCTGCTGCTCACCCTTAAGGGATCCCCTGCGTCGTCGCCATCCATCGCTCGCTCCCCCTACTCGCCCGACCAAACGAATTCAAGAGTTTATCAACCAATGGCCACATCCAGTCGCCTGCGCTCACACGGAATGACCATCTCACACAGCGAAGTTGAGCGTACGCCACGCTTCGGCAACACGTGCAATTCTACCCTTGGCTCTCCATTCCTCACCACGTTCGACCTTCCCCTAGACGGCCCCCAACCGTCGACCTCGCGTACTGCAAGTGTCAGCATGGCTCTCGAGGGAGCAGATTTGGAGACGATTGATGGCGCGTTTGCTTCCGTGCCCCGCGCGTATACTGTTACACGCCCACCTTCACCCTCGCCCAGCTTCCGCACGGACACCTACTCTATCATTAGCTGGAGCACAGATGCGTTCGCATCTGCATATTCCGCGGATGGCGATGGTGATACCACTCCGCGCTGCATGTCGACTGGCCGGCGCACGCTTTCTGGATACTACCCACAAACAAGTGGATATTCCTCGATTGGAAACAGTCCATCAAGCCCTACGTCTACGAAGGCATCGCGAAGTTTGAATCTTGGCATGGGTATCATACCGCGGATATTGGACGCCCTCAGGGAGGGCTCGCCCGGCAGGAAAGGGAAGCGTCGGCCGATATCGGCGTGGCGCGACGTGCGCGTCGCGATAGATGAGGACGATGGGTACAGGGAGTTCGTAGATTACTTCAACATGCCTCCCCTGGACGGTGAGGAGGGTGAGCTGATCGATGACGAAGCGTGCTTCATTGATGCCGCAAGGATCACTGGAACCGGTGAGTCTATTCCTGTATTCCGCCTGCGGAACTCGTTTCTACCGCTGTCTGTTGCCGCGAACCCACTCTTCATATATCTAATTCGTCGATCACGGCGATACTCGCGGAATTGGCCTCTGAGAAACTTCCTCACGATCGTGTTTCTCTGTGCTAATCCTCTCCGTGTTGCGCAGATATCGTAGGACACCTCCCTACCGAACTCGCGCTCCACGTGCTCTCCTTCTTAGACCTGTCAGCCGTGCTCGCGTCTCTACAGGTGTCAAGGTACGTCGCGACTGCGGCTTCGTGAATGGGGTCTCACTATGTCGCAATTGCAGGACATGGAACCGCCTGTGCCGCGACAACGCAGTATGGCGCGCGCTATTCGAGCAGCGCCGGTTGGGCGGGTGGAACATTGACCTACGCCGCGGGATGAAGCCGCTTGACTCTGATTCGCCGCGGTTATTGTCCGTATCGAGGACGTTGGTGCCGGCGCCGCTCGGTGTGAATTGGTACGAGACATACAGGACGCGCATGGAGCTGGATCGGAGATGGGCGCCGGCGCCGCCGGCGATTATGAGCATGCATGTGGACGAACAACGTGATCACTCGTGGGAGCCGACGGTGAACAGATTGAGTGGGCATGGTGACAGGTGTGCTACTTTCCATCGAGGGCGCTGGTTTTGAGTTGACTGGGTTGAACAGTGTATATTGTTTGGAATTCGACTCGAAGCGGATTATAACAGGCTCGCGCGATCGGACGATCAAAGTGTGGGAGCTCAAGACGGGGGATTGCCTCGCGACGTTCACGGGCCACCGAGGGAGCGTCTTGTGCCTCAAGTTCGACAAGGACTGGGACAGGTTTGACGAGGAGGATGGCGAGGATGACGATGCGGCATCACTGTTTGAGGACACGGAGGGACGATGGTGGAAAAGAGGGTTCATGGTGAGCGGGTCAAGCGACTGTTCGGTGTGTGTATGGTCGCTGTGTGCGCGTGTGAGGAGTCTCGAGCAAGGACGCACGGCGAGGAGGGACAAGAATCAGGATGAAGTGACTGCAGACATCGCTGCGGTGCTGAGGGGCCACAGTGGGGGCGTACTCGATTTAAAGATCGATGCGAACTGGATCGTGAGCTGGTGAGTTGTTCTCCTCTGATGCCGAGGTGGTTGTGCAGACGAATGCTGACCTATTCCTCTTCCTTCTTCTCGCCCTAGTTCGAAAGACGCGCTTATCCGTGTGTGGGACCGGAAGAGCCTTGAGCTGCACTGCACGTTTCGAGGGCATGAGGGCCCGGTGAACGCCGTAGGACTGCAAGACAGCCGGGTTGTGAGCGCGAGCGGGGACGGGAAGATGATGTTGTGGGATATCGTGCGGGGAGAACGGCTGCGCGTGTTCGAGGGGCATGATCGCGGGCTGGCGTGTATAGAGTTCAAGGTGCGAATATCTCATAGTAAGAAATCATGGTCATTGCTGAGACGCTGTCGCATAGGATGATTTTATCGTGTCTGGCTCGAACGACTGCAAGATAAAAGTATGGTCGGCATCGTCGGGCGCGTGTCTGCGGACGCTAGCGGGTCATGACCTTCTTGTGCGCGCTCTGGCATTTGACCCGCGGAGTGGGCGGCTTGTGAGCGCGAGCTACGACAAGACGATCAAGGTGTGGGACCTTCATTCGGGAAAGATGCTGAGGGAGTTCCGCGGCGCGCATGTCAGCCATATATTCGACGTGAAGTTTGACCACTGTCGGATTTTGACGTGAGTGCTTTCATTTGTTCCGTGATTCCAGGAAAGGGGATATTAATGACTGGACTATTTAGGACGTCGCACGATCAGAAGATCGCTGTACTAGACTTCTCAAAGGGCCTTGATGTGTCGTTGTTCGTTTGAAGACCGAGGCATACTCTCCGTCGGCATATACTAACACGTCGATCATTTCACAATTATTGCTAACTGTACCGACTTGCGCGTTATTCATACGCTCGCATCATATATACCCATCTTCCACTCTTTCTTGCATGGACGCTTATTATTATATTGTACATACTAGTGGTTGTTGCATCGATATTGCCGTTCTGACTGCATCATATCTCGGTCGTTGTATATATACTTACGCGCCGCGCATGGACCAGACCGTTTGGAATGCTGGCTGCTATGTATCCGCTGATGAATCGATGGTTGGGTTAAATCATAAATGCTGCACTTATACTGTCCCTTCTCTACATCAGACGCTGGCCGTCGGCACCTGCAGCTTTTGGGTGTTGTCGAAGGTGTCTGCGAAGCTCTCTATGACCTTCTTGACGGATTCGACGTCGGGGATCTCAACGTCGATCACGCGGCGCTCCTTCTCAAGTAGGCCCTTGAACTCGGATGGGAGGACGTCCCGTTCAAAGTTGAAAGAGGGCGAGGAATGCAGCGCACGGGTGACTGCTTCAGAGAATTTGGCGGGGTGGGCAGTAGAGAGGACGATTTGCACGGTTTGTGGTGGGCTGCGGGGAGCGTCAGACGGGAGGACGTCGTGCGCGAAGAACAGACTTACTTGTGCTTGGCCAGAATGCGTGCGGCGGATAGGCCGACGGCTGTGTGGGGATCGGCGACGTAGGGGGGTTCGGATGCATAGTACGAGCGGATGGTTTCCAGCGTCTGCGTACAGGCGTGAGCATGAATAATCACCAGAACGATCGGACTAACGAACCTGCTCGTCGGAGACTCGCTCGGCGACGAAATCTCTCCTCGCTAGCTCGAGCACAGAGCTCGACACCTGCACCCGCCCGTCGCTCTTCACTGCACGCATCCATCTGTCTACCGTCGCACACGCCGCATCACGTTTCGCTTTGTCCGTTGCGTTCCCGATCTCGCCCTCGTACGCGAGGTACCACAGCAGCCGCTCGAAGTTGCTCGACACGAGGATGTCCATCGCGGGACTGAGCGTTTCCTTCACGCTGCCACCGGCCTGCTTGCCGTCCGACACGACGTTCGCTGCGCCATCGGACGAGTCAACCTTTTCGTACGCGCCGCTCCGCCAGAAGCGCGCGAGGATGTCGTTCGCGTTCGTTGCCACGACGAGGCGCGCCATCGGGAGTCCCATGCGCTTCGCGTAGTAGCCCGCGAGGACGTCGCCAAAGTTCCCCGTCGGGACGACGAACTGCGCCTCCGCGCCGTGCGGCAGGCGGAAGTACGCGAGGAAGTAGTAGATCGTCTGCGCGAGGATTCGCGCCCAGTTGATCGAGTTGACCGCCCCGAGGTGGTGCGCAGCGTTGAAGGGTGCGTCGGCGAAGAGGGCCTTGACGATGTCCTGGCAGTCGTCGAAGGTGCCGTGCACAGCGAGATTGTGCACGTTCGCGTCGGTGACGGTCGTCATTTGTGCTTCTTGGATGGGCGAGACGCGGCCTTTGGGGTGCAAGATGAAGATGGAGATGTTGGCCTTGTTGCGCAAACCATAGATCGCTGCACTGCGAGTCGTTCTTGTCAGCTCGAGACGTGTCAAAGGACTGATTGCGCACCTGCCAGTATCGCCGCTCGTAGCACCGACGACGGTCAGTCGCTCGGGCTTCTCTCCAGGCGCCTTGCGCGCATTCCGCCGCGCGAGGAAGAACTCGAAGAGGTTCCCGAGCAGCTGCAGCGCGACGTCCTTGAACGCAAACGTCGGCCCGTGGAAGAGCTCTAGCACGTACGTCTTGTCGTTTAGCTTCTTGATGGGGGTGATGTCCGGGTGTCGGAAGGTGCGATACGACTTGTCGACGAGTGCGCGGAGCTCATTGCGCGAGATCTCTTCGGGCGAGATGTAGAGCGAGAGTATCTCAACAGAGAGTTCTGTGAAGGAGTAATCCTTCCATTTGGTTTGCCAATCTTTCGGGAGCGAGGGGATGTATTCTGGGATGTAGAGACCGCCGTTGAGAGCGAGTCCTGTGAGGACCGTCTGCCGACGCAGTAGTAGCACTTAGGAAACAGTTAGATCATCCTAGAACAAAACCAGTCTCACCTCCTCAAAAGAGAGCGACGGCTCTGCTCCCCTCGTCGAAAAGTAGCGCATGACGAAGAGGCCTTCGAATTTTCGGACAATATGCTCGAACTCACGGTTCACCGAGCGAGTCAGTCGTCGATTAGATTATAGTGTGCCACGTGCGGGGCGTATACGATCGCCATCAGTTTGACGGCACCAATACGTGTCCCGAACCTGGATGACCTTTTCTATTTCTATGGGACCATCAAGCAGTCCATGAGGCATGCTTCGAGTTTGCTTCCTGAGCCTTCCTCTCTGTAACTTGGCCACGACGATTTCTGATACTGTACAGTTATGAACAAGCTGAAAAAGTCCCCGCCTCATTCTGCCATCAGCGCTCTCGGACAGCACTCTGCTCAGGTTGCTAGCTCTATTGCTTCCTCCTCTGCCTCGGTCGAGAGCCGTACGATGCTCTATGCTCGTGCACTTGTACCAGCCACGGGCAGGACGAAAGCCACTCGACCTGTCAATGCGGCCTCCACCATCTCTGCCGCAGTGCGCCCCATGACTACCGCGGAACAGTACTGGGCCATGCGTGCACTGACGGCAGAAGCGCACTTGTCCACGCGCGTAGTCCATCAAACCGAGCTCGTCGAGCTGTCGCAGCGTGAGGAGGAAAGGCGTGCCGTAAGATCACGTATTCGTGCGTCACGCTGACGGGTGTTCATAATGGTGTCCGGCTGTCGCAGCGCGAAGTGGACGCGTTGCGGCGTTCGCACGAGGAGACGTATGCTCGGATGGAGTTGCTCGTGGTAAGTGCGGGGTCGCGTTGAACGCCTTGATGTCGCCGCTTCTGCTGACCTGCTTCGCTCGTCAGCTGATCCTTTTGGGCTGTCTCGTATCATTCGCCTTTGCGACTGTCTATATGATCTCGCCTAGCCAGCATTCCCAGTCTACGCGGTGGCCGACGCCGCACTTCACGATACCCATCCTATCTCCATTCACCTCCGTGGTAAGCGCCGCGTGTGTCCCTTGCTCAACGATTCAACCTCTCCTTTACAGGTCGAGCACGAGACGTCCGCGGTCAATGCAAAGATGACGAGTGCATTTATCGTCGCGTTAGCTTGCTTAGCATATGGCTGTTTTCGTTACTGGGTATTGCACATGCGGAGATGACCACCCCAAAAAGCCTGGAGACGCCCGTACCCATGATCGCGGGCTGACCATGCCGTGTCGCCAGACTCCAGACTCACTCTAAATCCCGCACACCAGACCCCCGTCCCAGCTCAGACCGGTCTCACGACCCAGAATACAAGGCCCGATGGTTTTTTTTTGCTGCCATCTGGACCGGCTGACCGCAGCGACGTCGTGTCGTTGCTGCGGATGGCACATATAGCATGGTCCTGTCCTGGTGCTGTGAGAATTTCCGAGAATGCTACTCTACCACACCTGTGAGGGATGTACATGTATAAATATTTGACTGTGGTCATGAGAATTCATAATCGATTGACATTGAAAGGGCGGCGACTGTCAGCGCTTGCCCGAGTCTGTGGCTCCCGCCGCTGCAACGAGATTCGTATTATGTAGCGCTATGTAGCGGCCCGAGGTGTGGCCAACAGATTCGTATGCTTCGGCGAGTTAAAGACCCATACAGGCGTCCTTGCAATCCACGTATAACATCAGTCCGAATATCATGATCCCCCAATATTGGGAGTGCAGAAATCTGCCTCTAGAAGGATGGTGAAGATGAATTTCAGCAGAAACGATCGCTTAACACTTGCGACTCCGGCGCGCGCTTTCCCCCCTCTAACATCTCTTACTTACTTACCTTGAGAATGCCTTTTCGTGAACAAAGTCCCGAAACCATAAATTCCACGAGGATATAAATGTCATCTTGATACGAGTTGTGATGAAACGGGGAGAATGAGCGAAACAGCTACCGAGGCCGACTCCACGAGCACCATGGAGCGGCCAAGCGTAAAATTACCGTCGTTGGTCGGAATTTTCTCTCCTCTCCAGGCAAATGTAAGTATAGGTAAGTATTCACAGAGATAGAAGATTAAACAGAGGCGAGAGAAGTGCGGACAGCGTAGTGAGGAAGCCGCATTGCGTTGGAGCATCAGCCACACTTTCTTTCTCCGTATGATGGGACCTTCCACAATAGGCAACCGGGGTACCGAAAAGGCATTGAATTAAGGCTCCGATTTCCAGTTAGACTAGTTTTGCTTCCCAGCCGCTGCACAACCATTTGCCCTGCGTCACGCTCCTTGACCGTCCCTCAACGACCACGACGACGAGCTCGCCTTTGTAGTTCGCCATGGCCGGCCATCCTGGTCCTCGAAGCCAGGAAGGCATGTATACCTCCCCCTCCCCTCCTTCCTCCGACCCCCATGATCCCTTCAGCAACTCCCAGGCCGCCGATGGGAGATACTTCGATAACGACTCTGACAACTATGGCCGTCGCGATACCTACATGTCCGACGGCAGCCAGAACGGCCTGAATGACGATGACCGCTATTACGATCACCATGGGGCGTATGACCCGTACGGTGAGCAGCGCCATCCTTGCGCGTTTCCGTCTTTCGTCTCACGACCCCTTCACAGGCCCACAGCCAGATACAGACTCCGAGGTCGATGTGTACGGCACGAAGTATACGCCATCCTCGGAATCGCTGGGACCCCCGCGCATAGGCATCTCTGACGCGTCCACACCGACCTACGTCGAAGGCAATAGCCCGTCGGGCGCCCGCGAGCCTTATCCTGCGTGGAGTTCGGAGCGGCAGATTCCCCTATCGAAGGAGGAGATAGAGGATATCTTTCTTGATCTGACACAGAAGTTTGGGTTCCAGCGCGACTCGATGCGGAATATGGTGCATATGCGACGTATTGTTTCACGGAATAGCGCCAATGCTGACGCCCGCTCGTATCCAGTTCGACTTTATGATGCAGCTCCTCGATAGTCGCGCGTCGCGCATGTCGCCCAACCAGGCACTGTTAACGCTTCACGCAGATTACATTGGCGGGCAACACGCGAACTACCGGAAGTGGTACTTTGCGGCGCAGCTTGATCTGGATGACGCGGTTGGGCAGACACAGAATCCCGGGCTCCAACGCCTCAAGTCGGTCAAGTCGGTAAATAAGCGGGCTCCACCCAGGAATGCCTCGCAAAAGTCTCTCAGCGGCGCGATGGACCGCTGGCGGCAGGCGATGCACAACATGAGCCAGTACGACCGCATGCGGCAGATTGCGCTCTGGCTGCTGTGCTGGGGCGAGGCCGCCCAAGTGCGATTTGTACCCGAATGCTTGTGTTTCATTTTCAAGTGCGCGGATGACTATTACCGAAGTCCAGAGTGCCAGAGCCGGATCGATGCCGTGCCTGAGGGGCTGTATCTCCGGTCTGTGGTTAAGCCGCTCTATAGGTTCATACGTGATCAGGGATACGAGGTTGTCGATGGCAAGTTCGTGCGGAGAGAACGAGATCACGAGAGCATCATTGGCTACGATGATGTCAATCAGTTGTTCTGGTACCCAGAAGGCATTGCTCGTATCGTGCTGACTGACAAAGTAAGGCTTCTGATATGTAAGACTGTCAGGATCGTGTCTAATCTGTCTACCTTCAGACTCGACTGGTCGACTTGCCCCCAGCACAGCGGTTCATGAAGTTCGACAGGATCGACTGGAACCGTGTCTTTTTCAAGACGTACTACGAGAAGCGCTCCTTTGGACACTTGCTTGTCAACTTCAACCGTATCTGGGTTATCCACATAGCCATGTACTTCTTCTACACCTCGTACAATTCACCCACCATCTACAATGGCGATAATTCGGCGGCCATCCGATGGTCCGCTACTGCGCTCGGCGGTGCAGTCGCGACTGCTATCATGATCGCTGCTACACTGGCCGAATTCTCTTATATCCCGACGACATGGAACAACACCTCACATCTTTCCCGACGCCTCCTTTTCCTGCTCGTCACCCTGGCGCTCACTGGTGGTCCGACGATCTACGTCGCGATCGCGGTAAGCAACGGGTCTGGCGGTTCCGTTCCCCTGATCATCGGTATTGTGCAGTTCTTTATATCGGTTGTCGCGACGCTTCTGTTCGCTATCGTTCCCTCCGGACGGATGTTCGGCGATCGGGTGGCAGGCAAGTCACGAAAATATCTCGCGAGCCAGACATTCACGGCCAGCTACCCGTCGCTGAAGCACTCGGCGCGGCTGTCGTCCATTGTGCTCTGGGTCCTCATCTTCGGCTGCAAGTTCACCGAATCGTACTTCTTCCTTACGCTGTCGTTCAGGAGTCCGATCCGCGTGATGGTGGGCATGAAGATCCAGAACTGCAACGACAAGTATTTCGGCAATGCTCTCTGTAGGAACCAGGCGGCGTTCACGCTCACCATCATGTACTTGATGGACTTGGTGCTGTTCTTCCTTGATACATTCCTGTGGTGGATCATTTGGAATACGATCCTCAGCATTGCGCGGTCGTTCTGGCTTGGACTGTCGATCTGGACTCCATGGAAGGATATATACATGCGGTTGCCGAAGCGGATCTACGCGAAGCTGCTCGCTACATCCGACATGGAGACAAAGTACAAGCCCAAGGTTTGCCTATAACATCTTTGGTCGTGATTCAGTTCTGATTATACGTTGCATGTTTAGGTCCTGGTGTCGCAAATATGGAATGCGATCATCATCTCCATGTATCGCGAGCACCTGCTGTCCATTGATCACGTGCAGAAACTGTTGTACCACCAGGTTGATGCCGGACAGGATGGTCGTCGCAGTCTTCGAGCTCCGCCGTTCTTCATCTCTCAGAGCGATAAGGGTTTCAGGGGCGAATTCTTCACCCCGGGCAGTGAGGCAGAACGCCGGATATCGTTCTTTGCACAGTCTCTCACTACTGCTGTACCGGAACCGCTACCTGTTGATGCCATGCCGACGTTTACGGTGCTCACGCCTCACTATAGCGAGAAGGTGCGTGCGTTTGACAAGAACGCGTGTGATGTGCTGATGGATGTATCGTCAGATCTTGTTGTCTCTTCGCGAGATTATCAGGGAGGAGGACCAGAACAGCCGTGTTACACTTTTGGAATACCTCAAGCAGCTGCATCCGGTTGAGTGGGACAACTTTGTCAAAGATACCAAGATTCTGGCAGAAGAGTCCGCTATGTACAATGGCCCTAGTCCGTTTGGCTCTGATGAGAAAGGACAGTCGAAGACGGACGATCTCCCCTTCTACTGCATCGGTTTCAAAAGCGCAGCACCTGAATTCACTCTTCGGACGCGTATCTGGGCATCATTGCGCGCACAGACGCTTTACCGCACGGTCTCTGGTATGATGAACTACGCGAAGGCGATCAAGCTTCTCTATCGTGTCGAGAACCCAGAAGTTGTACAACTCTTCGGCGGCAACACAGACAAACTGGAGCGCGAGCTTGAGCGCATGGCCCGTCGCAAGTTCAAGTTCGTCGTATCCATGCAGCGGTACTCGAAGTTCAACCGCGAGGAGCAGGAGAATGCAGAGTTCCTTCTTCGTGCATATCCTGATCTTCAGATTGCATATCTCGAAGAAGAGGCTCCTCGCAAGGAAGGTGGCGAAGTTCGGTTGTTCTCTGCGCTGATTGATGGACACTCCGAATTTATCCCCGAGACCGGCCATCGTAAGCCCAAGTTCCGCATCGAGCTCCCCGGTAACCCTATCCTCGGTGATGGGAAGTCTGATAACCAGAACCACGCGATCATCTTCTACCGTGGCGAGTACCTGCAGCTTATTGATGCCAACCAAGATAACTACCTGGAGGAATGCTTGAAGATCCGCAATATCCTCGGCGAGTTTGAGGAGTACTCCGTGTCAACCCAGAGTCCTTACGCTCAGTGGGGCCACAAGGAGTTCAAGAAGAACCCAGTTGCGATCGTCGGCGCCCGCGAGTACATCTTTTCTGAGAACATCGGTATCCTCGGTGATTTGGCGGCAGGCAAGGAGCAGACGTTCGGTACCTTGACAGCGCGTTCTTTGGCATGGATCGGCGGCAAACTCCATTACGGTCACCCCGACTTCCTCAACGCCATCTACATGACAACTCGTGGTGGCGTATCGAAGGCTCAAAAGGGTCTGCACCTCAACGAGGATATCTACGCTGGTATGAACGCATTCGGCCGCGGTGGTCGTATCAAGCACACGGAATACTTCCAGTGCGGCAAAGGACGTGATCTTGGTTTTGGGACTATTCTCAACTTCCAGACCAAGATTGGTACTGGTATGGGCGAGCAGATGCTCAGTCGCGAGTACTACTACCTTGGTACTCAGCTTCCCATTGACCGCTTTCTCACTTTCTACTATGGTCATCCTGGCTTTCATATCCACAACATGCTTGTCATTCTCTCTGTGCAAGTATTCATCACGACCAGTGAGTACAGTGCACTTGACACAGACGAACAGTCACTAATTGCTTGGGCGTACAGTGGTCTATTTGGGATCTCTTAGGGGCCAGTTAGCGATTTGCAAGTACAATTCGGCCGGCCAGCTGCTCAGCCCAGCGGGTTGTTACAACCTTAGTCCAGTATTCCAATGGATCAATCGTTGCATTATTAGCATATTTTTGGTCTTCCTGATTGCGTACTTGCCTCTGTTCTTGCAAGGTTAGTGTGTTTTCAACGAAGAGGAATGCACTGCTAATTTACGTGCTAGAACTGGTTGAACGCGGCACTGCGAAGGCTATCCTGCGTCTCGGGAAGCAATTCGCCTCGCTCTCGCCTGCATTCGAGGTGTTCTCAACCCGGATCTCCTCTCATTCGATTGCAAGTAATCTCACCTTTGGTGGTGCCCGCTACATCGCCACTGGTCGTGGATTTGCAACGGCGAGGCAAAAGTTCAGCATTTTGTACTCGCGGTTCGCGGGTCCCAGTATCTATCTCGGTATGAGATTGCTGGTCATGTTGCTGTACGTGACTATTACGCTGTTCACCGGCTGGGTGGTCTATTTCTGGGTTACTGTCCTCGCACTGTGTATCTCGCCTTTCCTCTTCAACCCCCATCAGTTTTCCGCTGCGGATTTCATCGTCGACTATAGGTAGGGATGCCGTTCTTAGCATTCCAACATTGCAGCTGACGGCCTTATAGGGAGTTCCTGCGCTGGATGAACCGTGGTAACTCCCGCGTGCATCAAAACTCCTGGATTGGCTACTGCCGCTTATCTCGCACGATGATTACTGGGTACAAGAAGAAGAAGCTGGGCCACCCCTCCGAGAAGCTCTCAGGCGACGTTCCAAGGGCAGGCTGGCGAGCGGTCATTTTCTCTGAGATTGTCTTCCCTATCATTATGGCCATCCTGATGGTCGTTGCGTACATGTTCGTCAAGTCCTTCAAGGTCAACGGCGTACAGCCTCCGAGTCCCCTGATCCGTATCGCGATCATCTCTCTAGGACCGATTGTCTGGAATGCTGCTATACTGCTGGTGCTTTTCATGGTGTCCCTCTTCCTTGGGCCATTCCTTGATACGCCGTTCCCGAAGTTCGGTGCTACCATGGCTTTCATTGCGCACTCATTGGGTGTCGTCGGCATGATCGGATTCTTCGAGTTCCTGGTACGTTGCACTGGAATGCTTATCTGATGTTGCATTAATGAGTTCGGTGTCCAGTGGTTCCTGGAATCGTGGAACGTCGCGCATGCCGTGCTCGGTCTCATTGCCGTCATCTACATTCAGCGGGCAATCAACAAGGTTCTCATCTCGGTCTTCCTGTCTCGAGAGTTTAAGCACGATGAGACGAACCGTGCGTGGTGGACCGGGAAGTGGTATGGCCGCGGCCTGGGCGCGCATGCCATCTCGCAACCAGCGCGGGAGTTCATCGTCAAAATTATCGAGTTGTCGCTCTGGAGTTCAGACTTCTTGACCGGACATTTCCTTCTTCTCATCTTGACGCCCCCTGTCTTGATACCCTACATTGATCAACTGCACTCCACCATGCTCTGTGAGTCGTCCTTCCTGCGTTCCATATTCTGACTGTGACCGATGACATCTCCAGTCTGGTTCCTTCCGTCAAAGCAAATACGTGCTCCTCTGTACTCTATCAAGCAGAAGCGCCAGAGACGGTGGATTGTGATTCAATATGGCACTCTATACGTGCTAGCGGTTGCTATTATTGCAGCTCTGATTGCTGTTCGTGAGTAGTCGCTGTCCTTGTACATCACACTGATAATCTTGCTCATGTCCACATCTATTTGCTAGCTCTCGCTTTCCGCGAAACGCTGCGAGTCAATTGCAGTGTCTGCCAGCGGGTCTGATTGGACGATTGCTTACCTTCAGTTACACACCGTATAGATTACTTGCACCTGTACTTGTTCTTGTTTTTTTTGTGTATCCGGCGGACAATGTCGCTTAGCTTCTCATGCGGAGATGGACTGTTATGCCTAGTGGAGTGTCTCGTTAGTTGACACGCCAATGACCGTACCTATACAGCCACGAACAATACTATTGTGTATGACTGCAACTCGTGCATTACGATGCCGTAGGTGCCTTTGACATGGTATAGGTATGTCGTACGTACAGTACTAGTGTATGGAGCGACTCGCAAGGCGGCTTCTGACCCCGCAAACTACGATGATAGCCTGCCCTGCAACTTTGGCAATGACATTCGTGCATTGCATTTTGAGGTAAAGCTGAACTTTCTTCCGAAGATAGTCCGTGCTCATCCCTTCTAGGACCCGAGTTATCAAAATTCGTCATATGGATGTTCAGTTCGAACTCCAGGGCTGCATGTGCCATAGAACGCCCGAGAAGTTTGCATCAATTGAGTAGTGAACTTCCGATGACGAAGCTTCTGACGCCGCATTATTGAGCTAAGGCGGTCGCGAGGACACATGTTCTATGCTCTCCATGAGTTCTTGATCTTGCATTGTAGGTCTCGATCTTTTCGGTCATAGCACCACCATAACCCTGACAAGGTATGTGCAAATGTGCTCAACCCAATTGATATCGCTGAATGAACTATCAAGCCAAGCCGCAGGACCCTAATCGGCATGAAGATGACCAGCTGCATGGAACGTCGAGGTATAATACAAATGTGTTACAGTTCTGGCTCACTCGATCATGCTATGTAGACCATATGATTTTCATCACGCGGATCATCGCTTCACATCCCAGCCGGGAGCCCTGCAAATACCCTGAGCTATCGGTCATCCAGTATTGCTCACGATCAACTTACGTAGTGACTTCCGCACCCGATGATTCCAAGGAGCAAGGCCACGTCAGCCAGGGCGGCGCTCACTTGGAAGCCGTCGCCGCGTATTCCACAGTTTGAAGGATTGGTCCGATGAAAGTGATGCGAATAGCTGGCACGAGATGATTTGTCTGCACCATTTGACACAATCCATCAATCATCAGCCGTTGCCAAATTGCTAAGCGGACGCGCGTAACTCCAATTATATGTATAACATTGTCTCGGGCGCAAATCCTTGTCGTCGCCTAGCGGAGCTGTATTTCCGACTTCTGGACAATTTCTCTGATGGGTATCACCTGCTATTAGGGCCTGTAGGGCTGCCAGGCTCACCTTACACCTCACCACCATGGCTCCCTCACCTATCGTCAAGATCGTCCGGTCCAGTGATGGAAACCCAATCTATGCAGAGGCTATTGGAGACCCCAGCAAGCCGAGCATGGTCCTCGTCCACGGATTCAATCTCTCCGCAGCAGCATTAGATCGCCTGTTCTTTGACAAACGATTGCTAGAGGACGTGTATATGGTGAGGTGTGTTTGCTAGCCCTGAAAACTAATCGGCCAACACCTGTCAGGTCCGTTTTGACATGCGTGGCCATGGGAGGAGCGGGAAGCCTGTGAAACCAGAGGGGTACATCTCTTCGCTGTTCGCCGACGACTATGCTACTGTCGTCCGTGCCTTTAACCTAAAAACCCCGATATATGTTGGATGGTACGTCGCTGGAGTCACAACTGATGGCAATTGTTATCTGCGAGCTTATAATTGTCATGAACGCAGGAGCTATGGTTGTAAGTGGAAGAACAAACTCACCAACGTTTGTCCCTGAAACTCTCCATAGGTACCGTCGCTACTGATATCTGTGCGAAGCTTGGCCCGAAGCCCTTCGCCGGGCTAGTGTTCATGACAGCCTTGCCCTATCTTGGACCAATGCTATACCAAGTCGGCAAACCCGAGGTCCTCAGCCTCCTTCCGCCGATCACGGTCAACGACGACACAACACAATACAATAGTATGAAGGTCGCCTTCATGGACACGATGTTTACTCGTCCAGAGGAAGTCGATTTTAACCTGAAGGCAGCACTGATCGGCCAGGCTGTCCTGCAGCCTCCGGAAGTCACTAAACTCATCCTCACGCGCACACAAGACCCATCCGGACTATTTGAGGCCGGGCGCCAGGGAATGCCGATGTTGATCCTTAGCGGCGGCGCTGACAAGCAGGTCAATAATCATGTTGTCATTAATGGGATGAGTCCATACTTTAATAACTTGGACCTATACACGATTGAGAACGGTGGCCATATGCCCTTCTACGAGCATAAGGATGAGGTTGTGGATGCTTTATTGAAGTTCGTACGTCGCGTTCTGGTGAGTAGGCATGATTAGGACTCGGACCTCAATGCCATCTACTCACACAAATAACAGATCTCAGCCTGAGCATCGGAAGTCGTTTTCTTAATGCCCCTCACCTGTTGCCGACGTTAAATATCCGTAGCATAATCATATTGTAATATGCTGTACCATTCTTCGCCATTTTCATATGTTCGAGTTTTATCTCCCCTGCTACGCACGAAGACCGGCTATAGTAGAAGCAAGTTTGGATTCGAAAATGACCATGTCCTGAGATTTCTTTTCGCGAGCATTGTGACCGATTCCGCCTAATACAAATCTGGGACTAGAATGCGCATGCGATACGGAGTCCGTATCGCAGAAGAATCCGTATTACGGACTTCTGCTCGGCCAGATGCGGCTTCCCGAACTTCGCTTCCCGGCTGGCAGAGCGACTCGTGAGACATAGCTGATGGACTACGCGCTACACATGATGCAGACATCAACAACTCGTTGACAGTCACAGATGAGTGCGGTCATCTGTCGGTGTCCTTGCGTACCTACTTTAACGAGCGCTTCATCTGACGATCCATCGATTGATAACTCTGCATCGTTGCAATGCTCAGACACTGCGGTGGCTGAGAACGGATTATACTGACCTAATCTCTATCATCTTGGATTAGAGAAGGTCCGAAGGAGCGTAATGCGCCCTTTGGTCTATGAACCTCGCGTGGTGCCTTAATGCTCCCACCATACCCTACCATACCTCGCTCGGTTTTAATGCGCCTCTTCCATTCGGCCTTCGGTCTGAGTCTCCCATGCGTCCCCTTGGGTTGCAATATCTCTTTATCAGGCATAGTCCGATGATAAGCTTCAAAGAATAGGTAGCATGGATCACAAGACAGACTGGAGATACCCAGAGATACCCATGCCATGAGACGCGACACATTGTCTTAAATTCTTTCACGGAGATCGCTAGAGGGCTTATATTGATTCATGATCTTGGTTTGCCTAGACTGACCTGAGATGGTCCACGACGCTCGGGTCAACGATGCCGTTCTGTTCGACGTGAATAACGAACCTGGGGTCGCTTGTAGTCCAAGCGGCAGTTGTCAGTTCGGATTCGCCTCGCAATGCTGCAGCGGCAATAGCGTCTGCAACGTATCGTTCGCATTCCGTATTTCTGTCCACGATTCCGAGGTGAGATGGAGAAGTGCGAATATAGACGCTTCGTTGTGTGCTGCCCGACCAGAAGCAGCATAAAGGTGAAGATCAAAGGCAGCCGCTCAGGCGTTGGAGGTTGTGCAGTCATTCGTCGATCAGTGCAAACTCTTGAAACGAGGGCAGAAAACCAGATGACTGGTTTCGACATACTAATGCGAACTCCAAGTTTTGGCTGGTGCTGGTGCCGGTGCTGAGTATAAGGAACGACTGTCTTCCCGTACGAAGGCTGATTTATGAGCCTAGTGCCGGTGGCCACATTGGACCAGCATCAATGAGAAGCACGTGCCAGAAAATGAAGATACGCCTGCTCTTAGGTGCTACGCTTGCTGTGTAGATAGTATATAGCAGCGTTACGATCGATACATAGATGGTATACACTAAATCGAGCACCACGATGCTCCCCGAGAGTTCAGCGTTCATGGGGACAACCAATCTACATCCGTGCGAGTCAGAGCGCCCGACGTGCCGCTAACTTCTTCTTGAGCTTCTCCTGTAAAGATGTCAGCGCCTTCTCACATATCCGCGAGGGCAGAGAGATACTCACATTGACAGCGTCCATGTACTTGTCCGTGACAACCCAGTGCTCGCGCTTCATGTTCTTTCCATGAATCGCAAGCGCGAGGTCCTTGGTCATGATGCCATCGTCATCAATGACTTCCACGCATGCCGCCTCGAGATCCTGGCAGAACAGGCGTAGCTCCTTGTTGCCGTCCAGCTTCGCGCGGTGGAGCAGGCCACGCGTCCAGGCGAAGATCGACGCAACCGGGTTCGTAGACGTCTCGTTGCCTTTCTGCCACTCGCGATAGTGGCGCGTCACGGTACCTACGAGCGTTGAGCGTTCTAACTAGGGAGGTAGAAGGAAGGACTACTCACCGTGCGCGGCCTCGCTCTCAATAATCTGGCCGTCAGGCGTGATAAGCTCACTGGTCATCATGCCCAAGCTGCCGAAGCCCTGGGCAAGGATATCCGACTGAACGTCGCCGTCATAGTTCTTGCACGCCCAGACGAAACCGCCTGATGACTTGATCACTTGCGCAACCATGTCATCGATAAGGCGGTGCTCGTAGTAGATGCCAGCCTCCTCGAACTGCTTCTTGTATGTGCTGCACGAGAGTGAACAACAAGCGCTCACATACGCAAGAAAAATGATGCGTACGTTTCGTACACCTCTTGGAAAATGTCCTTGAAGCGTCCATCGTACTTCTTTAAGATGGTGTTCTTCGTGGACAGGAACTACAGACAAACCAGTTGGAGCATTCCTGCTGTGTAGTGGGCGTGGACGAGGAACATACCAAGGGGAGCTTCTTCGACAGCGCCATCTTGAACGATGCGTGCGCGAAGCCAGTAATTGACTGTCACGAGAATACGCGTCAGACAAGAGTCCTGTGCTTGTCAACTCTATTCTCACCTCATCAGTGTTGTACATGGCCATCGCGACACCCTTGCCTTTGAAATCGTACACATCAAGGACGGTCGGCTCACTGCCATCCACTGGCCTGAATACAAGCTGCAGCTTGCCCGGACCAGGCGCGACGAAGTCCGTTGACTTGTACTAAAGTACCAACCCTCGTCAACGCACTTTTTACTCGCACATGCAGAGCGGACGCACCTGGTCACCGAACGCATGTCGTCCGATGATAATTGGATTTTTCCACCCTGGAATGGGCTTGGGAATCCGCTTGAGGATGATGGGTTCGCGGAAAACGGTGCCACCGAGAATGTTCCTGATGGTCCCGTTCGGGCTCTTCCACATGTACTTGAGGTTGAACTCCTTCACACGAGCCTCGTCCGGCGTGATCGTCGCGCACTTAATGCCGACCTTGTACTTCAGGATGGCTTCAGCTGAGTCAGTCGTGACTTTGTCGTCAGTCTACGGAGAGGAACAATGAAGGCGCAAGGAGCTCGACATCGATTGACTACGTACAGCATCACGGTGCTCCAGACCCAAATCATAGTATTTGATGTCTAGTTGAAGATAAGGGAGGATGAGCTGAACGACGAAAGCGAGTTTGAGCACGAAATCGAGTGCAGGACGAGGACGAAACTCACCTCCTCCCTAATTTTCTTCCAGATAATCCTGGTCATCTCGTCGCCATCGAGCTCGACGACGGGATTTTTGACGACAACTTTATGCTCTGCATTCGACGTCGTGCGAATCCCAACAAGGCGCCACGACGTCCGCCATCCATATGTTCAAGCGAATAAACCAGTCCGGAGCCCCGCATTACCCCAGAGACGGAAAGTAGACATATTTCAGAGCGTAGTCGTCAGTAGTTGCCCAGAAGTGCAGAGAGAGGCCACTCACGCATTCTGGATAGACTGGTGGCGAACCCTCGATAAAGGAGTACTGGGGGAGAAAAGGAAGGCCTCGACACGAGCCTTGTATATGCGACGGAACGCGACCACATCGCACTCATCGCGGACGACGGTGCGCCGGTTTGATAATGATAATTGCGGAGTTGATGCTCGGGTTGAAAGCGCTAGGAACCGGCTACCTTTGTAGCCTGTTGCTATATACTCGGACTTGCGCTCGTCGGCCGATGGCGTGTAGGTGAGAACACTCTCGCCTTCGAATCGTCGATATGCTTGTCAGCACAACTCCGTTTTTTTCTCGCAGCCACACACGCATGCAGCTTCTCGTGACAGCGAGCGAGGTGTTCTCGCTGCCTGTTCTAGCCTCACTGTTAGGGGGAGTAGACTCAGGTGAGAAAGCTGTGTCTTCACATAGAGCTGGGAAGCTGAATCACATCGAGAAGAATCTAATCGGGCAAAGGGTTATACGCTACAAGCGATACAGAATGAAGGTGAAACACACGGCCGCATGCTGGTGGCGAGCTCATCGTCAAGCACGACGAGCTCGCGAGTGGAGAGTGCACGTGATATGATCAACTCGTGGCGCGGACCACGCCGTCGAGTCCCGTTCCCATTCGCACAGCATTGTGCTAGGTGAGTCAAGGGCGACCTCCTACCGAGTATCAGCGCGGACGAGACTGCATGGAAGTCGTAAGCCCATCTTCAACGTGTTTTGCGGCACCGTTCTGATATTTCTATTGTGCTAGACGGCTTCTGAAGAGATCGGCGTAACGCCTTCCGACGACATGCTAGCGTTCAAAAGGGTCCTGAGGTCCTCGAAACACATCATGGCAGTCGCTGGAGCGGGGCTATCGTCTGCCTCAGGTACCACAACATCCATTGTACAGAGATCACGCGCATTTACCAATCAATAGGAATCCCGACTTTCCGAGGTGCCGGAGGCATGTGGCGCAAGTACGACGCGATGAGTCTGGCCACGCCCACTGCCTTTCCCGACAATCCGTCGCGAGTCTGGCAATTCTACCACTATCGACGCGAGAAGTATGTTGCCTTACGGCCCTGAGCATTCTTGTCGATGTCACCTGCTTATCCACGGTATTCAGAGCCCTCAAGGCTCAGCCCAATGCTGCTCATGATGCTCTCGCGCGATTTTCCTTCCCTTCAGTGAGAGATCGGATTGCTCCCAGTTCCACCTTCACTCTGATCACTCAAAACGTGGACGGACTCAGTCAAAGGGCATTGAACGCCGCCTCTAGCGCCCTAGGTATCCCGATCCCAGAGGATGCTATCCAACCAGTGATGCTGGAGATGCACGGTAGGCTCTTCGATGTCGTCTGCACAGCATATGACTGCCAGCATCGCGAAGCCAACTTCGACTCGCCGATCTGTCCCGCGCTCGCCGGCACCGAGGAGCTGGTGGAAAAGGGCGTCATAGAGCCTGACATTCCGCCTTCGGAGCTCCCGCGCTGTCGGAAGTGCGGCGCACTCGCTCGTCCGGGCGTGGTGTGGTTCGAGGAGGTCCCACACCATATGAAGAAGATTTACGAGCTGGTGGAGAAGACAGATTTGTGTCTTGTCGTGGGCACATCTTCAACGGTACGTATCGCGAAGATAGCTTATGAGATTGTTGATTGTTGACTCGGCATCGACGGATGTCAGGTCTATCCTGCTGCTGGATTGGCGTACGAGGTGAAGGAGCATGGAGGTAAAGTAGCTATATTCAACCTTGACCGTAGTAGAGGGGACGACCAGAGTGACTTCGTCTTTCTGGGCCCCTGCGAAAAGACGCTTCCGGAGGCACTGAGCGTCGACACGTAACTCAGAAGAATAAATTTGTAAGTCTTGTACGTACTGTCTTGAACCTCGGTGCTATTTTTTGATGCAGTCGGCTGAAATTCGCATCACTTCCGCCATCATCCTTGCGATATTTTTTGAGGAAGCTGATTGCGGGTCGGCTTTGTTTCGTATCTGGACTTGAAATTCGTCCTCGAGGTACTATCGGGCATTTGCGAGCTGTACTGCATGGCTGCCATGTGAGTGCCTATGCGCACCTATATATAACTCGAAATTCTAGATGGTGTAGACTGACGTTTGCGGCGCAGTGCGCATGTCAGTTATCCGACGCATACCAATGTCTCTTCGTGCGTTGGCAAAGACGGATACCTTGAAGCAACGCAGTACTGTGCATCAGCAACTTCCGTCCCAACTCTCGGATCCCGCGGATCACCGCACGCATCGTCCGAACTTAGCGATATGATGACGCAGCACGGTCCTTGTCGGTGGGATTGTTGATGGCGTGTATCCGTAAGGAGCTTCTTTAGGGCCGGTCCGGATCAGCAACTTCGGCTGCTCGATGGGATAGCTGTGTGGCCGAGAGCTGGGGCGCGCCCGAACACCGATGTTTACGGATTCAAGAGCCATCCTGACGGGTATTCGGAGCGAGGATCGTCGGAGCGCAGGAGGATCAGTCTGCATGTAACCGAGGGCAATGAACTTTCCGGCCTTCTAAAACTAGTGCTGTACCAGGCGTACAAAATCAGTGGTATCGTATTGGCATCTATCGAGGCCTCAATATTGCTTCAAACTTCGTAGGCATGGCAGACTGTTGGGCCTTCCTCATGCCAGAGACAGCAAGTTACAGTAAGTTACGTGGTCATGCATTAGAGCATGTCTTTGACAAAACCTGAACTATGCCTGAAGTTAGCCTACATATCACTCCTCCAGCGGCTGAGATGACAAATGCAGAGACGAGGAACTGAGGCGGTACCGTGCCATTGAATATCCCCTTGGCGCCTGTCTCCGAGTATGCGGCGCGTATCGGCCCATCTGACGCACGGTCGTCCCATTCATGCTTATCAGTCGGTGCGATAAGCGTGCACACCGTGTTCCCAAGCAATGAACGCGCAGCACTGGCCTGACATGATGATAGTGGCTCCAGCACCTATGGTACATGGCCTGTTCTTGACTGCAGCAGGTGACAAATTGGTCTATTGTACTATTCGCTGGTTGTCCGCACATTCCATGGGAACATCCTACGCATCGCGAGACTCACCTGCGCAGTGATGAATTAGCATGGCGAGCAGGATGTCGGAGATACAGAATTCGGGTATGACATACCTTGCAGCCGACGGTATCCTGTGCGGGCATCTACGTGCCGCGTGGTGCAATTTGTCAGCGCTGTGTGGCTTTCGCCTCTGACGGTTGCGATCCCAATCACTGATGGCGGCCTGAAAGCAACATGGCCGTGCGAGGCTGCAAGCACGCGCAAGTTATCACCTGTAGCCACCAGCCGCTGCTCACCGCCTCCAGCCTTCAGCAGGAGACACGACATGATCTGCAATACAGTTCTCCATATCTACATACAGTTTACCCAGTGTCGTTGGTAATTGCGCGTGGTTGAGGCATTCCATAGATCGGACAATACCACTAGCGCATATTTTCTCAACCGCCATCAGAACACAAAGTGCTTCCGGCAAGGCGGACATTCTAAGCGATCTGCTTGAGCCGTCTACGTCGTAGGGTAACGCGTCGTCAAATTCAACTTGTATATATGGAAAACTCGGCGTATCATCTCGCACGGAAGCATTGTTCGGGCATCTTTTGGACGAAGAGGCAGTGCGATACGACGAACCAGTCAAGGAAACAAGTAAGATAACATCTTGACATGGTGGCGCTGAGCGTATCAGATTGGGGGTCCGATGACTTGGGACGCTATCGGAGATTGACTGTTTGGGTAAAATTGAGACTCAGAAAAAATAGCGCTGGTCTTTGCATCATGCACATGAGTGATGAGCCCAGGACCTGCCCTGGCCTGCCGTACCCGCCATCAGGAGATGGTTGGTACGGCGTTTCGAGAGCCTGATGATGTACCGAGGACAGGTTTTCTCGCACAGACACCTCTCTGCTTCGTTCTCTCAGCATACGCCAGTCGGCGGTGGCCTCCCCTTGACACCCTGCATGATCATCGCCGTCCAGCTCGGTTCCAGCCATGCTGTCTTCCGTATTCAAGAGGAAGAAGGTACAGGAAAAGATAGCCAACATCACCGGCGCGCGTCGTGCCCAATCTCCCCCCGGTCAAAACCCACATGACATCCAGAATGTGGCAGGCATATACGAGAAGCTCGACGACCTGCTGGTTCGCGCCGATAATGCTGCCAAGCGCACGTTGAACGGCAGGACACCATCAACCCCACAAGTCCAGCTTGATCTCGGTCGCAGGGAATCATATTCGGAGTGGTTCCCTGCTGATCTTCTTAGTGGAGATACTCGCCTGCCACCACAACGCAATGCTTCCCTGCCGAACGGGAACGGGAGCGCAGCAAGTTTGACGAGGACGAGCACCGATCATGGTGGTAGTAGTGCTGAACCGCCATTCCCTGCTTCTGTGGACGACATCATCATCATTGAATCGTCCTCGCAGGAATCTCGGGAGGTAATGTCAAGCATGAATGACCAGTGCATCTGAGGTATTCACAATGTGCTGTTCCAGCTGTATCGACTCAGCGCCGCCTGTTCAGATAGCGAACTTCAAAGCCTAGTTGAGAACAATGTAAGCTCCCTTGCTCGCATCTATGCAACGATAATCATACTTACACAGTGAATCATATCTGCAGAGTCATAGTAGTTTGGAGTGCAAAAAGCCGACTCCAGCGCCAATAAAGATACCCGATAATCCAGCGTTCTCAAAAAGACCGATTCAACATTCTACCTCTGCAGGTCCTTCTGCAGACCCCGCTGATCAGTTGCAACTGCCCGGGAGCAGCGTCCCTACCCGCCCGTCCACGCCTGGGTCAGCATGCACCGACATTGCTTCCTCTGTCTCAGGCACCACGCTTGCCCGCGCGCTGGTCGCAAGCTCATTTATTCTGACGAGCGATTCCCGTGGGTCTCGATACCGCAGTGGAATCACGCGTCAAGATTCTGCGACACTGCCCCGCGGAGAACATCCCTTCCATGGCCGAAAACGGAAGTCAAATGCCAGCGATTACTCTCAAGACTTAGAAACGCGGTCACCCATTCCACCTGTGCCGCCTTTGCCTTCCAGTGCAGAGTTGTCTGCGCGCGGTATGGACAGCGCGTCGAACGTCAGTAAGAGTCGCAGGAACTCACTGACCGCAGTCGCAGATTACAAGCGGAGCAGTGCCGACTTGCCTTATCCGTCTAACGAAAGACGTAACTCTATCTCTGGCCCATCAAGAGAACAGACAGGTGTGCACTCACGTATATCTACCATTACCGAGGCATCATCCCCTGTCCCATCAACCAAGGCTACCTCCATTAAAGGAGATGGGACATCGGTGCGATCGGCGGAGTCTATCATTCGACCGGTTTCCTCTTTACAGGAGAGTGGCCATGCAAGTCCTGCCATCACCGAGTCGTCACAGCAAGACGTTGAGGCTCCACAGACCAATACGGAGCCGACCCTCATTCCTGAAGATACATGCGATTCTGACGGGCACGAAGCGCATCGCGAGGAGTCTGACGGGGAGGAACTTCACAAGAAGAGGGCAATTTCCCCAGTATCGGTTCATGGGACGACTGTGCCCTCATATTCATTGGCAAGCTACGAGCGTGCGAGCATGCGAACGTCAGAGTCGATATTCGGCACCCCTGGAGCTGTCTCCCAAGGAGGCCTAATTGTTCCGTACGCTGGTGGCCTCGTCTCACGCTCCCGCTCTGAGTCGAGTGCGCACAATAGCAATGGCAGTGGATCGAATCGACCCATTACTTTATTGCCCATCGGCGGACGTCCACGCTCTGTACTAATGCAGCGCTCATCCTCTTCTCCCCGCATTTCTTCTGACAGCGACCTCCGGGCCCTTCCGTTGGTCACGTCCATCCCTCCGACCGCGCACCCGTCAGCCGGCTCGACTCCCGTAGAGTCACCCGATCTGCTTGACTTTATGTTCCCGGTTACACCTGCAGCGCTCGTCCGGGCACGTTCAGGAAGAGAGCGCGATGGCAGCCAGTTGCCGCCGTTGGCAATTGTTGATGATGACCATGGCCTTCCTACTCCGACTCTTAGCTCAGATATGGAGTCGATGGCGCCAGTGTCGACGAACATCCAGACATTCCCGGAAACGCCGTACGCGTTCAGCCCGCTACTGTCTGCGGGCGTCCCTGCGCCCATGCCTCCTCCTCTTCCTCGGCTAGGACCGAATCAATCACCTATGTCGAGCCATCGTGCTGGAGTGGCAGAATTGAAGCAACGTTGGGGACAGCAGCGGACGCCTCTGTCGCGCTCGATCACTGCGCCGTCTGGTATTCGTGCGCCGCCAACGCCGCCTTCGTCAGTGGAGAGCACCCATGACAGCCCTCCCGCCAACGGCGAGCATGCAGCCGCATCGTCAGGTCGCAGCGCTATCGTCGCTCACGCCCGCTTATCGCGTATAGAAGAGTCGCAAACGCCGCCTATCACGCCAGCCCAGAGCTCATTGCCAGAAGGAATGGCGTTGGGGTTGTCGACAAGGGTTTCAGCGAATGCCGTCTCTCCAGGCCCAGCCGTTCATATTCCGGAGAGTTATATCGCCAGTAATGCAGAAGCCACATTATCCGCTGGCATGAACGTATCATCTCCGAATCCGCGCCCGTTGCCTGTGTCGCCAGCTCCTGCAAATGCTCTTTTGCAGACGGATGAGCCACCGGATGACTCGCCTCCACCCTCATATGCATCCATGCACGAGGCATCCTTAGCCGTGCCCCCTCTTGAACCGCGTATCGTGCTGGATGCACCACGTCCTGCGGAAAGTCCACCGAGACAGTCAAGCTTGCAGTCCAGTTCTGCATCTGTATCCAGCAGTTCATCTGTATCTAAATCTGAACACACCACTACTCTCACCCCACTGCCCTCTCCACCGTCAGCAATTCCGTTGCCTCCTTCCCCTATTCCATCATCTCCAATGCCCTCCATTGACGAGCAAGTAGCTGTCACTGATCAGGAACAGCCGCCCCCTCCTCCGTATGTTGAAGTGCAGCGACCGAGCCAGCCTGCGCCTCCATCATCGCCGGCGCGCTCTATATCAATCATCTCGCAGCATCGTACTAGGACGCCGGATTCCGTGCCTTTAAGGCGCGTAGTCCGGACAAGGCCTCCTCCACCGCTTGGTCCGCGGAAACCCTCGGGTTCAGGCAGGTCACGCGCTGCATCGGTCTCGTCGTCTGTGAGCAACTACGGCGGACCTAGTACAATGCGCAGGCCGTCGATGACGACATTGTCCGCATCTGGACCGAAATTTCAAACGACGCAGGTCAATTTCCGTGGACTCACCAAGGAACAGGCAGAGTGGACGTTCACATCTGAAGAGTTGCAACAATTGGTGTCTGCTGCTATCAGACAGACTACCGATATTTCTGCGATACGTCTTCTTCCCCTGGAGACGCTGAACGAGGCTTTGCCGGAAGAGATCAAGAGGCTGGAGATAGTCAGTGCTGAGCTGAGGACGAACTACAAGATAAACGTGCGTCGACGGAAGATGTTGATGAGTTCGCTGTTCGCCATGACTGACGGCATAGAAACGTGCGATGGCGCTGCTGCTGCACGGACTCTTGAGGAGTTGTCCGACGTCACGGAAACTCTGGATCATCAGGCGGAAGAGCTGTTCGATGTCACCACGCAGCTTGGCCAGCTAACTCATCTTCGCGATGTTCATTCGAGTAGTGCGCTGATCATGGCGCTTCACAAGCTGAACAGAAGTTTGAAGAAGCACCTGGAACAGGGGCAGAAACTTCGCGAGCAGGTGGCTATTATGGAAGCGGAACGGGACGAAGCGTGGAAACAGGCGCAAGAGGTTGCCCAAGACTTTGACGACCTACAGGAGCGCACTTGCGATCCAGCTATTACGTCAATGCAGACCGGAGCTTCCAGTCGCCGCTCCAGTCGAGTAATCTTAGCGCGGAAGAACAGCGCACGAGTTGCAAAGACCGGACTGCGGTCCTCCCTTCACAGGCGCAGCCAACGATCTTCTGTCAGCAGCAGTCATCTAGCCAGCGTAGTGACATCCCCTGCCATGAGATCTGCTGGCATCAGCGACGTTCCTCCCGTCCCCCCAATACCGATACAGACAACATGGAATATCAACACTGATTTACCAACGAGTCAGACAGGTCAGCTTCCCTCCCTTTCCTACGGTTGGATCTGTCTAACTCATGAAACAGGCATGTGGTCAGAATCGCCCTCTTCTGGTTTCAGAGCCATGACTGAAGCTCAGAGAGAACTTTGTGAGATGCTGGGCATTTCCTTGGATGACCTGAATGGCAATCGCCCTTCGAGACGTCAGTCCACGTCAGCGACGATCGGGGTCAAGAGTCCCATCTCGCCAAGCAGATTACGACGGAACTCAGAGAGCCAGACTATGACGCCCCTTCCTTCAGCGAGCCTGCTACAAACACGGTAGCAAGTACTCTGCATACCATATGGTTTCTAAGTACAACGCATGATGCGATGCTTTGTACACAATCCGCCCATCATTCTTACTTATCGAGTTAACTTTATTGACATGCATCTCGTCTTTTGAGCTTTGCTTAATCTCATGCTTGTATTCACGCCGCCATTCTTTCGAGCACCATTGCCGCATATACCGCGACATAACGCGCCGTACATCTGGTAGCGTCATTCCCTGAACGTACTCACACCATTGTGGATTACATTACTGTAAAATCCATGCGAGCCGTCTTTTCATGTACATCGACTGCAGGACAGATTGCAAGAGACGAGCCCCCCACTGATGATGTTGGAAGACAATGCAGCATCATTTGAATTGTGCACATGCTATTAGTAACGCATCGTGAGCTAGAGGAGCGAGCTCAGAGAGAAATTGATTGGTTCGCCGTACAGAGATCACGATGATACAACGGTAATGCTCTAGGAATCGAATGCAATGATAACCATGTCGACAGATCGGAAGAGAGAGAGAGAGGAGGGGTGAGGAGATGAAGAGATGAATGCAAATGGAACGATACAGATGCTGGCGGTGTCGCATAACGAGTCATGATTAACGGCACGCGGCGTGGACCAGAGTCTGAATGATCCTGCGCACGAACTTGGAACGAGGGGGGTCTAGTGTACGATGCAAATGCGAAATGCGAAATGCGAATGTTAGAGTCAGAAGCCCAGTACATGAACAGTGTCCATCACAACTCGAAGGCGGGTGTGCGATCACGGGCGGGCGCGATTATAAGAAACAACGATATGGCTCGAGAACATCGAAGGAGCGTGAGAGATTGAGTGCGAACATAGTCGCTCAGGTGTATCAAGTACGTGCAAGTGCTCGTGACAATCCGAACCAGAGGGCGCAGACGTTCCATTCATGCTCTACAACACAAGAATGGCTCATCCGGACCCGTAAGACCGCAGCTTGCGCATGATGGTGTCCATGCTGCGCTCGCGCTCGGTCGCACGGTCGAGCACCTGCCCAATGGATGGCGACGAGGCGACCTTGCCGCCGTGCGGCGCAGGGCTGCTCGAGACCGAAGATGCTGTCGAAGACGCGGAAATGCGTTTGAGGATGCGCGAAGCGCGCTTCTCGTCGTGCAATTTCTTCTGCGTGCTGCTATCGGTCGTGCGATCAGGATGCAGACTATCGGTAGGACTCCGAGGTGTCTCGGGTATGGCGGACAGTCCGGAGGACGCGGTGTTGATTGCGGTCAGCGATGGCAGGGATGAAGGCATCGAACCTGACGATGAAGAATTGGACGACACGAACTTCATAGTGGTGCTCGCAAGGGACGGGATAGACGGCAAATCGACATCTCGAAAACCCAGCCCACTCGAAGTACTGGCGCTCAACACCGGCGAGCTCGTCCGCCTCGCCTGCTTCTGCTGCACACAGATCGCCACCGACGGCGGCGACTGCCCACCGGGCAGCGTATTCGACCTCTTCTTCCGCACGAACACCGCGCCATACTTTGGACTCGCACTTGCGCTCGGCCGCGCCATCGGGCTCGCGAGCGCATCCGAGCTCGGCGGGCTGGGTGCCAGCGGCGCGATGAGGTCCGACACCGAGTTCTGCAGCTCGAACAGGCCCTCCTCCATGCTGTCCATCGTAGAATCCATCGAAAAACCCCGATGCGGTTCCGGTGGGGTGCCGCCATGATGCTGGCTGCCCTGCGACGACTTTGACGAGGAGCGCGCGCGGATCGCCGTGCGAGGGCGCGCAGCGTCGCCACCGCTTCCGCTCGCGGCACTCATCGCGCTATTCCGCTGCCCGGCGTTCATGACGAGCCAGCGAAGACCAGTAATCTCGCGCTCGCGCTTGCGCGCCTCCTTTTCGAGCACCTCGATGCGCCGCATGAGCTCGTTCTTCTCCGCGGCGTGTCGTTCCGTGAGCGTCAGCAAATACGACGAGAGCCGCTTGTACTTTGCGCTCTGTGCGTTCAGTGCGTCGCGCAGCTGCTCCATGGTCGCCACTTCGCCCTGGGACGCATTGCCCACGCTATTATGCTCCACATGCTCTCGGAAGATCACACTGCTCGCAGGAGACCCGCTCAAGCTCAGATTCGCGTTGCTCTGGCCAAAGTTGTCCAAAAGCGGCGTGGACGGCGTGGACGACTCCCCGTTCACCGTGCTCAGCGTCACCGTCGACGACGCACGGCTCGAAAGCGTGTTCGCGCGCGACCTATGGAACACCGCGCGGTGTACCTGCCCCACCGTCATCTGCGACGCTAGCGTCGGGATCGTCGGCAGCGCAGACATCGGCTGGCTACTACCCGCACTGGGCGCGCTCTCCGCCGGGCCGGACGGCGTCACAAAAGCAGAATGTGGCGGCGAGGGAAGCGGTTCCGCAGGCGGGCCCGCCCTCGGCGCACGCCTGAACGTCGTGAGCAGCGGCGGAGGCGTGCGGCCGCCGCTCGAATGGAAGGACGCTGTCGCAGGGATGCGACTACGGGGCGGAGGCGAGCCCGGCGGGGAGCGCGTGACGGTCTGTTGCGGACCTGGGTTGACAGGCGGACGCGTGTTCGGCTCCGGCGCGCTTCGCGACGGAGGCTCATCGCGACGCGCAGCCCGCAGCAGCGCGCTGCCCACCCCCACCCGACCGCTTGGCGCGGCCGTCGCGACGGTGAGCGTCTCGCGCGTGCTCGACGAGCTGCCCGCGCTCGACCGTTTGGACGGGTGCTCGTCCCCCCACGGGTCGGATCGGTAGTCCTGCTGGGGCGTCTGCGTGCGCGCGCTGTCGCCGCTGCCGCGCGGGGGAAGAGGGAAGTGTAGCAGGCTCCGTGGGCTTGGTGAGCCCGTCGAGCTCGCCTGGTCTGAGCTTGCGTACCCGGGCGAGTCGTGGAAGTCGCGCCCGGACGTGCTTCCGTGGCTCCATGCAGGTGCGCGAGCGGCAGGCGGCGTGGGTGCGGTGCGCGGTGTCATGAAGGTCGCTTCGTCCTCCTCGGGTTGTCCGCTCAGCGGCGGGGCAGACACAGTGATGATTGGGCGCGCGCCGTTGGTCTTGGTGCTCTGGCTGGTTTTCGATTTGTGCCCCTTGCTCTTGGGTGGGAGGGCAGGGATCTCCGTGCTTTCCCTGCCAAAGTCGGCGGAGGACATCGATTTCTGTGGGCGGATGTGGCGGATGTTGGAGACAGGGATGGCAGAGGCGTGCTTATGTGGTGGGCTGGAGTCTGAGGAAGCGGAATCATGGCGTATCGCGAAATGCGAAGGGAGCAATTGCGAGATGGAACCGAATGAGGGTGAGGAGACGTCCAGAGGAGGAAGCGCTGCTGGGGGAACCGGGTTTGGAGAAGAAGGAGTGGAGATTGAGCGAGTGGCTGCGCCCTTGCTGTAGAACAATTGTTAGTGTATGGCTCTAGAAATGTCGTCTACAGAGCGATGCAATCAAAAGAGCTTGTTGAAGGATCTGCAAGCGGATAGGGCGTAAGACGGTCGCCAGCTATGCGCCGAGTTTGCTTCAGAAAGCAAAGGGTTGACCCGCAATGTACGTCGACAAGCCATCAGTTCACGACGTGCTGTGCAGATGAACCTATTGCTCCGAATGGCATCCACGCGAGTTGCGCTGCCTAACGACAGCATTGGAGTAGACTGTCACTGCACCAGGCAGCCAAAACAGCATACATTGGGTATGCATTGCGCGTCGTGGATCTTGTTGGACTTTGCACGTAGCGACATCACCGGCACATGGCTCTCTGGCAAGAATACCCTCAAGAGCTATACCACTTCCTGCCTTGCCAACCAAACCATCGACAACTCACCTGTTCGAAGACAGTCTGCGGACGTCCAGCTTGGGTAGGGGCGGCGGCGGCGCATATGCATTTGACGTGGTCTTCGTTTCAGCAGATTTGGTCGACGAGCTGGGCGACGCCGAGGTGCTCTTGCGCCTACGCGCGAAGAACGATATCTTTGACTTGCTCTTGCTCGCACTGTCAGGCTCTGGCAGCGGCGGAACCGGCGGTGGCGACGAGAGCGCATCAGAATGTTTGGCATGTGCATGGTTGCCCCGTATGAGATCGGATATGTCAGACGTTTTGGAGCGCAAGCGGCCGCCCGTAGAAGGCCTGCGGCCAGTCATCGCAACGTCGGCTCGTCTCGTCTAGCGTAGCGTAAAAAGACCGTGAATAGTGAAGGAACGTGAGGACGGAAGAACGAGAGGAAGGAGGGAGAGGAGGAGGAGGGCGCGCTGTACGGCGGCGGGAGAGCGTAATTATCGTGGAAGATGGAGAGAAATAAGATTCATGACAAGGCGAATTCGACAGGATCCGGGCGTGCTACCATTGGGTGTTGGATGTCGAGATCAGTCTAATTGAGCGGGCGCGGAGAAGCTGGGCAGCGTGGCACGAGTCGCAGGCGCCGGCCCAACCCTGACAATAGTAGCAGGCGTCCATCTCCGCAGCGGGGGATCCCTTTTCCCTCTTGTGTCTCTAGCATCGTCCTCGGCGTTCCTTCGTTGTCGATTAATGCACCCATCGCACCCGAGGCGTTCGCACTGTCCAGACTCATTCAAGTTCGACCTGCAGAGGCCGGATTTCATTCAAGTCGCGGCGCGCATGGCAAGGCACTGGGTCTTGGTTCTCTGCAACTCTATTGAACAGCGGCCTCACGTGGCAGCTCTGTATGAAATAACGGATGGACCCTTGAAATGCTTCTTTCAATGGGTTCCTTTCCGCTGGCTCCGTAGCCTTCAGGGGAAGGAAGCTTCTCCCATTAATACCAACTGAGCCTGGCTCTATTGCGCACATGTCTCCTCTGTCCCAGTAACGGCGAGGAACAGCATTCATTGCAGTGGCTGCAGTGTTACATAATCGACCGCCTAGCGTTCAGTAGCCTCGCGTTCGCCGCGGCATCAAATCCAACCTAATCTGGCATCCGCGGATCGGCTACCGTGTTTCAGCTAGACCGTCAAAGCCATCCGATTTCCACGGCAAACACACACTTCGCATCCACCCGAACGCCCTACTCAAAAACGCATTGATGGCCGACTAGCGCATCCAGCTGACCAGCTGCTCGATGGATCGTAACCTCGAGTGCATGCGCGCGCCGCGCAAGGGCTGCGTTCTTCTCGCTTGAATATCTCGGAAGCCCAGGCTCGATTCGGAAGCAGCTGAGTTGCAATTCGGCTGACAGACGGTCGAGAATCCTGCCGACGAAGGGCGCATCGCTCGAGATGTAGGAAGCTGGGACACACCTCTGGTTGACGACCACCGGGGAGTTTCAATCGCCTGCCCAGTGCGGGGAAGACTGGTCCAGACCGGTGAATGAGGACAGTCGAGGATTCGAACGGGTTTCACGCCGGTATGACATGTTACAGTGCCCGCCTGTGGTGCGGTGCTCAGCTTGGCCGATTAAAGGGTCAGCACAGCTAGAAGGCCCGAGCCTACTCGAAAGCAGGCGTTCTCGTGAATCTGATGAGAACATCCTGTCGAGGAATTTGCGTGCGCAGATCTGATCAGACGGAAGACGATTAGATCAGCTCGCGTAGGTGGAGGGCTTGATGGCGGTGCGAAATGTACGTGATTCGCCACGCTTGTAACAAGTTCAGCTAACGTCGTCTTTGCAGAGTCACAATCGGCGCGGCTGGCAGCGCGTACCTGCGGCTAACAGGCAGCTCAGGCACATGCAAGGAGTCGGATTCACAACGAGAGCTAACGATAGCCCGGCGTGTTTCCGACACAGCGAATTGACCGACGTTCTGTGTTGGATTCGCACGACCGTGTCGTGGAGGGAAGCCTGAATGATGATCCAATAATTGATTGACGCGAAGAATGAATTCCAGGGCCGCGACAGAAGTGGACCCATGCACGTAAACATCACACAGCCGACCAGCTGGTACGGCACGGCCAGCGTTGCAAGTTGCCAGAGTCGAAGGAGGCGGTCCATCAAAGGTTGTGGCCTTGCCAAGGTCGAACAAGCCTGAAGTCAGTGCATCAATGAAAGACTCGCCGTAAGGGACAATAGCCATAATTCCGCTCAATCGTCGGCCTGTACCGTAATGAGGGCAGAAAGTCCGATCACGGACGCTTGATATGGCGACGACTGGAAACGTACAAACACTCGTCGACATCCAGCATATACGCGGAAAGGACATAGCCGGAAAGGTGCACAAACCGTCTCACGAAGTCCGAGGAGTCGGCAAGGATGTGGTCAACCTATTGACGAATGTGCACCGGGCACCCACCCGGGCCTCATGCCCGAGGATCATGAACGTACATCGGCGATGCTACTGCCGAATTGGGATCCCGGATGTACCCAGGAGGAGCACAAAGCAACTCAGCACGATACAGCCGGCCGCTCATAATCAACGCGACACGAGGACGAAAGAAGAGCCAGCGCAAACCCATAAGGACTCGCAACAAGTTTGAAATACAAATTGCACGCTCTTCTTCTAACGAGCGCCAACACGCGTTTACGCGTTTCCTGACACAACAGCGAACGTACAGCACGACAATAAGTTACCCAATCCCGTCCAAAATGAATTCATACACGTCGAAGCGAAGGTCCACGGCGTCATCGCGCCGGTCCCCAAAGCCCATGAGGATTCACCCACGCAAAGTCGCGGAACTCAAAGGCGCCGTCCGCGCCCGTGGCCCGGGGAGCTGCGCTCGCGGCGCACAGCGGCAGCGCGGCGAGTGCGGGGCTGGGCTGTGGCAGCGCGTCTTGGCGCACGCCGTTTCCATATCCTGCAAGAGCAATTTGTCTGATGGTCAGCGCGTGGATGAGCAGCTCAATTTGCGACTTGCCGCAGGGAGAGCGGAGCGCCTGCTCTCTGAGAGCGTGGAAGATGGTGACGCTGGCGGGCGGAGATGTCAGCCGCGTGAGGCTTCGACGAGAGAATGAAAAAGAAGCAGGAGAAGCGTGAGCGCATGCGTACTTGTTATTGTCCGCGAAGTATCGGTGACGCTGGAGATCTTTCATCTGGAAGCGGGATCGGGGTCGAGGTTGGAGGAGCTGCGTGATGTACATTTCAGTTAGGATATTTGGAGGGAGACGGGTGAGCAGTGAGCTCGGGATACGTACACCGAGTAGGAGAGACTCCTCGTCTGGGGCTAGGTCTGGGGCTTCCCGTTGCAGGAAGGAGGCACCCTCGGACTTTGCGTCCCAACTCAAGTACCGTTCACGCTGGGAATCGCTGCGGAATAGGAGCTGTCGTAGAGGCATATATGAGTGCTGTGTAGCAGGTTATGAAAGCTGTGACGAACATCGCCTGCTATCAAGTCGAACATGAGACATCCCAGAGCCCACCAATCCACCATCTTGCCATACCACTGCTTGTTCGCGACCTCCGGCGAGAGGTAGGGCTTGCTCCCGACGAACTCGCACGTGTACACGGCGTCGGTCTCGAGCGGCGCGTTCTCTGGGGCGAAGTAGGCCGCGTTGAAGTCGGTGATGAGCACGCTGTCTGTGGGCGCGGCGAGGAGGATGTTTTCGGGCTTGATGTCGCGGTGGATGATGCCCATGTTGTGGAGTGCGTCGAGGCCCATCGCCTGGTGAGGATATACAACGATTATGTTCAGCGGAGACTCTGGCGATTAGGATGAGGGGTCACGGACAATTTGGGCAATCCAGCGTCGTATGCGGGGCTTCTCGATGGGATTTTGAAGTTCAGCGAGGAGGTCGCTTTCCATGAGTGGCTGCATGAAGAGACGTTAGCACGACTAAACGAATCTCGATTTACGGCATGCTTGCCATGACGAATAAGACATTGTCGTCGTCTTGGAGGGCTCCATGCAACTCCATGACGAATAGTTTCTTAATAGGTTCTTGTGCGGCGATGTGTTTGTAGCATAGCAATTCCGTGAGCAGTCCGTGGAATATTGTATCGTCTTCCCGCATCTTCCCCTTTCTCGAGATGCGCGTGCACACGATGCGACCCGTGGCGCAGTCGCGCGCTACGTATGTCTTTCCGAAGAGCCCACCGGGGAGTTTGTGGAGGAATTTCAGCGGTCCTATCTTTCGCCGGTCAGAGGTGTGGACCTGAGACTCGGAGTTTGACCGACATGGGGCATTTCCTCGCGCGTAATCGTCGGCAACGGTGAAGAGGTGGTGGACTTCGTTTAGTGGAGGTGCGAAGGATAGAGCCCAGGTATTGGGGACGTTGCGTGCGCCGGGGTAAGAGAGCGCAGGGAACTGCAAGGCGAAGTTTGGATGATGAAAGGCCGAACATCGCGCGCCACCGTTAGTTTTACTGTGGACAGGCGCGGTGGTAGGTGGGATACTGCCACGTTCGTCGTCCTCGCCATGGAGGCCAGGTTCAGTAGTGGTAAGCGCACACGTCGTTGCTCCTTTTGCGTGAATGGTCCTACTGAGCGCAACAGTGGAAGATTTCCGAGACAGGGCTGGAGAGGCACCCATCGGCAATCGTTCAGTTCTACACGACACGGTGAGAGCAAGCAGAAGGAGGTTCAGTACAGACAGCCACCAGTGGATTTAGCTAGGGGTATGCGAGTCGATGAGACTCCAGCCATATTGTGGCACGCCTTTTCAATCACCCGGGATTTGTATACGGGGCATATGACGACACCGCATAGCTTGATCGTTCGAGATCGAGACCACTGAGCAGGATCGTTATCGTTAGGGTTACAATCCACGAACAATGCAACTGCGTGTGTACATCAGTCGCCGTTTTTCAGCCAATGAGCAAACGGGTATCGATAGGAGACGGAGCCCTCAAGGCCTCACGCGCATGCTGCGTTGGTTGCACTTTATGTCGAGTCGCCGACATGGCATTCTCGCAAGTCATTCGGCGTATCGTTCGTCATGTTGCGTACTCCAGCCCCACCGCACGGCCGCGCGACCCAGCATATCGTTAGAGAACTATCAGCGTGAGTTGGTGACGAATCATCAAACATTCCAACGTTGCAACAATGAACGTTGCAGTGTCAATCTTGAAGAAACGCCACCACCGATTGACCAGGCCACCGGTTTCGCATCGTAAGCACGCTGCTTCTGCAAAGATATCTTCAGCGGACAAGAATCGTCATTCATGATCGTTCTTGTTGTCGCGCAAGGCATCGAAGACCAGGATCAAGGGCTCTCGAAGGAAGTATTAATTACCTTATTTTGATGGTTGGATGTATATAAATGTATGATAAGCGCTGCCGATAAGTCTTGTGTGGCCATATTTCCTAGAACCTAACGGTCACGGTCCGCGACTCGGAGACGCGCTTTGCGCGTAACACTTACGCGACTTTCACCGCGCGTTCACCATGTCCGACGTTGGGAACTCGCAGGAGCCAAGAAGATCACAGCGTGAAAAGAAACAGGCCACTCATTTCGTCTCAGGTGCGCGCGGCACGGCCCCATTTCTGCTGCAACAGATTCTGATCAGTCGAGCAGTCAATAGTACATTACTGAAGAGGAAGCGTTCCGACGCGACCACGGACGAGGATGCGCAGAGCAACCTGTCTGATCCAGACTCTGTCGATGGCGGTGCTGATGTAGAGGAAGACTTCCGCGCGCCCAAAGCGAAGGGTCCAGCGAAGGGGAAGGCTAAGACGAATGGGCCACCGGCAGCCAGGAAGCCTCGTGCAAAGAAAGCTGCTACGACGAAGAGTACAACCAAGAGTACCGTATCTAAGTCAAAGAAGCTTACTGCAAGGACTACGACGCGTAGAAGAAGGCCGAATGGTGTTGACGCTGCCGATTTCGACGCGGAACAGGTTGCGAGGGACACAAAGATCTCAGGGGACAACCCTCTCTTCAGTACGTCCTTAATTCGTTCATCAAATATTATCTGCCAATGTGTGTATGCGTAGATGCCATCATGAATCCTGCTGCGGCTCTACAATCGACCGTGGAGGACTACCTGGAGTCATTGTCGCGCACACTAGACCCCAGCCTTGCCGAGTTCATCAATTGCATCTTACGCACTTGTGGTTGCAACGATTCTGTGAACGCAGACGAAGTCGTCGACTATGACGGGGTGGTTGATGCGTTGGACAACTTCACGGAAGCGCTCAAAAACGTGCGTATAATGTGGGGTCTCATCGTTTCTCGTCTGATCTGGTGGCCAGGATGACTCTCCCATATATCCTCTTACGTCAAAACTTCCCGTCTTCAAGCGATTCCGGCAATCTCTTTCCGAGTTCCTTGAGCGTCTCATAGCCTCCTCCGCCGAGCTTGGCTCACTGTATACCTCGGATCTCATGCCGACCCTGCAGACATGGGTGGTGGCGATGTCTTCATCGCAACTCCGTAGCTTCCGGCACACTGCTACTGTCATCGCTCTCGAGGTGGAAACTGCGCTTTGCGACGTGGCCGCGGCGGTAGAGAAAGAGGCAGAGATAGTAAGCAGACAGAGAGAGGGAGAGCGCAAGCGCAAGGCAGCGGCCAACAGGGGCAAGGAAGGTACTGCTCGGGAGAAAGAACTAGAAGGCAAGGCGGCAGAAGTACGAGAACGACGTGCCAAACTCGCAGAGTTCCTGAAAGAGTTTGTTGACGGGTCAGTTGATAAGTCTGCATACCTTGCTCCACACTCATGGTTGATTCAGGGTTTTCGTACACCGCTATCGCGATCTTGACCCAAGCATCCGCGCCGAATGCGTTCGCGCAATGGGCTTATGGTTCGCGAAGTATCCCGCACATTTCCTGGATGGGGCGTACCTGCGGTACGTCGGCTGGGTACTTTCAGACGCACAGACGCCTGTGCGACTCGAGGCCGTCCGCGCGCTTGCGCTGGCATATGAACAGACAGCTTATATCGGTGCCGCAGCCCTGCAGCACTTTACCGAACGCTTCAAGCCTCGGATGGTGGAGATGGCTGTTGGAGACACTGAGCTGTCTGTACGTGTCGCTGTCGTGCAGGTGCTGCAGGCTATCGACAAGCATGGATTGCTGGAGGACGAGCAGCGTGAGAAGCTGTGCTTGCTCGTGTTCGACGAGGAAGCCCGTGTGCGCAAGGCTGTCAGTGGTTTCGTGCGTGGCGTATGGGAAGAAAGCGTGGAAGAGAGGCTGGTCGGTAAGAGGCCGGGCGCACAGGACAAGCAGCGTGCGCAAATCAAAGCGCTCGGTATGTTGCTGGTGAAATGGGGGCATGCTCTGGATAAAACATCGGGAGATGTTGACTCGGATGAAGAGAACACGCTCGGCGAAGGTACTTCCAGCCAGGTCAAAACGAAGACTATCGCTTCGCTCATCGCCACAGGGCAGAAGGGTCGCATCGCGCTTGCCGTTGAGGCTTTATGGGACGAGATTGAGCCTGTGAGAGAGTGGGAAAACTTGTTGGACATACTCCTCCTTGACCACTCCGCTGTTGGTGAGGAGACTTCTTCTCAAGGACAAGAGTCGACTACAAAGGACACCGAGATTGACGAAGCGTGGCGATTGGAGGAGGTGGAAGAAGGGGTGCTCCTGGAGATGCTCGTTGCAGTTCTCCAGAAGGCTAAAGCAGAGGCTGCTCACGCTAAGAAGGTCCGCCTTTTATCTGGCGCATTTATTTATATATTGACTCTTTGGTTGGGACATAGGGGGAGGACGAGACCGTGTCGTCTGACATCACCCGCGCTCTCATCAAAGCCTTGCCTAAGCTTTTCGTCAAACATCAGACAGACGAGAACAGGATGGCTGAGGTGCTAATTATTCCACAATTGATGGATCTCGACCTGTATCTGGAGATGAGGATGATGACGGTTTGTTTCTTAAGATGGTCTATCAGTACAATTTGCTCAGCTAAAACTGCTTATAGGCTTATGCCAGTCTGTGGGATGACATCTCCAAGCAATTCCTATCGCATTCCTCCCTGATAGTGTTGACTAATGCCGTCAGCACGATCCGGCACCTGTTAGATGCTACGAGCCTCTCCAACACTAATAGCGCCAAGATCCTAGAGCTCGAAGATGAACTCTCTACGTCGTTGCGAGATGGCATCTCAGGCCGAGAGGAGATTGAGATTGCCTCTTTCTCAGAGGATGAGGTGCTAGCACTCGCAGCCGTTTGTGCGCGCGTAGCGGCACTGATTGGCATACGAGACCTAACCGCGTGGATAGAGGAGGACGAAGGCGGTAAGCAGAGTAGCGCATGGGACATCATCAGTGCTCTTGCCGAACGTGGAAGGCTGGGGTACAGAGAAGAGGAGTCGGTATGTTTTCTTGACGATCTACGCAGGGTTGCTCTGAGAACTAATGAGTCAATTAGATGGTAGATCGCGCGCTACAAATATTGACTCTCCATATCATCTGGAAAGCACGGGCATTGACTGCAACCGAGGGTGAGCTCACTGTCGACGAAGCACGCTTCAAGGAGCATCTTAGGGAACAGCGAGAGTCCCTACTCGAGAAGCTGCTCGAGTTCGCCGTTGGCACGCAATCGAACACTGCCGAGGGCGTTAGAAGAGCGGTTAGCCTGACATTTTCTCGATCGCAATTGATAGGCTCATCCATTCGCCAGGCTTTCCAAAACCTAATGAACTTGCATATCCTCTTTTGTCCAGCTCAGTCAATAGCTCCGGATGGCAGTCGTTTGCCGACCGCATCCTTGGCGCTGTCCCTAGATGACGAAGTGCAGTATCGCTGTGCTGGCTTCATTCAGGCTGAGATTGAACGCTATGCTGATGAGCTGGAGGAAGCGGGCCCTGCTCGTGAAGGCAGCAGCGACGAAGACGAAGAAAGCGATAGCAGCCGGCTTGGCGATGAAGCACAAGCCAAAGCTGGGAAGAAGGCAGTTGCCAATGGGGACCAATCCGCCAGACAGCGCTCGATCGGTACGTTTCTGCGGACACTGTACAACCTGATTGATGCTCAATGGAATCCTGCTAGTCAAACGCAACCCCTTGCGTGCAGAATTGGAGAAGGAATATGCATTTATGGAAGTCATGGCTACGTTCTTACGTGCAATCCGAGCCGGAGTTATCCGTTTCCAACATTCAGCGGTTCTCCTTGCGCATTACGGCCGTCTTGGCCCGGCCTTCGATCTTTGTTCCAAGGTGATTGTCGAAATCCTACGCGAAGAAGGTATGTATAAGGACAATGGGCCAATAGTTGTCGCCGTCATCTGCCAAGCCCTCCGTGATGTGAGTGATCATTTCTCACCATCAATGAGCGCTCACGAAGCATCGCTACAGTCCTTCACACTGTCGCTTGAGGGCGTCATGCATTCTATAGAGCATTCCATTGCTCTAGGGAAGGTTCTTGCGTCATGTCTCATCATTCGTGGAGCCCAACTCGCGGTCGTGAAGAAGTTGGAAGGCCAATATGTGGTCGACATTCATACAACTAGTCTTACTTGGATCTGCAAGCGATTGGCCGCTTTCGAAAGTGCCAAGAACAAGAAGGCCCGCAACAAGAGCATCTCGTTCTTCAAGGTTCTGCTGCCACTCCTCTCTACGGTAGACAATAGGGATGCACTGACGATGTAAGTATTCTGCGATGGTATCTCAATCACTGCTAATATAGCGGTACTTGCAGAAAAGCCCATCTTGATCAAGTAATTGCGCAGTATAAGCTCGAAATTTCTCCCACTTCAAAGCCATGGGAGCCGTATCGCGCGTATGAGAAGCGACTCTCTTCGGCTATGTCCAAGGACAAGGGTACGCTGTTCGACTTTAGTCATGATGAGCGATCTTAATTTCCGCCTCCAGCTACGCGAGCGAAGGCAGGCAGGGCCGCGAAGAAGGGAGCAAAAACCACCGAGATGCTCACCACGGACGATGAAGGACATGATGGCGATCAGACTGGCGAGGAAGGCGCCATCCAGCAACCGCCGCGTCCAAAGCCAAGACCAACACGTCGCAGTAGCAGATTGGCGCAATCTGGTACAGACGGTGAAGCGGAGACCACAGACGGAGAGGCCCCGCACACGCCGGTGCGGCCACAGGGTCTTAGCACGCCCAAGGCTCGACCGCGGCCACGCGCTGCGTATGGGCGCAAGTCTTCGACAAGTTCGGCGATGAGCTCGTTGACTACATCTCCAGAACTCGTGCAGGTGGAACTGCCACCTGAGGAGCCGTCACTGTCGTTAGAAACCCCCATTGCGTCTCGCAAGCGCACCCGAGCAGACGATGAGGAGCAGGAAGTAGATGCAATGGTCGAAGGAACGCCGCAAGATGAGGAAGGCAATGCAGGGTCTTCGCCAAACGGCCAGCCGTCTGCATCTCAAGCCACTCAGGCCACACAAGTTGATGAGATTCAATTCCGGAGAAAACGAATTCGCCACTGAGTATCACGAGCGTATAAAGCGTTTCGACGGACTTTATTGCGCTTCATATGGTTGCTTGCTTTCTTGTTCTGCTGTATCTTGTGCGATGTAATTTTTGATGGGAATCCTGTATTTTACGATCTGCTATCAGCTACCTGTGGCCATCAGAGCAGAACGGCGACTGAAACCTGTCGCGCGTTCACAACAGAGCTATACCAGCGCTCAGCTTCTAGATACTTTTGCTATCACAGAATGCTGGCTGGTCGACAGACAGACGAGCAGTCGCTAGACGTTCAACCGCAACATGTTTGAAATCCACCTTCGAGAGTCAGCTCCAGAGAGCAGTCCAAGGACAAAGCCACCACCGAGGTCGTCATCCATACCTGTCCCCTTCACCTACAATCCCAGTGACGATGGAACGGACGAGAATCTGCTGATCTTGTTGCATGGACTCGGTTCGCATGCTCCTTGATCATCTTTTGACAATATGAGGTCGATCTGATAGCTACATTCAGGAGACACGCAAGTTCCCTTTGGAAAGTTGGGACTCCAATTGAAGCTACCGCAGACTGCGACTCTTGCTCTACGGGCACCAGAACAGTGCGTTCATCCTTGCACTCCCTATATGATGCCGGGCCTAATTTCTGGTAGGATACCGTTCCTCTACGAACAAGCATTCGAGTGGTATACGTCCTTCGACCCCCTCGGCGACCTCCTCGCACAACCCAACCCCACGCCTGCTCTCGACCTCCTCAGTACCATTCTCACGCACCTCATCAGTGACTGCGGCTGGGCACCGCAGCTCATGCACTTTTTCGGCTTTGCTCAGGGTGGTACCGTCGCCTCCGAGTTTGCGCTCAAATGGTGGAAAGCCGAGCTGGCCAACCAGCAACGCAATGCAGAATACCATCTTCGCCCGCTTGGAACTGTTGTGAGCGTGTCTGGCCCGTTGCTGTCGTACCCCACTCTCTCGAAGCTCTGTCCGACACCTCTCCTGCTGTTTCACCGCCCTCCGCCGGCCGACAGCGCATTACCCCCGGGCGCTATCGCCTCATTTAAAAAGGGATTTAGTCACTTCATCGAGGTCAAAATGGGCGGTGCCGATGGGATGCCACGCTCGAAAGATGAATGGGAGCCGATTATGCACTTCTGGAGTGAACAACTGAGCAAGAGGCCTACGGATGGATTGTATGAAGTCATGAGCGGTATAGCGCCAATGTGATGACAGCAGAGTTCTTCAATGTGCCGGGCGAGCAGTTCAGAACAAAGACCGAATACAGGTCGAGCGACCGTACATTGGATTGCGACAGGCTCGACGCATTCACATCCATAGCATATACTGAGCGAGAATTCAGCGAGATCCGTGGGTACGATACATAATATAGTACGATGTAATACGGATGGCGACACCACATTATCATCCATTAGGCTACGTTCAGGTTGGAACAACGTCAATGGCAGGAACAACATCAATGGCACCCTGCAGCAGACATGGTATAAGCACTATGATCTAAGCAATGTCAAAACACAATCAAGGATGGTTCAGAAATAGCGGACGCGCCCGCCAAAGCAGACGGCCCGAAGGTAGCTGAGATAAGTTTCTGCAGCGCAAGGGGAGCCCTTGCTAAAGCCAAATGCCTCAAACATCATGACAAGGAGCGAAAATATGCCATGAACGGAAGTTTGAAACTCACATATGACTAATGCAACCAATGACGACAGTAATCGGATATTGTCAGTCTGCCTGAGACACTCTGCTTCTGCGTCCACAGATGGAGAGTTCTTTCGCCGCTGTACGAATGGTCGTTCTGCAGAAAGTGTTCTGCCAGGATTCGGACCTCGTCCTCAAGGCTAAACTCGGGAACATACAGGTCGCTGGCAGGCACAGGCCAACGCGTCCACGTGTCTCCTTCTCCTGTGTTGCCTTTGTTTGAGGATGCTATGCGCCTGCGTTTGGATGGGAACTGGACAATAGAGGAAGGCGCGATTGTAGAAGATCCGGGAGTGTATGAGCGCTCCATAGGTGGTCGTTTTGACTCGCCACCGTTGTTGTCTACAATCTCTTCGTCGTTCAATATATCATGTTCTCCTATCCCGTCGTCGTGGCACGGATTTGTCGAGCTGGCAGTTTTGAGTTGAGCAGTGAGGTCGAGCGTGTCACTGGTGCGGAGAGAGCAACATACTCCTCGAACTCCGAGCGCAGGAGGGCAGGGAACCCCTCGAGTTCACACCCATCGTTGGCGTTCCGGAAAGATTCATGAGCAGAATGGGTGAAGGAGATAGAAAAAGTGTGGATGGAAAAGACACGACGCACACAAGGAAGGCGAAAGTCGTGGGAAGATTATGTAACTGGAACTGTACAGTACGACGCACCTCATATCCCGCACTCGGAGTTCGGAATAGGCTAGCACTCTCCATATCGTTGCATGTAAGTCCACACCCTCTGAGGGTTTTATAGGGTTGCTGAACTGCATGTAGAATGAGAGAGAAGTGGAAGAAAAAGAGGTCTCGCAGACTCCGCCGCAAGCGCAGAAAAATGCGGGCTCGTTCCAGTGCGTATAACCTTCACATCACCATTCCGAGCCGTGTTCTCATTTTCCATGTATCGCTGCAGAGTAAACAGCTTGCCGGCTGCTGGGCTTGCACAATAGGGATGTTGCGCCATGAATTCTCCATGCGTGGGCATACTACAACGATCACCCCCGCCCGTCGCTTCGGAGGACACATTCCCGCCTTGTCGTTTTGCCGAGTATCGCTGCGCTCCAAGTTTGAGAGCGCGTATATTCTGACCTGTCACCGTGTTGGAGTAGCCGATGGGCACTTGCTTGCTATGTATTGTAATGTCGACCGCTATCAATGCATTGTATCACCACAACTCACTGTTTGGTTTCGTTAAGTCTCCTGATCCTTGTAAGTGTAAGCTTGTGGAGACCGTTTCATGAACTTGTTCTATGTCAGCTGCGGCTGTTGTTTGCTGACTTCTCTTGTCGTTGTCGTCGACTACGTGGACTTTCCCTCTCTGAAGCATCATCGACGCATCGCATTGAAAGAACCGAGACTGCATGAACACAGAAACCGGTGATCAGTGTTCCTTCAGTCCAGCTGCTCTTGTGCGTTCCTCCTGTGCGGCTTACTGTCTTCGTTAATGATTCATTAATATTTAATGATCAACGGCGACCTCCTGTTGCGGGCGCTAAGGCCTGGTATGTATGATGATGTCACAACATGTCACGCGGAAATGTCGGGTCACAAAGAGAACGCGCCTGAACGCGTCGAGCTTGCAGCTTTCTACTTCGCTTTGCAAACCGTCTTTATGAGCTCGGACACATTGGTACCCAAAGGCAGAACACATCACACTTAATCCACAAGACTACGACAATCTCGTGTGAGCCATGCCGGCGAGGTCGTCAACAAAAATCATCATCAAGCCTCGGAAGGCACGCGTCAGCGTGCCACAGCCCATGGAGGAGGAGGAAGTGGTGACTAGCGACACAGACAACCAGAAGGAAGAAGAAGAGGAACCAGAGTCTCCCCTCGCCAGTACAAGCGCGCAGACGCCGCTCGCTGAGGACTACGACGGCGTGGATGTACAGACTCCGGAGGCGGACGATGGCGGAAGCCACGATGGAGACAGCAACGTTGGTGACGAGGACGGCGACGATGCCACTCCTGC